TGTTTGTGTGTTGCTTGTTTGTTTGTTTGCTTCGGCGAGTTGAGAGGGAGCATAGGTAGATTGGGGTGGTTGGGAATAAGTTAATAGATAGGTGGAAGCGGGAAAATTAGGGGTCAATGTTAGTGTTGAGGCAGTGGTGTTGCAGTGGGCCGGCTAGGTTTATTTAAATAGAGAGGCGTGTACATATATGTAAATATGCTTTTAATGTTGAGATAGTTGAAATGATTGGTTTAATTGGGGGAGAAAGAAAGAAATATTATAATAGTTTGAAGATTTCTAAATGTTACGTTGTAACATTATAAACTATTATCATATGTCATAGCATTAACGTGGTTTATCAGGACCCTGTACACTTTTACCTCAATTGCCCACATTCCATTGAAATAAAATTACAACAATACTATAAATTAGAATTAAATTACATACAATTCAAAAATCAACTAATGCTGGATCTAATTGATAAGTTCGTGCATTATATGAAGCACTATCACATTTGCTACATCGTTGTATAGTAGCTTGCCTCCTTGCTGAAGAATCACTATTTGTAAATTCATCACATTGTATCTGATCTTCTACATTCTCTTGTTCTAATATATCATGCCTATCTTCTACTGAAAGTACTCCTCCTTTTTGTATTAAAGCTTTTCTAGCTCTCCAGTGTTTACTAAGTGCTTCATTTGCTTTGCGGAGACTATGAACCTTAACAGCTAAAAGCGTATTCGTATGAATTAAGAGCTCTGTATTTTTAGCTAAAACTACAACTGTTTTAAATATTAGAGTAAATAAGCTCCCTTGATGTTGAGCAATACAATTTTTCACTAAAATGGATTGAGAAAAAGCTTCAATTGGATTGTGAAATGTTTGAGATTGTTATATATCAGGATCGGTTGATATTGATCTATTTGATAGAGTTCTTATTTGAATATCTAGTTTTGAAAGTACAATTTCCGGATTAAATGAGATTAGCCCAGCTTCGCGGAACCCAGCTTTATCATTTGATATAGATATTGCTTCGATATATACAGCTTTAAAGACTTGAAAGAACTTGGTTTTGGTAATATAAGTGTGTTGGGTTTCTTGAGACTAGAAAGAGTATCAGATTGAATTGATTGATTCTCTAGCTAAGCAGTTAAGCTGCGAGTATATATTCAAAAAATGAAGGAATAAGGTTAGGTATTCAGCCTTCGGAATTAAAGTGCTTTGAAATCAAAATATTGAAAGCAAACAAACAGTATACCAAAAAGGAAAGAATGAATTAAAAGTTGAGTTTTGTTTGCTCCTTATATGCATATGTACTATATATGCATATGCTGCCAAGATCCCAGGAGGTCAACACGCCCCCTCAGGGATTACCGAGTTAGTTAATAATGAGGTTATTCCTGAACCTGAGACCGAATGTCAACCATTCCCAAAAGATTGATAAAATGAGTGTGTTTCTGTGGTGGTAGAGGTTTAGTGAAACCATCTGCAACCATTTCAGTAGTTGGAACCCATTCGACTTGTAGCCTTCCTGCTTGCACTTCCTGGCGAAGCCAACAGGAGTGTATATCAACATGCCGGAGTTTTGTAACAAGTCTAGGAGTACTATGCTGAAGAAGTCGAATGGTTTGGCGATTATCACAGAAAATTGAAGCCTTTTCTTCGAGATCTAAACCAACATTCTTAAAGAAGCGTATCCACCACATAAGCTCTCGAGCAGTAACGGAAAGAGCCAGTATTTCAGAGTGTGTGCTGGAAGTAGTCACCGACTTCAGCTTAGTGCTTTTGAAGTGGATCAAACCTCCAAAGAGTATGAGGCAATATCCCATTGAAGAAACTCTTGTATCGATATCGTCAGCATGGGAGGCGTCACTCCAGATTTGAAAGTTCCTGGTAGTTGTTGCTTTCTTCCCATCGAACATGATAGCATAGAATTTGGTATTCTCAAGGTATTGCAATGTATGTACTAGCTCATGATAAAATCGAGGTGGAGGTGGTAGATCATTTTGATGTAATCTAGGAGTTCGTAATTTAGACCTTCCGATAGCAAATGCTGCAAAGTAGCTGGATAGTTGAGGAAGTGATGAAAGTGCTGCAGCATGATGTTCTTTCCTTTGTGAACGTCTAGAACCCTGAATTATATGGGATACGTCGATATCGGCACGTATTTGCTCTGCCAAAGGTGCTGTATTATGAGATGATGTTGTAGTGATGATATCATGTTGACTTAACGATGATGATGGGGAAGATGAGAGTTCTGACTCCGGTAATGATGGTATAGGAACATCTCCAGTAGATTGTCTTGTAAGTGCTTCTGGTGATAAGGTTGCTCTAGGCGTTGGCAATTGAGGGTTAGTTTGAGGAACCCCCTCATTGGTTGGAATACCATCATCCGTCTTGTTTGAAGAGCTTTCATTCGTTGGTCGCTCGTTTAAGCGATTGTGTTGTAAGTTCCATGGCCCTTCAACTACAATTATATCACCAATACTCTCATCTGATTCTTCACTCAACAGATTCGATATTTCTATCTCTTCTGCCCTCTTTTCGTGAATAGCTGCAGTATCCCGAAGTTGATCCTTAATAAGAAAGCCAATATCTATATCTTCTGGTCGATAATACCGGGTTTCATCAAATTTGACATCCCTACTTCGAATGATGCGATTTATGGAAGGGAGCCAGATCCTGAAGATATTCGTTGAATCATACCCTACAAGATAGCCCAGTTTTGCACGAGGTTGCATCTTCGCACGTCTTGGAATCTGCTTGTTGAGCACATATGCCAAGCACCCATATGGATGTAGATGTGCTAGCGAAGGTTTATTGCCAGTAGCACTTTCAAATGGTGTTTTCCATTGAAGAGCTCTTTTTGGAGTACGGTTTTCAAGATAACCGGCTGTTTTAATTGCTTCTGGCCAAAGGTTTTGTGGTAGGTTTGCTGAAAGGAGGAGGGCTCTTGCTCTGACCATGAGCATTTTACCAGCATTCTCTGCAGCGCCATTCTGTGCTGGTGTATCTGGTGGAGTGCGTTCGACAATGATGCCACGTTTGTCTGTGATCCTCTTGAAGTCGCCCCCTAACGTAGTTTCACCGTCGAGGCGTATGAATCGGACCTTTGAGCCGAATTGTGTTTGTATCAGAGAGAATTGAGTATCCATAATATCGATCATCTCTGTTTTCCTAGTTAGAACATACACCCATTGTATTTTGTGTGTCGTACACCAGAAGTGGCTGATATATCGGGTATTATTATAAGCCTCATCCATCTCGAACAGATCCCATGCCAATCGATCTCCGACATGGCCGTTCTCTGGCATCTCCTTCCTTGGATTACGAGATATAATCTGTTGAGCCTTCGAGAGATTACAAACTTTGCAGGTAGAGAAGGAAGGTGTCGAAATCGTTTTGTCGATAATGATATCAGTAGTTGCTGATTCTAGGTGCTGAAGGGCTTCGAGAGAAGGATGGCCTAGAAGATCATGTAACTCTGTTGTTGTAACCTTTCGGCATATTGATTTGGTGTGGTTTTTGGTGGCAAACGAAGCATGCTGAGAAGGGATAATAGGATCGAGGGTCCAATGGTCTCCTGTTTGCTTCAGAGTAATAAATGCAATGCCTTCTTTTGTAAGGACATCTGGGTGTTCAGTGTTCCAATGTACACCTTTCTTTGAGAGTAAAGCTAGAGAGACTAGGTTTGTAAGAAACCCTGGGATGTACGCCACTCTTTTTAAGGTTATTTGCCCTGGCCCAGTTGGTGTATTGATCAACATAGTGATAGTACCGAATGCTTCAATTTGGAATCGGTCCCTTCCAGCGCTTATCATATCGGATGGCTTTCCAAACTCTTCAAGAACAAAGTTGTGTAGAGAGTTGGTGACATGGGTATCGGAACCGCTATCAATTAGCCATTTGTGAAGGATGCTAGCATTGTTGTAGGTAGGACTTTGTTTAGTGAGAAAAGCCCCAAGATCCTTATCTTTCTCTTTTCCAGATTCTGAAGGATTAGTCAATGTTTCCTTCCATGCTGGATCCCAAGAGAGATTTGCTAGCTTGAGAAGTTCTTTAGTTCCTTCATGTCTACGAACAAACCAGTTCCTTCGTTTTGTTGATTGCCTTCCCCAGAACTTCTTGAAGTATTCAATATCGGCATCGATTGGTTTCCAGTTCCTTGGTCGATTATCCGAATATAGATAGTAGCATTTTTCATATAGATGTTTCTTGCCACATAGACAGGTTCTCTCTCCTTCCTTTTTATCTTTATTCCCATCCTTATAGGTTGCAAATGACGTAGAAGAGGTTGAAGTAGTTGATGCCTGTGTGAGTCGAGTGTAGTTTCGAAAGTCTTCGATTAAATCGTACACATCAATCGTTTCTTCAGGCTGATTCTTGAGCTTTTTGGTGATCTCCAACAGAGTTGAAGTTGCCCAAGAGGAGCTGTGATTCATAAGGGCTGTAGAAAAGTCGAACGCAGCTCGATTTCGATCGACGTCTGGCAGATTGAGAGTTTTAGCCTCAGTGTAGATGAGTTCCCATTCGTTCAACCATTCATAAATATCCTGATTGGATTTGTAGGGTTGCTTTACACAATTGTATCGTGCTACGACGGTAAGCTCTCTCGCACGATCAGTTGGTGCTAGCCTTTTGCGTAAATCAGCAAGCACTTGAGGTGCTGTGATACTGGTGGTACTAATAAACTTTTCGCAATTGCGGTTGATTGATGAAAGTATGTACTTGAGAACCTCTGAAATGGCCTTGTTGATTTTCTCGTATTTGGTATTCTTGATACGATAGTTCTCTAGTTGCATCTGATATTGCTTTAAAGCCCTATCAATAACAGCCTCAGAAGCATTTTCATCAACTGTGGGTAGCTCTGGTTCATCTAGCAACTCTGGTATAGGTACAACTGTTGTAGTGGGATCAAGGTATACCCAGCATTTGATGCCGCCGGATTCTGCAATACGCTGAACATTTCGAATCCAACTATTCCAATCCTCTGGTGAGGAAAGGATGATTTTAGTTGAATTATCGCCTGTAGTCATATTGAAGAAATAAAGTCAGAATTATCGAGGTTTGGGTTTTATAGAAACCACACTACGTAAGGTAATTCTTAAAAGAGTGAAACTTGAAGGTATCGTAGAGTTTCGGTATATGTGAATCAAGTATTGTGCAGGATGTTTAATTGAAAGTCAGCACCGGGCTCATAACTGTTGGGTTTCTTGAGACTAGAAAGAGTATCAGATTGAATTGATTGATTCTCTAGCTAAGCAGTTAAGCTGCGAGTATATATTCAAAAAATGAAGGAATAAGGTTAGGTATTCAGCCTTCGGAATTAAAGTGCTTTGAAATCAAAATATTGAAAGCAAACAAACAGTATACCAAAAAGGAAAGAATGAATTAAAAGTTGAGTTTTGTTTGCTCCTTATATGCATATGTACTATATATGCATATGCTGCCAAGATCCCAGGAGGTCAACAAAGTGATATACGCCTTGATAAAGTTCTCGATTTGTCGACTATATGAATACTTTAAAAAACCAAAACAATCGATATCGAGTGATTGAATTAAATGCGAAGAATAAGGTAGTAAATTAAGTAATATAATATCGTGTTCCTTGCAGTATTCCTGAAATGCTAGCGATTTATGACTTTTATACCCATCAAGCACTAGTATTCGATATCTATTTACTTTCCTACTTTCAGTATGTTTGTTGAAGTGCTTAATCCATTCAAGATCTGTCTTATTATCTGTCTATTCATTGATAATAGGTTTAATAAGTCAATCGTATAGTAAATCACTTTCGGTATACCAATTTGAAAGATGGTATTTGCCTTTTACTATCAAAAACGGAGGTATATTGTGATTTTCTCCATCAATACAAATAATCGCTATAGCCCATTCTCGATTGCCTGATTATATAGCTTTGCTTTTTCCACATCGATCAGCTTTAGTAACTACTATATATAATGATATTTATCCTATCATAAAGCCTATCTCATCGAAGTTGTAGAAATCGCAGTCCAGAATACTACATTTGGCCTGCATATTCGATACTAATCGAAACCATCTTTCAATAAGCTCTGAATCTTTGCAGAGAGCTCTTTGAAAATCATAAACGCGATTAAAACACATCTTTAATTCTGTATATCGTTTTACAAAACGATGAGCCTAGAGCTTTCCAATCTTCTTCGTACCCTGCATTTCGAGTATATAATTCACTATATCTTCTATATCACTTATTCGAAGACTAAACCCTCTTTCATCCATATCCAATATATATTGAAGAAGCGATTTCTCCTTCAATTCTGTCATTTTATGATTTGCTGATCGATGTTCAATAAGAGGCAGAATTCCATTTATTTTAAAGGTAAGGGTAGTATGAGGTATATTATAGAGTTTTGCAACTTTCCGAATACTCAAATTTTGAGATATACGAATAGCCTCAATAGCTAAATTGATTCGAGCTTCTTTTGAAGTAGCTTGCATAATTAAATATTGATAAATCGTGTGTTGAAGTTGAAAGGTGATAATTGAGGTAAAAGTGTACAGGGTCCTGATAAACCACGTTATGTGGTGTTACGATAGTAACAACTGACTAACTAGGAGAGCTTGGGCCTTGTGCAAAAGCGATCAGATTTCATCGAATTAATATGTGATCTGGGTCACTTTAGGATCGTATACGCATGTATTGTCAGAAAACACGTGACTTGGAGCTTTTGGAGCTTGAGGATCCAAAAGGATCCAAGGGAGTATGAATATCTATATATTCAGTATGGATTTCCTTTGTATGAAGCTTCATGCTCAAGATCAATCATTTAGTATACTCTACTATTAGTTACGAATTGTATATCATTATTGCCATTACTTAAATCCCTGCTTGACGCCTAGTTATAAACCACCTCGAGAGCCTAGAGCACTTCCACGTGATCTAGACGGCAAACCTCGTAACATTATATTAAATTCACTGAAATCTTATATTATCATTATTAATTGATAAAAATAGTAAGTTAATATTTTTTATAATATTACTTATCAATAAATATTCATGCTGAAATCTAATAATTCCAATATACATTCATTGTACGACGAAAACCTCTCGCTTCAAAAAAGGTGCAACATGCTCTTCGATAACTTTATGGAGATATATTACTAAAACATGCCCCGTCTGCCACATACGACCACAGACTGAAGAGAATTGGGCATCCCGTCCGCTCTGCCATACACAAGCTTCAGATCGGTGGATTAGTAGTTGGGTGGGTGACCACCAGCGAATCCCCACTGTTGTATGTATCATGAATTTTTGCTTCATCATCACGTTTCATTTTTGAATCCCTTCTTTTTAATACCCTACACACAAAAAATAATACAGCCTTTACTTCGTCTATCGCTGGGGATTCGTAGGACTTCTATTGTTTTCAATACCCAGGAGAGAAATTATCGATGCCTCTCGCGGTATAGATTCTTGATGTGGGAAGTGTTTGTAGTTTTCATCCGGTATGTGCTTGAAGAGGGAGGAACTTCATTCTATACAATATCTTATATGGGAGCATCGTTTTTCATTTGCGAGGTAAGAAACTCGCTGCGTCGTCAACTGGATTTGAAGACGCCTATTACTAGGTGGGAGAGGAAAGAAGCAGATTAATTATATCTGCCTTTAACAAGAACTACGAGTCATCAAGCTTTAAAGGTTCCTCCAGGATCTCTAGCTATAAGTCTAGTACCCCACTTTTTGGCCACCCCCTCTTTTCGGCCAACTTTGTGTTACGAGGTTTGCCGTCTAGATCACGTGGAAGTGCTCTAGGCTCTCGAGGTGGTTTATAACTAGGCGTCAAGCAGGGACTTAAGGTAATGACAATGATGATATGCAATTCTGTTACGACGGCTTCGGATCTCGTATCATGTGACCAATTATGTAATCACATGGTCCCTTCGATCCCCTCGGTCTCTTGATCGAAGGGACCGAGGGGACCAAGGGGACGATTAGCATGAAGGTCTATATAACCAAGATGGATTTCCTTTGTATAGAGCTTCGTGCTCAAGATCAATCATTTAGTATATCCTACTATTAGTTACGAATTGCATTTCATTATTGTCATTACTTAAGTCCCTGCTTGACGCCTAGTTATAAACCACCTCGAGAGCCTAGAGCACTTCCACGTGATCTAGACGGCAAACCTCGTAACAAATTCGTAACTAATAGTAGGGTATACTAAATGATTGATCTTGAGCACGAAGCTCTATACAAAGGGAATCCATCTTGATTATATAGATCTTCATATTCCAATATTGAAGCGATAGAGCTGGGTAGCGAGATTCGAATCTCGCTCCTTCGTTCCCTCGCTCCCTCACAAGACTATTCATGTGATCCTATAACACGTGATAATAATTATAATGTTACAACGTAACATGATAAAGCCTTAACCCATAACTACCAACCAGACAAAACCTCAGGCAGCCGCTGCCTCCAGTACAGTATCGTTACAGATTTATATATAAATTTAAAAATCTTGAAAATCTCTAATAATTTTTTAACAAAAATTATGAAAAATAAATTATATATTTTTTTTCAAATATTTATATTATATGTTAAAGTGAATGGTTCCTGCGTAGCACGTGCACAAGGCACTAGTCCTATTAGGACTAGATTGAGAATGTCACACTCAAGAATACTGGGTAAAGTATCTTGTATTAGAAAATACTAAGCTAAGGAGAAAAGAAGAAGGAAAACAAGAGTAGAGAGTTTTCCTATGATTAAATACAAACGGGGCATGCCACGTGACCCGGAGGTGTGAGGCGTCACAGAGAAGCTCTCTGTTACGTCGGACTCCACAAGCCCATTACCACGTGATGGACCCTACATAACATGCACGAAAAAATAAAGGTCCAACATATTCTTAGGTCCAGGACCTTTCGGGGTCCTGAAGGTCCATAGCATGAAGGTCTATATAGTCAGGACGGATTTCCTTTGTATATGTTACGTCCAAAACGATTAGTATGTCACATGACCATAAAACATGTGATGGAACGGTGAGGAACGAACGTTCCTAGGAACAACCAGGAACGCTCGTTCCCAGGAACGACGATTCCTAGTTAACCATAGGCACGAAGGACTATATAATCAAGATGGATTTCTTTTGTATAGAGCTTCGTGCTCAAGATCAATCATTTAGTATACTCTACTATTAGTTACGAATTGCATATCATTATTGTCATTACTTCAAGTCCCTGCTTGACGCCTAGTTATAAACTAACTCGAGAGTCTAGAGCACTTCCACATGATCTAGACGGCAACCCTCGTTACAAAATTCTATACAAATTGAAAATCATAATTTCAATTATTTATATTTCAATCAATAAAATTACGAAAAATCTGAAAGTTTCAAAATCTATAATTCAAATTTCATCAAATTCGATATATTAATTATAAAGTTATTAATAAATGAAAATCACGATTTTTGATATAGAAGGGTAACCAAAAAGAGGGGGTGGCCGAAAAGTGGGGTACTAGACTTGGTGGAAGTCCTACGGGGTGTTACGAGGTTTGCCGTCTAGATCACGTGGAAGTGCTCCAGGCTCTCGAGGTGGTTTATAACTAGGCGTCAAGCAGGGACTTAAGTAATGACAATAATGATATGCAATTCGTAACTAATAGTAGAGTATACTAAATGATTGATCTTGAGCACGAAGCTCTATACAAAGGGAATCCATCTTGATTATATAGACCTTCATGCCTATGGCTAGTCAGGACCGCTGCGCGGTCCTGGACAGCCAGCGTTCCTGGACAGCCAGCGTTCCTCAGCGGTCCATAACGTGACTTTAATCACGTTACCTTGGTTTAGTCATGTGACGCGGCATAGAAGATAGCCGTTGTAACACGGGGTCGGTGGATCCGTTCTCAAGTTGATTTATATATATTGCCGGAAACGACGTGATAAATGGGGAGATATTGAATCCTCCGGGTCGTAATGAGCGTAGAAGACATACTCTACGGCATTTCTGAGTCTCATACCATTTGTCACGTGTACAGACTGGCATTTCAGACTAATTCAATTAATTTAACATGGCATCTGGATAAACATTGCCTTCTCCTAGAATCTCAATTGAAACACATTCGCATTTACAAGCCGAAGCTTGAAGCTATACTCTTGACGGATCTCCTAGCAATCTTCGAACAAGAACTGTTGCCTTCTCAATAGCTTGAAAGAAGACCATTGATTTTCCAGGAGGTGCCTTGATACTAAAATCACATCTATTCACATTTGAGAATCAGTCTACTGTTCAATTACATGTAAAACAAGGAAATTATACGTACTTTTGATCATGGACTTCATAATGCAAAAGAACATTTTCTGGATCAGGCATTGTAATGGCCATTTCCCGAATTATTCCCCTTCTATTAGCATTATCCGTCAAGAGTTTTCCAGGACGGATTCTTGAGTACAAAGAAAGATTGAAAAGTGTTGGGACTTCTTCTCCATCTCTCAAAACCTCACGAAGAGCATAAAGATGAGTTGCGAAGCCGTGGCCGCGGGAAATTTTTATCATGGTAGCTGCGTGAGTCTTTGCAGCCTTTATAAAAAGCTCCCGGCGCTCCGGAATTGGCAAAGCTTCGTTGAATGCTGATTGAGTAAAGGCTAAAATCTCAGGTAGAACTGATTGAATGAGTTCGACACGACCCTTGTTAAACAAGCCCATGGAGATGGTCTGAAATGAAGGAGGATGGTAACCAAAATACATTAAAGATGCGAGTTGGATAATAACTTGGTAGCCAGACTTTGGGGGTACATTATGGCTGCGTAAATACAGGGTACCAAAATGATTCCCCGTAAAGCTTTCGGTTTCACTTGGTGAATACGATTTTTCGTATTCTTCCTTAATATTGGCAAGATGCAAGTCTAGCTCGGCATTTGTGATGTATTGATACTCCTTGTACCACTCTTGGCTGTCGCTGTTTTTGACTTCATTTGTGCCATCAACATGGCCTGCACCATGAGAATGAGTTTCGTCGTTAACGCCATTTTGCCCCCGAGTCAGTTCGTATGAACTCTCATCGTGGGAAAGAATAGCTTTCCTGATTGAAGCATCAAATCTTGAGATAGGTAGAGCATCAATCATTGAATGCTCAAAGATATGACCTGACTCTCCATTGGTGCAGACAATAAACTGTAAAGTTTTATCACTCCACCTGTTGTAAATGTCCCCTAATAAAAATTGTTTGCTCCGTTCTGTTGTTGTACTCGGGCTGCCGTCATCAAGACAAACCACGAAAGCGGAATTTTCCACCATATCAATAGTAGTGGAGTTATTCAGGGGGCCACTTCGAATCATTTTGCGCATCTAGGATCGTTAGTCCAAATATTCTTTCACCAAATTTTTAAAGTACGGTGGACACTTACCTTGGCCCAACTGTCTCGCCGGTCAGCAGTCATACCAGCTATTGATTTGCGAGGCGGCTTCACTGCGCCGAGATCAATAATTATTTGGAAAATTTCTTCCAGTTTATAGATATCTACCCTTTGGCCAGTAGAGTCGCGGATGATGATTTTGTAGATGCGACCTCTTCTCAAGACAGCTATGTAATCTTGGCTCGGGTATTTTTTCATTCGATCGACCATTAAACATGGCTCGCGAATCGCATTGAACAGCCAGTTTAGCGCGTCCATACATATGGGCTGGTCATTTAGTAGTACTGGTTGGACTTTATGAGCTTCAAAGTCATCCTTGAACTTCATCGCCGCGAGAGTCACAATCGCAGCTCTTTTAGCTTGGCCATGCTGCATTTTTGATTGAGCATGGACTGCCATGAAGTTTTCGTGCGGTGATATAGAAGGCCTGTTTCTTAGGTATACATGTTTGCAATACAAATCAGACAGCCAACACTCAAGATGAGGATTATTCTGTCTTTCACGTAGACGATCTTGCAATTTTGTACCAATGGATCCTGGTTCCTGAAATTCTATGATTGCTGTGCGTAATTGTTGAAGCTCTCTTTCAGAACATAAGGCTTTTACTGATGTTTCGTAGAAACTGAGCGTGCTTTCCAATTCTGGTAGTGGTAGTCGGGGGAGACCTGTGGTTCCGCTTAGAATTTCGACCACAGCGTCTTCATGTCCATCATTGGTCCCATCCTCACCGGCTTTCAATTTACGGTGCTTCATGACTAAATCAGACTTTTCACACACATTTTGGCCCAACGAATAGAGGTTTGGTGCATCCAAAATATCTGAGGTTTGCAATGTCGAATGAAATGAACGGTTGATCCAGTTTTTCAGCTCGATGGCGATCAAAGAATCTAAACCAAGGTTCTCCATAGAAGCATTGATATCGATATCGCTGAAATCAGAGGCAACAAGCGCGCATAACTTTTTAGAAATCGCTGTAGTGACGATGGATTGAACTTGGTTAAAGCTTTGAGCTGTGGAAAGTTCCTCTTCAATACTCCTTGTAGCTACCAAAGGAGTAGACTGGACACCGGATGCACAAACTGGAAGATGGCTAAAAATCTGCTGAAGCTCGACACCTTTTCTGTTGCTTACTGATTCTCTGTCTATACCTATTGCAATTTGGGCAAATTGGGGTTCACGAGCTTCGGGTCGCATAGAAAATTCCAGAAGCGAGAGAAACTCCTCGATCTTTACGGGTACGCAAACTTGTCGAATCAGTTTCATCGCGTTGTCGGAAACCTTTTCTAATGATTCTGTCCCTTCAATCATGCCCAAATTTAATGAGCTGATTCGTGAAGTGGAAGATGCCTGGCCATGCAGTTGAGCGACTGCATCTTGAAAGCTGCAAGCCGCTGAATAATTTGCCTGTGCTGTGTTTCCAAGAATTGTAGAGCATGATGAAAGAATGACAAAAAAGTTTAAATGATCGATGTTCAAACAATGCAAAAGATTCTGAGTGCCCGAAACTTTAGGATTCACCGCAGCTCTGTAGTCATCGACTCCCATCTTCTCAAGTGTCCGATCCTAGATTTCTTAGTATTATGGAGGAATTAACGACTCAAAAGACTTACTTGAAGAACCATCGCAGCTTGGATAACTCCTTGAATGCTAGGCATTGTTTCCCGAGCAATGGTAATCGCCTTTAAGCAGTCTTTCTTGTTAGAGATGTCGCAGGTGATAATCCTAAAATGTGCCCCCAATGATTCAATCTCAGTCATGAGAGGTTTCGACCTCTCTTCATGAGATGTCCTGGATAATATGAGAATGTGTTTTGCCCCGCGATCGACGAGGAACTTTGCGATGACTCTTCCAATGCCTCCTAAGCCACCAGCTATTAAGTACGTCCCATCACAATCTAGACACAGGGTTGTGCGGCCAGGAGATGCCACGGTAATGAGATTGGATGTATCTGTATCTAAGACTATCTTGCCCATATGCTTTCGAGCTTGTATAAGTCTAAATGCTTGTTCGATATGACCGATGGGCATTTCCATAATAGGATAGACAGGACTAATGTCTGTATTGTTGAACATTTCCATCAATTTTTCGAATATGGGTAGAAGTTTCTCTGGCTGATATTTGACCACAAGAGTCATGTCGACTGATGCAAAAGTGACATTTCTCTCGAAGGGTTCCAGGCTTACATTTTGTCTCTGGTATATGCCACTTTTTCCAATCTCAACAAATGTACCCTACAACTGTTAGCAAAGCTGTGATAACATGACTGAAAGTTGATACGAACCATTGGAGCGATGCACTGCCATGTTTCTTGCATTGCCTCCCCAGCAAGAGAATTCAGTACAACATCTACCCCTCTGCCACCCGTGAGTCGATGAATACCTGAACGAAAGTTGAGCGACCGGCTAGAGAATATATGACTCTGGGGAATTTTGTATCTTTCCACAAGCATTTCAGATTTAGAGACACTTCCTACCGTTGCAATGATTTCAGCGCCAATACTCTTTGCTATCATAACCGCTGCTTGGCCAACTCCACCAGATGCTGCATGAATTAAGACAGTCTGTCCCTTTATAAGTTTCGCAACGTTGACAAGGCAGTAGTAAGCAGTAGTAAAGACAACAGGTATAGAAGCGGCAGTCAAAAATGACATAGAGTCTGGAATCTGATAGACAGTGCATCCGAGGGATCTGGCAAAATTGGCATATGGTGTCGCAGCAAGCGACCAGACTCTATCTCCAACTTTGAATCTATGTCTCAGACCTGCGCCAACTGAGGAAATTATGCCTGAGCATTCACCTACCATGTGATCTGTTGCTTTCATCTGACCAAGTGCAACAAATACGTCCTTAAAGTTGACACCGCATGCTTTGACCTGGATTTCTACTTCATCATCTCTAAGTGGACTATCTTTCAGTTCATCATCTCGGAACACCATAGTATCGAGAAGTCCAGGTGCTTCGACGTGTAGTTTCAATGCGCGGTCCAACTGTCTAAACTCACCAAGCTCGAATTGAGGATTGTACGTATGTGAAGTGACTACTGCATTCAAGAAGTCGTTAGGAATGAGCCGAGGTATGTAGATTTGATCATCTCGAAATATATAATCTGATTCTTCGGGATATTTGTTGACAGCTCCTAGCCTCATTATGATTTCAGAAATAATTGTCAAAATCGCTGTCTTTTGGGATGAGTAAGCTTGTTGAACGTCAAGTGTTGAGAATTTCAGTCTTTCGTTTTCCATTCTCGCAACACGGGCAAACCCACTGATCAGAGAGGTCTCCGCGTTGGCCGAGAAATTATCTGAATCCTTAGGAATTGAAACCCATAAGATCCGGGCCCCTTGAGTTGCAAGGCGAGTGATTTTTCTAAACGTCTCTTGACTCGGGTTGACTAGCAATGGATTATCACTGCAATCTATAACCAAATACAAGCCAGAGTCCTCAGGTTCCGGTTGTGACCATGAAGAAAACGATGTTGTAAGCCCTTGTTTCTGAAAATGAAGGAATGCATCCGAGGCGAAGGATTGAATGTTTTTACTGGGGCTCTCGGCTCCTGACAGCGCCGCCCCAACCAAAATCTTGATTTCATACTTTAAGTCACCGGAAGTTGGGTTGTATGCTGATACGATTAGATCGCATGAGCCAGCAGGGCCCTCGAAGTCTGTCGCCGACACTTCGACACCACTGAATGAAGCTCGAAGTAACACGTCGTTCCATTCTGAAACTGACAGGATCGGGGTGTCCTGGCGTCCATCATTGATGCCTGTAATCGGGTTAATGTATTAAATCTTCACCTCGGAGAAATAGTACATACCTGCCCACCATCCTGGCAAAAGACCAAAAGTAATATTGTCCATTGGACTGAATCGGGTGATTTCAATAAGCGCCAACTTTCCTCCGGGTTTTAGGAGCTTTCGTACATTATCTAAAGTTTTAGTAATACATTTTGTCGCGTGCAATACATTCGAGGCAATAATGAGATCGTACGAAGCTTCCTCGAATCCCTGTCCAAGTGGGTCGATTTCAATGTTGAGAGTCTTGTATACGAGTAAGTCCGACCAGTTTTGAAACTTTGATCGTGCGGCCTCGAAGAAACCAGAAGAAATATCCGTATAGTCATAACTTTTGAAGGTGAAATTATTGGGGTTTCCTAGCTGTTGCAAAATAGGAAGTGTGGTACCTCCTGTACCAGCACCGATTTCCAGCACTACCAAGTTCGGCTGCCTGAAGGACAATAACTCCAGGTATTTGACCAAATGCAATGACGCTCTTGAGAGCCACTCATTGGCGTAGTATCGTTCTAGTCGATTTTGCTCCAGCATCAATGAAAGGGGATCAGATATTCCGGACATAATTTGTTCTAGTCTTCCACCTAAATGACGCAAGAAATCGCCCTCAATACCGGTGCGTGCCTCAGATAAAATGCTATCCACATCTTGTCCAAGACTTTTCGATATAATCTCATGATAGTGCTCCGTTTTTGTATATTTATACATCCACTGTAACAGCAAAGTGTAGTGTTTAGGACATGTGGAACCGATAGTTTTGGTGCCATTGAGAAAATCCCGGATATAAAGAGCAGCTACTTTGTCAATCGCTGCACGTCGTTTTTGCATTCGCAGCTCGTTCGATACAGGGCCCATATATTGTTTAAACAGGCTTGTTGTCATGAAATCAATGTCGACATTCCATTGTATTGTGTGTGTAAAATTCCGTATCGATGTTCGTTCAATGGTCCCTTTATGGCGAAAATCACCAAGCCCTTTCAGTTCCCCATTTGAAAGAGTAACAACGCATCTTGACTCATTATCCAAGCCTGATTGAAATGCCAAGCTATTTGTAATTGCAGATCTTGGGCCGGTTGGATCGAGCTTAGTCGCCACACGGAATTCCTGGCCGGGAGCAGCTGATATATTGGACTCGACGGTGAACTGATCAATGTAAATTGGCATCACAGGTCCGTTGACACAGTGGTTGAGGCAAAGAGGCAGTGCTGTTTGGAAGATAGCGTCTAGCGTCGCGGGGTGAACAACATGTGGTTGCATGAAATGCGAAGGCATGCATTCGCTTATTGCGGGGGTTGATACTTTAGCTGTGGCGTGAAACTCACCGACCATTAGTTCGCGTATACTCGCGAAATTCGGCCCATAGCTATTGCCTAAACTTTTGATCTTCTCATAGAAATCGGATGATTTGATGAGTTTAGTGCTGCCCTCTGTGCATTCTTTCAACATTTCTTCTACGGAAAGAGCTATAAAATCGGCCTCCCTCAGTTGGTCAACTTCATCCATTGGCGCAGAGAATTCGAGTTTGATGGCACCGGAACAATGCTGTTTCCAGATGCCTTGTTGGTAGGAACTGACCCCAAATTCGATCCAATCCATTAATGCCCTTTCATTTTTGTTCTTGCCTAAGTTAAGACCAAGCTGCAGCTCGACGCGATTTGGCGAACAAGGAATTGTAAGAGGTTTCGAGAAAGAAATATTTCGCAGAATGTATCGAACAATTGTGCCATAATGACGCTTTTGTTCTCGCGCAAGCTCTCTCGTGGCCTCGATAGCCATACATAAATAGCCAGCTCCTGGAAATATTGCCGAACCATCAACAACATGCTCAGATAGCCATGGTAATGTATCAATGCTGACTAGATGTCTCCAGTGAGGGTTGTATGGTGTCCCACCTACGACGCGAACCCCCAGAAGGTCGTGATAGGGATTATCACGCAAGCGGTGCTCCAGGCTTAAACGAGATTCATGCCAGTACTGAGTACTGTGATCCCACGAGTAAGTAGGGAGGTCAACCAGTACGTCAGGCTGTATCATACCCCCGGAAAAATGTTGAAGTGCTTTTAGGTTGACTGCGTAGCCACACTCATGGAGTTTTCTTGTCAAATCGAGCATGCAACGTGTTGAATCTTGATTCCTGATCAAGCTCGGGAGATATTGCAGAGTATTGCTTCCATATTCTAGTTGTGCTGTTACTTGACTAATAGGTCCCACAAGGGTAGAATGTGGACCTATCTCCACCAGTATATATTTCGAGGAAGTGATAGACTCTGAAAGCTCCGCCTGGCACAGAAAATTTAATGCATCAGAAAATCGAACCTTAGAAACTAAATTATCCACCCAATACGCAGGTCCGAAATTCTTGGATTTTTTTTTCAGCAGTGACGGATGAAACGAACAGAATATTATAGTCTGCATCATTATGCGCAAGTCCCGCCAGCATGTTAAGATACTGACTAGCCACAACTTCCATGTGGTGTGAATGGTATGCCGTATCAACGTTGAGCTTCCTCGTGAAAATTGAGCGATTCTCGAGTGTTCTTTGCAGCTCTAGGATCGCAGCTTCATCTCCAGATATCGTAGTACTTGTGGGACTATTACTACATGCAATTACCACTTTGCCACTTGAAAGAGTCTGTATAAACGGTTTTACTTTGTCCTCGCCGAGACCGACTGCAAGCATAGCGCCTTTCATTGCAAGAGTCTTTTTGCTGATTCCAGAAACGATACTACGATAGTATGAGATTTTGATCGCCACGTCGTGACTAAGAATTCCTGCTGCGTATGCCGCTCCGATTTCGCCGCTCGAATGCCCCAATACTGCCGAAGGAGCAATATCAAGAGAACGAAGCAGGTCTACGAGAGCAATTTGCAGAGCTGTAGTTGCAGGATGAGAAATATTGCTCTGATTTATTCGAGAAAGCGATTTATCGATCTCAAAGAGCTTGTTGGTACGAGAAGGATACGGAAGACGTAGCACCCACGGATTATGTAGGTCCTGTATGTCTAATTGTATTCTGTCTAAAGAGCTAGCTACATATTGAAAGTAGTAAGTCTTATATAGACTTACTAAAAGAGCTAGTCTCTTTCGCGTTCGCCTAGTTCTTTATTACAGTAGTAATTGAATTGAAGTCATTCACTTCGTTCACACAGAGCTCCTCAACCAAGCTCCATGGGCAGCCGAGATCTCGTAAGATCCGGTCTGAAGCGTGCATACTTTGTCTGAAAATAGAATGGCCAACAAACAATTCTCGCCCCATTGACGCCCACTGAGCGCCTTGTCCCGTAAAAATGAAGGCAACACGAACATTAGTGGAGGCTTTGGTTGCTTTGCAGATGGCTTGGTCTGATTTTGCAATAAGTTCTTCAAGATTTGCAGCCACAATACTAGAACGCCATTGAAATACCGATCGTCGTTGGTTTAATGTGTAGGAAAGATTCTCAAACTGATTATTTGAAGATTTTGTCTTCGAAATCATAGCCCAGCTTCGAAGCTTTTCAATTGCTCCAATCAAAGAAGTCTTAGACTTGGCAGATAGTAAAAATAGTTTAGCTGACGTCAAGACCCCTAGAGCACTTGGCGTTTGCGTTTGTTCCGGTTCAGTTCCTAGAGGTAAAATTGGATTTGCTATTGCACCGTGAGCTACAGTGTCCGCCGTCGGGCTCATCATAGTACTAGACTCCAAAATGGCATGCGCGTTTGTACCTCCATAGCCAAAGCTGTTTATTGCCACCCGAGCCTTCCCATCTTTATCAATAGGAAGATTTTCAAGCTTCAGAGGAACGAGGATATTGGACTGTCCTAGATTTAGTCCCTTTTTATAATTCCTCAAGTTGACATTGGGGGGGATGAGACCCTTTTCAAGTATTTTGATAGCTTTCAGAAGTCCGGCAGTACCACTAGCACTCTCAAGATGACCAAGGTTGGATTTGATAGATCCGACAAAAAGAGGTTCTTTCCTTTCCGCGCAAAATACATTCGCAATAGTCTTTGTTTCAGCCAAATCTCCGGCGACGGTCCCAGTACCGTGTGCTTCCACGTAACTGATGCTACGTGGCTCAAGTCCCACCTGCTTGAAGACTTGATTGATTAGAGCCTGCTGTGCCGTTTGACTGGGTAAGGTGATGCCTGCTGTTTTCCCATCTTGGTTTATTCCTGTATTTCGGATAATTGCTCGAACGTGGTCACCAGCTTCCACAGCGTCTTGAAGTCGTTTCAAAACGATGGTAGAAACACCTTCTCCACGTCCATAACCAGCACCTCGATCATCAAAGACGAAGGATTTACCGCTAGGATCAAGAACACTGCCATTATCACATTAGTTAATGATATGAAATACTCAATGTACACCTACCCTATACGACTCATTGGGATCATACTATCTGGACTCAAGATCAAACTTGTCCCGCCAACCAGAGCCATATCTGTGTCTCCAGAACGAAGTCCCTGGCATGCCTGATGTAAGGCTACAAGACTTCCGGAACACCCCGTATCCAAAGTCATAGAGGGACCTTTAAGATCGAATGTATATGAAATGCGGTTTGATACAATGGCTTCACCGGAACCAAGTAGATGGTACTTAGCAATGTCATTGGTATCTTTAAACATCATCCTATCGTAATCCTTATTGAACAGGGCAATAAATACTGACGTAGAAGAACCTCGAATAGCTTCAATTGGAATACCGGCGTTCTCTAGCGCTTCATAGGTCGTTTCTAGTTGAAGGCGATGTTGAGGATCCATTGCATTAGCTTCTGCTGGCGGTATCCCAAAAAATCCGGCATCAAAAGTGCGGATGTCTTGGTCGATAAAATGACCGCCACGGGAGTTGATTGTGCCAACAACATCGGGTGATGGATGTAGGAAAGATTTCCAATTGAAACGGTCGGCGGGGACATCTGACCAAGCACTCTTTCCTTGTGAAATAAGTGACCAAAGCTCCTCAGGGCTGTTGGCACCGGCCGGAAAACGGCAGCTTACCCCGACGATAGCAATAGGCTCACAGTTACTTTGAGTCATATTCTTATTTGCCCTTGCGGTATGAAGCTTGACAGAGGGGGGCTGTGGTGGTAAAGGTAGTTATTTTGCCAGGCCGCTCAGCAGACTAAGGACTTGGGCGACTGATAATTCACGAGACAAATAACTCGGGAGACTAACAACTCAGAAAGAAATAGATGATCAAACTTGACTACTAGGAAGCCAACTTGCGATGTGATATATAGCAAATACTTTTTGCTTGATAGGTTTGGACCCAGGAACCCTCAAAGATAAATGCGACATTGTAGTTACGCCATACGTTGAACTGCGGGGTACTTTTGACATTGGATCCATCCAAATATCAAATTGCTATCGGACGGAAAAGTATCGACACGTAATAAGGTTGATTGATATGCATGTGAGAAAATGCATGAAGCAGCTGTGCAGCTGTGAAGAAACTTGGAAATGAGATCCGAGATCTGTATAATCATGCAAACGGGCCACTTAGAATGCAGCACATATAGTTTAAAAGCGGAAAAATGTAAGATCTTAAGATTTTTGTATCGAATCTCAGGGCTGGGCAAAGGGTAGTACTCTAGGGGGATCCGCCGGATGATTATTTTGTTGTATCCCTATAGGCTAGGATAAATATCCAAGGGTGCAGGGTATATCCGCCGGGTATTGTATATGAAATTCATATGAGGTTTAGATTTATATAGAGTTATAACATTTATAACACCAAGATTATTTACAAGATAATCTGAAGTCAGATGATCTAGTAAAATACATATACATATGTGATTATTTTGATTTTCTATTATAATTCAAAAGAATCAGATTTTGAGATGATTATATAGAATGATCATACGATATATACCCGGAGTAAACCCGTACGCCCCAGTTTCATCAGATAATCACCCTGTTATATCTTTTAGGGTAGGGTAATACCCTATAAAGGTCAAATACCCAGTATCAATATTCTTCTCATTTATTATCATGATATAGTACCGATGCCCTCACTGCTGTTGCACGAATGTGCCGCACGCCGACTTCTTCAGCTAAATTCGCTGCTGCAAATATGATTGATCACTCTACTGCCTGGTTATGCCGTGTAATATTGATTTTTGGATAGTTCCTGCACTCGTAAGCCATCATCTTCCAGTTTTTCAAGACGTCATCATAACACTTTATCAGTACAATTTTTTGACAAGCCTCCTCGGACCACTTCCTCCGGTCGTAAATTGCGCTGTGATACCCATGAACGTATACTGGTCTCTGTTCCGGCGTCTATGTCTATTTTTGTGTTTTTCGGTCGTTCTCATCACTGCAACACATCATCAACCCAGATTTTCACAATGGAAACTCAACCAGTATCTGGCACCACTATGTCAGCTCAACGGAGGAATGGCCACCCTTGATTATGAGCATGCCAGCTAGTCCAACGGCTCAATCAAGGCCGACACTTTCTACAAAGTTCCTGATGACACAGCAAATTATTCTGCGGGCACACCCATCAAGGTTGAAAAGGATGACAATGCTTCCTTGTACGCTCTTCCTCCCAGTACCGCATTATCCCGTTTCATATACCAGTCCAAGAAAATCAATGGTGATCTCGTTCCCGTTCAGCCTACATACTATGACCTACGTCCCCACGCAACCAACCAGATGGTTATCAGGTGGTTGCATGGGCACATGGTACCATTGGACTCTCTGCAGAATGCGCACCTTCCCATTTCCACAATCTGTGGGAGCATTTCTTGGCGCCATTCCAGTGGCGCTCCAAGGCTATGTTATTGTAGCTACCGATTACGCAGGTTTGGATGTGGAACTCGATAGTAAATGGAAGCCCATCGTCCATGAATACATGGCCAGCCCTGCGGCAGAAATAATGTTATTTACTCTATTAAAGCTGCGACAAGCATCTCCACAGCTCTCGTAGAACTTTGTGGTGATTGGGTATTCACAAGGAGGCTGTGCGGCATGGCCTACGGCGGAGAGAAATGCGATCTCCCCAATTACTGATTACCTTGGTGCTGTTGCAGTTTCCCCTGTCACTGACATTCTTGGCCATTTGGATCCCATCGCTACCATACCTAGTGCAGCTATGGGCCCAGGCACTGCTGCTGCGTTCCCAGAATTCAAAGTTGTCGACATATTCACAACTGACGAATTACAAACAATGCAAACACTTCTACATATTGAAGAATGTAGCGCAGTTAGAAATAATTTGCTCATTCGGCCAGCTATCGCTGGAAATCTTCTACAACCAAAACTTAGGCCGGAGATCGATCTCCGATTTGAAAAAATGACATTATAAGGTGGAGAGACAGTACAAATTCGAGATCTATTATCCAAAAATATACCCATGGGTCAACTCTGGACAACCTTCTGAGTCATATTTTTGGGCTAGGCAACTTGAAACATAGCCTAATGGTATCTAGCCTTGAGATATAACACTATCACCACATAGAACGCGGTTAGACTCTTGAACCGCATATAAAGATCATTCAAATCAACAGCAAGTTTCCAGGTTCTCTCCCGCTTTCATAGAAAGATCTTGTATGGACCTTTCCTCATTCCCGACTCCATTTTGAAAACCTAATCTTTCCAAGAATATAACGAGGGACAGATCGATCGCGCGAAACCAGTCTCGCTGCGAGCCCAGAACCTCGACTCTTAATATTTCGCTGGTAGATTTCTAATGTCTCCTCTATATCTTCTAAAAAGTGTCGTATTAACTTGTAGTAGGTTTCGAGTATCACAGAAGTCAATGATGCGTAGGACTAATTCGAGTATTTCGTTCGAAAGGCAATGAATATCAAGATGTCTTTTTCTTTCGTCACAAATGCTTTCCCGAAAACGAAATGCCAATAGGAAGAAGAGGTAGACTGAGACCACCCAAATTTATTTTGAGAATTGATGTCATGCCTTTATTTCGTATCGATACCCATGATGGAGAAAAACGATGAGCAAAGCACTATTGATTCCAAACCCCTACATTTTGAGCCTCAAAATTAAAAAAGCTAATAAGAATAGATAATTTTGCTTTCTAGGTACTTCAGCAGCTACAACATCCTCACCGAGATTATCCAGATCTTTCTCATCCGAGTAGGAATCTAAAAGTTCCTCAAAAGAATAGTTATGATCCCATCGCAGAGCACGAACTCTCCTTTGTTAATGGAAACTGTCGAAAGTTTTGAATAACGTTTGAGCATCACGATCAAAAAACATCTTGTCATGGTTTTCTAGGAGTATGATCAAACAGGCTGTATGGAATGGATAGTAGGAGTCTTGGATCTCGTCCAATAAGCTGCGTCAATAAGAGAACAGGTTGAATTCATGTAGAGGTCTAACATTGGTCTTGATCATACACAAATGCAAACGCAACGAAAAAAATTAAAAATCGAAACCCATCATCTATTTATCCTATGCTATACCTAAATAGACACAAAAATTTCCAACATCAACACTCTCAAAATTATCAATATATCCAAAACCCCCGCCCCCCTTAAGTATAAATCGTCTCAGTGATCGCATTAAAGCTCAAACCCTCCTTTGCAAAATCAACCCCATCCATAAACAGCAAGGGCATCTCGACCAACATTCCCCTAACCCTACTCAACTCCTGCTTAACCTCCTCCACACCACCAGGGAATTCTTCTTTCACCACATGTCCGTAAAGATATTTCGCAGGCTCTTTATCTTCTTCCTTTGTATCCTTTGGGCTAGGGGATACGAAATACTGTTCGTAGAATTCATTGTAATCATCCCAGTTTCGTACATTGTCCGCGGGAATCGCATGGAATACTTTCGAGAAGACTTCAGTATTAGTTGCAGCGCGGCCGTTCCAAAGATCGACAAACTCGGGGGAGAATACATCTTGAACTGCAAGATCGAATTCGGAGCCCCAGTCATAATCATTGGGGTCTTTGTTGATGGGCATATAATTTGCATCTGGCCTGGTCCAATCCTGAGGTGCGACCATACCGAGATGTTTTCTGAAAAGTTGTCTGCGGAGTGAAGTAGCGTATCTGGAGGCTTGGAATTCTCGGCCGTTCATATATGAATCGACAGTCTCGTGATCTTCAATCACGATGGCAATTTCAGAGTCATGGCTGCCAAGTTGGGAGCGATCGTTGAGATTGGCGGATCCACAGATTACGACGCGATCATCCGCGATGAGGAGTTTGGTGTGAATGTAGAGTTCTTCACTGACGAAGGCATCGAGTTCCGCCTCCGGAGTGCCGTTCCATGGGATGGAGGTGAGGGATGGTCCATTATCCATGTAGCACGTTGATACTGTGTCGTATTCTTGCGAGCGAGATGCGACTCTTTGATATTCGTCATACTCGTAATTTCTTTGACCTGAACGAGCACCAGTTTCTTCACCGTAACCACCATAGCCAGCACCAACAATGTCATCGTGCTCTTTTCTAGCACTTTCATAACTGACGCCACTTTCTTCCTCAGCTCGAGACATTGTACTGCTATCGTTCAGTCTATCGTAGTTTCTCAAGTTGTAAAATCGGATGTACTCCTTTGGATCGGGTACCCCAGCATTAGCAACTGTTTCCATAATAGAGTTACCACCACGACAGATGGAGTTATATTGATACTCCATGATTGCACGAGTACCCAAGGCATCATCTCCCTTAAGATCGCCAGCAAAAGCAGGTACGGCTGGCATGCAAACGATAACTTTATATTGCTCGCCATTTCGATAAGCACGAATGATTCTCTCTGCAATGGCAGCTCCGATTTTGTTATCGACAGGATGTTGTTTATCGGAACAGGCAGTGATGAAAAATTGATTCTCAATGTAGACAAAATGTTGACTACGAGCAATAATCTCAATGTAGGCATTGGCGATGGAGTGCTATTATAATTAGTAATTTGCATCAATGTATTGTCATGGATGGAATTACCTCGGTGGCTACTCCATTACTCCACTCAGTACAACTTCTTACGAGTTGAATAGAAACACCATTTCGATCGCTTCCGTTATCGGTACTACCCCCAAAGCTGCCGAAGAAGGTTCCTGCACGGTGGATTGTGTCTGAGATTGCACCTTCTGTAGTTGACGTGACATTCGAGCCGTCTTCATTATAGTACCCATCAGGGATTTCATTAGGAGTCAAAGACAATGATGTATATCTAGTATCTTCAGTATTGTATTTTTCCCTGAAAACGAAGTTCCATCTTTGGACAAAATGAGCTCGGAGATCCTCGACTTAGAAGCGTTAGTTAATGTAATTATTGAAGGGTCGCAAATATCTTCAGAAGTATTGATATTTCAGAAGATTCACTTACCAACTGGTCCTGTCAATGACATGGACAAATCCTGCAACGAAAGTTAGTACTTATCTTATAGCGCCACATTTATAATCTAGTAATACATACGGACCAACCCATTCTAGAATACTTTGTACGATCAAGCTTGTTATCTTGCCAGTTTGAAACATCCTGGAAATCATATACTCTCGCATTGTTGAAATCTTGACCGGGGAAGAGAATATTATCCAAGTCACTTGGGTGAGCATCAGAAATTGGGTGCTGATTCACATCCCATCTACCAAAGCACAAATCGAGACCTCCCATAAAGGCGACTTTGCTATCAACGAGACAGAGTTTTTCGTGATGTGCCCAATACAAGATAACATCATTCCGGGCCCCATACAATGCCTTGATGCTATCTTCGGGAAGTTTGGCAAGATCGAAATCTTTCAGGCTGAAATTTTGCAAGTCGGTGAGAATTTCTGATTCAACGTGAATGCCACTTGGAATATGGTCAGGATGACGAAACACTGAGATATTGGGATGGACCTCCAAAGCCTTCTTGGTGTGCTCAGAGCATACTGAGATTATGATTAGTCCAGGTGATATGTGGCCAGAAATGAGGATTAAACATACATGTCAACACCTTGGTAACCTCCTTGTAAATGATAATGTTAACTTTCACACCTCTCTCAGCGGCAGCCAAAAGCATGCGGTCAAGTCTATATTCTTCATTTGCCGACGGCGGTCTTCTCAAATAAAGTTCGGGCGTGAGCCACCAGTCCAAAATCCAGATACTCTCTTGGGCCTCTTCCAAGGCAACAGAGATCGCCCACATGTATGCACACCCATCGATGTGCCATTTAATGTCATGACCAGACCTTGGTGGGGCGAAACTGCCAAATCTGTTCTTATTTCCATGTATGTGAAGTGCATGGCATGCCTCTCCGATATGAGTGTGACTATGTTTCTCGCCGTCTGAGAGACCTACAATCTTGGAGAACTCCCTCTCGACTTCATGTACGAGACCGCCGATGGCAGATTCAGCAGCGTGTAAAAAATGAGACATATTGAGCAATATTTATGACCTGAATGATGGTTTGAAGGAAGCTTTCAGGATGAGCTTGGTCAGTTATATAGATACGAAAGTGTACTCGTACCTATAGTGGGGTTTCGTGGGCTGGTGGAGTGATTCTGGTGGGGTAGGTCAACAGCTTCGACCTATGAAGTTGGTGAATGTTCACCGTCGATACGGGCGGCAATGCTGGCAGTGAATTTGATTGTAACAGGTCTCTGTCAATGTTCATCAAATTGTGGGTTTTGGTTACTTATTAAGTTTCTATGTGTCTGTCAGTCAAGGAAAGAGATCTATGGGGTATGTTTGATATCGCCATCGGTACTCACTGTGTTTCACGTATAGCTTTTGGCTGATACGAGAGGCTGCTGTGTGGACCCTGCAGCTCGAATATGTGCATTGCCGTGCCATTTGTTGGCATAACCATGCTGTAGGGTTCAAGAAGCTTTTGGTATATTCGTATGATTGGTTCAGGCGGAACATTTTCTCCAGATGAGCTATATTTTTATTCGTAGTTGATGCATGACATGACAGCTCAGCTGCAAATCCAGTGAAGCCTGGATGGATCCGGACATGTACTCTGTGTGTGGAATAACAGCAAGGTGGAATAACAGCAATACTGCGTTTGCATGAAAAACCAACGCCGGATTTCTAGCATTGTACAAAACTCCGAATGAAGGACACTCCTTACTTTGATTTGGCTTCCATGTATTCCGGAGATGCTGTCTATGCAGATTTCCCATTAAAAATCGAGAGTACTTGAGTGGTGAGGAGGAAAGTAAGAATGGCAACGAGATAACAATGGCTCCCAGCAGCGGCGGCGACATTTCAAAGTGTCTGAAGCCTTTGTACCTGGAAGTACATAAACTCCGTTTTTGAACAACAGTAGTAGTAATTTGGTGGCACGGCAATTAAAAGGGTCCCTAAAGGAGCTCCGTAAAGTCGAAGCCATCACATTGCAAACTCCCGGTGACAGTACTAGTCATCGTGATTTGTCTCCTGTCACGTACAAAGATATCGAATAGGTGTGCTTGCATTGATGCGGCGCTCTTAGATTCTTATATCTCCCTAGTCATAAAATTCATTCGTCAATTGATAAAACATGGCGGAGGGAGGTTTGGTTAAATCTTGTTATTTATACAAGACCTTAATATTCTCGTGCAGGCAAGTCGGTGGTCAATTGAAAAGTTAGGATGGAAGGAAAGCCTAAACTGGGATCGCTTATAGGCATGTACCTGCCTATATCGGAGAATATGGTAGCGCCAGAATGACAACTATCAATATATTTCGTTACATTCGAGTGCAATAAGATCAACATTCTCAAAATATGGAGATATCATCGAAACAACATTGAAATAGACACATTCTTTACAGCAACTAACACGTCAACCATACCATCAAATTGAACAGTCAAATCCATTCATTCTGCATGAAGCACCAAACTCCGTGACATTAAGTCTTTCCATTTTCTTCACGACCAATCATCATATGATTGGTAATGAGCTGCTTTATTTTACTCATTTTTCGAGAGCAAGAAGAGTATACTTGTTCAATTACATTTATTCCTATACTCAGCCTATCGCCACAGACTTCAACCTCACCAGCCTCAAAGTCGATATGTCTTCTTAATCGCATCAGCAGCTCGCTCGGCCATCGCATACACCGTAGCCTGCAAATGCGCAGCCTGTATCATGGGGAATGTACCTGCATCAACAACTCTCAAATTCCTAACTCCATAAACCTTAAAATTAGAGTCCACCACTCCTCCAAGTTGCCTCTTCATCATCGATGTAGTACCACTTGGATGATATGTCGAACTAATAGTCGAACGAATCCATGTCTCAAAGTCCGACTCGCTTTGCACGGCTGGACCAGGAATGATATCAACTGGTGATAGTGGTGCAAATGTTGGAGTGTTTATTATTTTACGTGCATACTTGGCTGCAGCACTCAGCAGGAGGAGATCTGTTTGATGAGATAGGAATCCCGGGTTTGCTGATGGTGGAGTAAAAGGATCCGTGGAAGTTATTGCTACTGTACCACGAGAGAAAGGATGTTGAAGAATTGCATATACTGACCCATCAAGAAATATGAATTCCATGATTGGAACATTATTTGATGGGAGGTCTCGAGTGAGAATTCTGTATTGGGCCTCATATCCCGACAAGACAGACCGGTCAACACCGGGTGATAAATATGACGCCGGAGTGATGGATGAAGCGGAAGACACGATTTGTGAAGTTGTGTTGGTGAAAGAAGGAGTTCCAAGAAAGGCAAATGCGTTCACCTCTGCAGTGGAATAAGGACCTGTACTACTTGGTTAAGGCCGGTCTCGAATACTCTAATACGTTTTACCTACCTGTTTTATTGAATCTGTACAGGGCGAGCATTTCAGCATTGTAAGTCGAATTACTAGTCAGATTGTTCGAGCTGAGAGCAATGTTCACTAATAAGCCAATCAGTCGATGTTTTCCAAAGATTTGGGCATATCAACGCACAGTTATTAACGGACGCAAGCAATGGGTGATCTTGAAAGTTTGCACCAACCCCTGGCAAGTTTACCACAGTATTTATGCCGAGCTTTTTAAGCAAAGAGGGCTCTCCAATTCCAGATAATTGAAGCAGCTGAGGCGAATGTATAGCACCAGCTGCGAGAATAACCTCCTTATTCGCTAATACAGTCGACTTCGTAGAGTTAGAACTAGTGGCATACTATGTTCAAAGTCAGAAAATTGTTAAAAGGGTTCATCGGTAAACACTTACCTCGACACCAATAATCGGAACTTTTCCATTGCTTGAATGAGTGATCAATTTCGTTGCCTGATGTCTAGTCAAAAGGTGTAAATTTGTGCGGTTACTTGCACTGTTCCAATAAGCAGTTCTAGAGTTCGATCGCGTCTTGGTATCTGGATCAAGTGACTGTGGGTTCCACAAAGCACCATTTGCATCCCCATTCAGAGAATCAAATACTTTGCGGATCCCGAGGAATTTCATGGCTGCAAAGAAGTATTCTAGTAATGAGTTAACAGGTATAACTTTCGTCAAATTCCTTGGAAAAGACTCACTATTGGACGGCCAATAAAAGGTTGGATAGCTTGAATGAACCTATACAAAGATCAGACAATGTCACAACGATTGGTAAATGGTTTACTACATAACCGTTGTATCCATGTGCTGCAGGATCAGTTTGTATATCCCATTCCTCTGCAATTTCCGGCGCGGGTGGTGTGAAATTAGTTGACTATTTAACAATAAATAAGTCCATTTACTTTCCAAATTACATAGAAAAAAAGACCTCACCTTTTTAAAATACGGAAAGAGATCATCCCAACCGACTCCCCCAACTTCCAACCAACGATCATAATCCACTTTCCCAGCAATATCAAAAACCATCTTATTCAAACAAGATCCTCCACCCACTACCTTACCCAACGGTATAGCAATTTCCCGATCATCCGCGGCTTGTTGCGCAGAATAAGTTAAATTCCAATCATACTTCGTCCCTATAGCACCATTACTAATTCCTGCAAGAAGCGGCACATATATAAAGTCTTCCCCTTGATCACTTTAAAATTCACACATACTCGTCAGAAATGTAGATAATAAAAATTTTCCACGTGCATATTACTCACAGTTCACCCGCTTCGATAATGAGAACGCTCGTTGCTGTATATATATATATATGATTAGTTTTTCTGTTCAAAGCTTCAAATCAAATAATTCAGTGTTTCTGACCTGGATTTTCAGACAATCTATTTCCTACAACGAGGCCGCTTGTGCCTCCGCCTATGATTATGAAGTCATAGCTAGCTAGTAGTGCGGTGTCACGACCAATTAGCTTTCCACCGAGTGGTGCTGCGTGGGAAATGATAGATAGGGCGGATAATAATAATATTGAGGAAATTGAGAATAAAGACATTATGGAAGAGTGTGTACACAACAAGAGTATCATACTTCAGTGGTATCTAAAGGGTATATACCCGACTTAAATATTGTAGCGCAAGCGGATTTCTTCACTTGAGGTTACATTGCCAAGTCAAGCCTACATGCAGCCCTCTTTTCCTCAACTTCAATCCGGTCACAGTAAAGTCAGAATAGCGAATTTTATTGGCAGACAAAATTTCTCAAAAGATTATTTGAGACAAGAACAAACTAATTACTCGGCAAAACGCAGAACACTAAAACTTCCCGGAATAGATCGAGAGGATATACACCAATACGCCTATGCAGGCAATCCCCCGCTTTGCCACGAAGACACGGAACGGGACGGCCCATATAGTCAAATAGATCTGCACTGCAGAAAAAGCCTCAATTTAAGGATCAATAAATGCCATAATGTGATTACCAGACTGGGAGATACGCATGAGCCCATTCCGGCAACATTACAAATCCTGCAACTTCACCAGAACCTTTTTTCCTCTAATGCCATTTTTAGTCAGAAGATCAACGCCAAAGCTCACCCCCGCAAAACCTGTTGCTACTATTTCCCCTTCATTTGGCTCTAGTAATTCTTTCCAGAGGAGACTTTCGAGTCTCGGGATTAGCTTTTCTACAGCGTGGTTTAGGGCGTCTCCTGCTGGTTCTCCGTAATTGCCAATCAGAGCGAGGTTGACCTGGTAGATGCTGATTTCCTTTTGTTCTTCGATTGGATCCCTATTTTCGGTTATTAGCTCATTATCAAATTGCTGATTACGACAGGTTATTCTCATACCAGTTATTTGTAGTTGAGAAAGTTTTCTTTTGTGTTTTAGCCGTTGACTTGGTATTCAAAGCTGCTAGGGCTACGACAGAACTGGCAGCTGAAGCATCGAATATGCCTGCGAAATCTCCTGATGTAATAGACTCGATCTCAGGTAGCTGATTTTCGATGGGTTGTTTATAGTCAAAGGTCGCATCTGCTCCGGCAGATTTGGCAACCTAGAGAGATATGTTAGTTGCTACTCCCAGTTCGTTGGAACGAAGAATAACTGTGAGGAACTCACATCAACACTAGAGTCTGAGCACGAAGCGAGGACTTGGTATCCAGATAATTTTGCAAGCTAGATTGTATCAATATCATTTTCTCCAGACGTCATTGTAGAAAAGCTAACCTTGATACCGTATTGCCCAACATTCGATGCACCTCCTAGCACAATAAACCATTCTGGTTGATTTTCTCGGGAGGCAGGATACATGATATCGTTTCCCTGATCCAGAGATATTGCAGCTGTCTATGAGATACGCAATCAGTATTCATCATCCACAACCTAACACAACAACTATCAATTAAAAAGAGATCTACTCACCAATAGCCCCGCTCCAATCGTGGCAGCTTCTTCGAGCGAAACATTCTCCGGCCTTTTAAACGCCAATTTCTCATCCATTAAATGCTATATTTTCAAACAATCAATTAGCCTCTTGCATCCAGCACCCATCATCTCACCGTACAACATCAGATCCGAAGACAACATAAAAACTGGCATACAAATTCCTGAAAAGTACCACAGCCCACGACTCCAGGCCTCGTACATCCAAAAACGGCATCTCCGACTCTAAATTTCGAGACTTCTGAACCCGTCTCCACAACAACACCAGAAGCATCACAACCAAGAACCATAGGATAGCTCGGAATTAGGAGACCAGTTGTGCGCATAAGGTTGTCCCTTTATTATTGTTTAGTCGATGGGATGCAATTGATCTTAATTGGGAAGCAGGCAGAGTTTAGAAAGTTAGAAGAGGTGAGGGAGAACTTACAAAGGATTAATACCCGTAATCAGTGATTTGACTAAGATCTGATGTTTGCCCGGAACGGGTTTCTCGAGATCATCGACGACTTGCCAGGGAGCATTGGCGCTGGCGATTATTACTCCTTTCATTTTATAATTTATCTTAGATTATGTAGGTATTCTAAATAGATTTGTTAACAAGTTCGGAGAATTGGGAATAATCAAAGAACCTGAAGAATTATCGCAAATATCGAGTTTAATTTAATAGTAAAATCGTGTGTGTAAAGAACTTCCAACAACAAAAAGTCGTTGAATTGTTGAAGATAATGGTTCGATATAAAAATGGGCAGGTAAAAAGTTAATTTTGGTGTTTACCCCTCCTTTGTTGCATTTACCCCTCATTTCAAAGCTTCCACCAACGAGGTCGGGATATTTTGTTATTTACGCGACGGGTATTTTTGCGGCCAATGGCGTGTTGAGGTTTCAGACTTGGAGGAATCATTTGATGAAGTTTTATGCGTTACATTTAGGAGATATGGAAGTTGTTGGGTTGTCTGGTGCTGGTGCTGGTGCTCGGATACTTATTACTACTTTGGGATACTAGGTAACTTGTAGGTGGAAATATGAGGATATTAGGAGTACGTAAAGTAATATGTTTAGGATCGTATCTTCGAGGCATGATGGACTTGTGCTATTGCTAGGGTTTAAATTGGACTAGACTCAGCTGTCACGCATCACTCGGGAAATTCGACAGTGTCCTAGGAGATCAATTGCGCGTCTATAGTAGCGTACGTATTCAACACAATACACTTTTGCAACTCTTACCTCTAAGTTCTCCAGTTTTCGGGCTTTTTTCCATTTTGTCCTCTTCAATTACGGATTCTTTCCTCCGTGGTGTGAAACACGTCTCCTAATTGAGACCAGCACGTCGTCGCCCTAGAAAACGCCAGTGACAAATATACGACCAAACTGTGAAGGTGGGGGGGATATTACGCGCTTAATACATCGCTTAAGTCTAGAATAAAATATGTTAGTCTTTCCGCAATACGCAATGTAACCTCTTTTCAAGTAAAATCGAGATTAAATGAGCCGGAGATATATTAGGCGAGCAGATGCTAAACCAGACAGCATAAAAAGTAAAAATTTCGACTTATGACTATTAGCTCCATGAGAATTGAGGTAAATGCAGGATAAAATGAAAGACATGTTTAATTCGGATGAATAGCTGACTGATATTTGGACAGGTGCAAGTAGACTCTTTAGCTAATAGCATGAGGAAAGAATGAGTGGGAGGTAAAAGTGGCATTGTAGTGAATCAGAAGTGTAGATGTTTGTTCAACGAACGAGGAATTGGGGACGCTGAAGGTATTGATATAAGTCTATGTTACTATGTAAAAGTATAAGAACAATCACAAAAGCAATATCAGATCAACATCTCATCCGACAACATGAAAGAATTTCCCTTTTCAAAATAAACAAAGCTTCAGGTACTCAATAGCCAAGCTACTGTAGACATGAACCCAAGAAAACGAAACCAACATCCAACACTATTTCCACACCTAACCTCAAGCTTACAACACAAGAAACTCGCCTAACAAAATATACCAAAAGAGAAAAATAAACAAAACACAATAGAATAAACATTAGACGAAAGAACCCAGACAACAAATAAATAAATAGACACCATCTAGCTTTCACAGACGCGCAAATTGCTCGCTATCCTATTTTGCCAAGCCTAGTAGTGAGCGCCAGAACAGCACCATTTCCAAGCCCCGTTCTGAGGGGTGTTCACTAATTCCATTCCTCTCGCTTGATGAGAACTATATAAACACTGGTACCTCCGCAATTAAGCGCTGCGCAATATTCGATATCAGAAAAGGTGAAGCTGGGAACAAATTGTCTGTTCGACGTGAAAGTGTACATTAACTCAATGCCTGAGGAGTATAACTCAGAAAAGTGAACTATGAAGTGATGAAGCTAGTTGAAGACTTCAGCATGTAGCTATTATGCCGCATGGCAACTTGAAGATACGGATCTTGTAGATGTAAGGGATTTAAAACCCGTATTGCATAAAGCAGAAGGCATTGTCCCTCGATAAGGGTGTCTTATTGCATTTCTATACACAATTAACAACTTTGTAATATATCAACAGTGTATCTGAAAGTTTACAACTTCATTATGTAGTCCGATTAGAACCTCCATTATGTTCATCTTTGATTTCATTTGTTCGTTTCGCTCACCCATTAACAAATGTCTTTTGATTCCAAGCCAAGTCTTCCCCTGATTTTACTTCTCGGCTACTTCATCTCATGATAACCGAGCATCTTTCTCCCCTAGTGGCGTTCTATAGCCATCATTCTTTTTATTTCCATCCCCATCTCCATACATCCAAAATTGCAAACCCAAGAACAAATCGCAACACATCTGGAACATGCCACAAAGTTTGAAGGCCCAGGGTATAGCACTCGTAGCGGTAAAAAACCAGAACATCTTCATTATATCACCAGCAATCCAGCTGGCCATGACAGAAAAGCGAAAACCTTTGCACGATCGGGATTTGTAGTTGGCGATGATTTGTGGAATTGGAAGTGTTGCTTCTACTCCAAGTCCAATATAGCCGATTGCGTCGGAGTAGACGGAATAGAACCATGGGGCTGGAGAGAGGATCAATTCGCATGCGGTGAGGGCTATGAACAAGTAAAGGAGGAACTGCCAATAACTGCGATTTTTTTGTTAGTCTTTCAAAGATCTTTGTAGGAATAAATGAAGCAAGTGCATACGGTTTTGGGGAACGCCATTGCCAGAAGTTATATGGTCTTGACCCTCCAAAATCTCCATCCCTATGCCCAGCAAATGGCATAGCAGCATCTCCTCCTTTTGACGACGGCGACGGTCGATGATCGAGGGCAACTTTCAATAGCATAGTCTGCATCGTAATCATAATGAATGACTGTATCAACAAGGAGGTATCGAATTGGGCCCCCGGATAGTAGAAAACTCTACAATAAAGAAGATTAGTATCGAGTTTCCCAACGTTCATTGCAATATGACACACCTCAAAAACGACGCAACAAGCATAATCAAAGGAATATCTAGAGAAAACCCTGCGCTGGATTTACTCCGATGTATCGAGTACGTCTGATCCGCATATGAAGTTATGGGAGATATTATGATAAACATAGGGGCTATGTAGCCGGTAATGAATGAAATGAGGCCCATCTTGAAGGAATTGGTTTTGGCTTCAAGCCAGGACTGACAAATATAAGTAGATTCTATAATACAAATTCCATAGAAGCCGAAAAGATATTTAAAAATAACAATTGGAAAGAAGTGAGTTAAATGTTCAGAGTAATTCGTTTCTATATTTATTTCTAGATAATAGATCCGAAGATTGATAACATAATAACGCTAATTCTTACATCGGCATTTATTTTATCCGTAATCCGTTGTTCGTCCTACGCAGTTTCCAATTGACTTTTTGATAAGATAAGGAATAAGGTCATCCCCTCTATCGGTTGCGATGGTGACAATGTCAACAAGAGGGGAAATTGTTTCATGCCACCACTGCTACTTCATATGATAATATTTTCGTCAAATTACTTCCCTTCATAAAACTGCGCCCCATGATAATATTACCTAATGTATAGTCTATTTAATTCACCTCAAAAGCGCAAAGGCGCATCACCTTCTAAAGTTGGTCTCAATGGACTCTTTTCCGATGAAAATTGGAAATGTAAATACCCCAAAACAACATTTCCATTTATCTGTTAGGCTGACACATAGGGGAAGGCAACTGCAATCCAAGATTACCAGCTGTAAAGTTTCAAGTTAAGAAAGAAGGGCCAAATAAAGGTCGATGGTTCTACACATGTCAAGAACCAAAGGAGACAGCATGCGGATTCTTTCTATGGGATGATAAAGCCAAGAGCAGAGAGATGGGCGCGGTGTTAAACAATACAAGAACAGAACCTCATGCTCCCGACGCACGCGAACCGGTGACTCCATCGAAAGATAAAAGGACTTTAGAAGTGCATGCTGTAGCTAGCAATAAATGGCTTGAAGATCTTGGAAAGAAGGAAGATGATGAATTTGGCGCATGGCCCTTAACTCGAGAGGATGAGGAGAAAGTGGTTAGGACGGTCGAGAGAACAGACCCTGGAAGTTTCCCAGAGACTCCAAGGAAGGAGATAGATAGCAGGACTGCGACACCAGGAAGCAAAAGAAAACGAGCTGAAGAAGAGGGTAATGACGCTGGTGTGTATCCTACGCCTTCAACAAAAGGTCCGCGAGATGAAGATATTTTTGGCACTCCATCTACAAGCCGTAAAAGATTAAATGGTCGCCCATGGGATGGCAATGAACGATCTGCTCTCTTTAGTCCGTTGGAGACACCTTCTCCCATGCGATTTAAAAACATTACAATGGATGCACCTCCAAAATTCATGGCATCTCCTTTCAAGAGCAGTACAGGGGATCCGCAACAAAGTTACGACATGACCGAGGAGATTATGGATCTCCTAAAAGATCAACATATCGACGAGGAAGTCAACGTCAAATTACGCCAAATGCTAACCAGGCATGCGCTTAAAATATCCGGTATTGTGAAGGGTAGGGATATCACCCGAGTGGCTCTAAAAAGTAAAGATACGAAAATCGCAGAGCTTCAACAGCGAATCACGGCTCTGGAACATAAACATGATATGGATCAAGCGGTGATCAAGCGGCTCAGGGATCAAAATGCTGGATAGGAGGCACTTGATTGGGTGTAAAGTATTCCAAGGAGATGCGAATAAATCAATATTCCTCGTCCCCTAGTAGACATTTTCTCATGTCAAATAATCAGTACTATACTCCAAGTCTTCATATCAATCTCGTCCAAGTATCCTTCGATCTCACAAGACCCTAGGAGCAATCGAGCAGCGTCATAAACAGGTAGGCAGGTAGCCTACTTGAAATTTACATCTCACGGATTCTAGAGACATGATCTATTTCGTCGATAGATTTACATAGCCGCTACCTGGTTGCCTATTATAGCCTCAGACAATACTAGTGATCTTAGTCCCTCACTTATCCCTCTCGACGCTTAAGAGATAGTCGAACACTTGTGGCTTAATTCTGAGTCCTTGTAGAGATTTGTGGAGCACTGGCTGGAAAGAAGGATAAACGAGGAGTTTGTCTAGTCAGGGTGTGGCGAGAAGAGCAATGCGGAAGTATTCGGCACTGCTTTGGAAATGCTTCAGTTTCAGATGACTCAAATCATTTTCAAGATTTCGATTTGCCGTGTTACAAGACTTGCGCGTGCATATTACCATAGTTGGTTCAAACATATAAGAAAAAGGATCGTATCTTAAGAAACGAAAATATTTCTTGATATTCGCGTGATAACCATCTATCTCACATCTACCCCTATAACTCCATCAAAACTAATGCATGCAATGATATCTTTCCCAATTCTAGCCATTTTCATCCGTAAATCCCATTCAAATCGCTACAATCAACCAACCCATCTTCTAGCACTCTTAAACATCCTCACCCAGGGTCCGAATTCTCCCCATTCCTCTACGCTCTCCCTTGGCACATAACTGCCCACATCTGCCATGATCGTTCTTTCGGGATGTGGCATCATAGCCAATACTCTTCCATCCAAACTTCTAACCGCCGCGATACCTTCGGGACTACCATTTGGATTGTATGGGTATCTCATGGTTGGCTTATCAAAGTTGTCGGTATATCTGATTGGGATGAGATTATCGGCATTCAAAGCTCCCAGGTCGGCATCGTTCTTGAAAGAAGCTCGGCCTTCACCGTGCGAGACAACGATAGGCAAGGAACTTCCATTCATACCGTGGAGGAATACTGATGGCTTCTTGGCATTGTCTTGGATCTTGACCATGCTAACTCTGCCTTCGAATTGTTGAGATTGGTTATCAACGAAAACTGGCCAATGAGAAGTGCCAGGGATAAGTTCGGATATGCGACTAAGCATTTGACAACCATTGCAAACACCCAATGCAAAGGTATCTGGGCGTTTGAAGAAGTTCTCAAACTCTGGTCGAGCCTTTTGTTCATGCATAAGAATAGAATTTGCCCAACCACGACCAGCACCAAGGACATCACCATAAGAGAAACCACCACAGGCAGCAATTCCAACGAAGTTAGCTAGAGAATAATGCCCGGAGATAATGTCAGTCATGTGCACATCGATAGGATCAAATCCTGCAGCCTTAAAAGCGAATGCCATTTCAGCGTGACCATTAACTCCTTGTTCACGGAGGATAGCCACGCGAGGCGCCTTTGCGAAGGCAGATGTGATTGAAGCTGTCAATGGAAGAATATTCTCCTTAGGTTCGTAGGTAAGGTCATAATGAAGACCAGGGTCACGGTCATCTTCAATGTTCTCAAATTCGACGTCAGCACAATCAACGTTGTCTCTAAGGCGTTGCATCTGGTAGGATGTTTTGGTCCACTGTTGTTGGAGCTCAGATCTGGGCATATGTAAGATTGGCTTCTGTCCGTATCGAATGGCGAGCTGCTGTTTTGATGCAGCTGGCACCCGACCAATCTTTCTGATGAGCCCTGGAGGAGGACCACAGGTAGCAAAACACCTCATGAAGTTAACCTCGTCCGATTTTCGGACTTGGAAAATTGCACCAAGTTCTTCGTTGAATAAGGCTTCGATCACATGAGTTGGGGATGAACTTTTTGAAACTCCATCAAGCATGATCTCAGCGCCACAACGCCCGGCAAACATCATTTCGGCGATCGTAGTTAATAAACCACCATCTGAGATATCATGATAAGCCAATACAACACCTGACTCGTGTAATTGTTGTAAAGCATCGAAGTAGTCGACAATGAGATCGGTGTCCCTGACATCTGGTGCTTCATCTCCAACCTGGCCGAAAGATTGAGCGAGTGCTGAGCCTCCCAAGGCTTTATGACCTTGGGCAAGGTCAACATACATTAATGTTGTTTCTCCGACATCTTCCAATCTTCGGAGTGCAGGTGTCCATGTGTTACGAACATTCGCGACTGGTGCAAAGGCTGAGATAACAACAGTCATAGGAGCTGTGACAGTTTTGGAGTCTCCGGTCTTCTGGTCCTTCCACGACGCTTTCATTGATGTCGAGTCTTTGCCGACGGGAATACTGACTCCTAGCTTAGGGCAGAGATCCATTCCAATTGCTTGGACTGCCTCATACAAAGCTGCACCCTCACCAGGCTGGTTCACTGCGGCCATCCAATTCGCGGATAAACGGATGCGAGGTAAGTTACCTAGAAGATGTGCTGCTCCAATATTCATCAAACTCTCAGCAACTGCCATTCTAGCCGACGCTGCAGCCGAAATTAAAGCCAAGGTAGGCTTTTCACCCATAGCCATAGCTTCACCAGTCTTCAATTTGCCACCAATGTTAAGAGCAGTAGCTGTGACAGCTACGTCTGCGACAGGTGTTTGCCATGGTCCAACCATTTGGTCACGAACCGTCAATCCTCCTACTGAACGATCTCCGATAGTAATGAGGAAGGATTTGGAACCAACCGACGGTAGAGAAAAGACGCGCTCGATGGCCATTCTTAAGAGATCATGATCAGGAATATGTGGATAAGCTTCCTTAAGAGACTTCTCCGCGTTGAATGGAAGAAGTTGCGGCTTCCTGGACTGAACAATTCTGTCCAACTTCCTATCCTTAGGAAACAAGGTAGACATGGGAAGATCGATGGGCGTAGTGTGCTGGGAAGAATCCCGATCAGTCACCACAAGTCTGGCAACTCCATCTTGATCTTTAGGAACAACAGTTCCGACATTGGAGAAGCCACATCGTTCACGTTCTGTAGATAATTAATATTGACTTGACCTTTTCTTGAGACAAAACTTACTAGCAATGCTGGTGAATCTAGCAAGGTCTTCCTTATTGACAATCAAGACGTAACGTTCTTGAGCTTCGCAACACCAGATTTGTAGAGGACTCATACTTCTATCCGCACTTTCAACATTTCTAAGCTCGAATTTACCACCATAACCGGCATCCTTAACGAGTTCAGGTAAAGCATTGGATAATCCACCAGCCCCAACATCATGAATGAACGCAATAGGATTCTCGTCTTTCAGGGCTCTGCAGTGATCGATCACCATCTGGGCTCTCCGTTCCATTTCTGGGTTTCCCCGCTGAACACTATCAAAGTCAAGCTCGACAGAGCTTTCCCCGGCAGATGTGTTACTTGAAGCTGCGCCTCCACCAAGACCAATCAGCATTGCTGGGCCTCCAAGAACAATTACATGAGCTTCAGGCTTCACATCATTGCCATTCTTCAGAGCGTGTCCGGGTCTGACGGTACCGAGCCCACCAGCGATCATGATAGGTTTATGATAACCCCTGCACTCGTCTGTTGATGCATCTGCATCTGTGAGGAGAGTGCGGAAGGATCCAGCGAGACACGGCCTACCAAATTCGTTGTTGAATCTGGCACTACCAATTGGTGCTTCTAACATGATGTCCAAACTACTGGCATAATGTGCTGGCTTGCCAACATCCATTTCCCAGGGTTGCTTGTGTCCTGGAATCAAAAGGTCCGAGACCCAAAATCCACAGAGACCAGCTTTTGGAGCAGACCCTCTACCAACAGCACCTTCATCTCTAATCTCCCCACCAGAACCGGTTGCTGCTCCTGGAAAGGGTGAAATTGCCGTAGGATGGTTATGAGTCTCGACCTTCGCTAAAATATGCACAACTTCGGGGGTTTGCTTCCAGCTACCAGTAGAGTATTCTGGAGCCCAGTGACTTGCCATCTCTCCTTGTAACACGGCAGCATTATCGCTATATGCTGATACGGTAAAATCGGGGTTCTTTTTATGAGTGTTTCGGATCATTTCGAATAAACTCCTATCCATACCCATGCCGTCGATCGTCCAGTTCGCATTAAACTGTTTGTGTCTACAATGCTCCGAATTGACCTGTGCAAACATAAACAACTCAACATCGGTAGGGGATCTTCCATGTTGAGTGTATTTCTCCACAAGGTACTCCATCTCGGGGATGTCTAGAGCTAGACCACGCTTCACATTATAGGCTTTTAAAACTTCAATTGGTGTTGAACCGTCTACCCAAAGATCAACAACTTCCAAGGGAATTGGCTCCCCCTCTTCGAAGATTTTATGAACATCTGGTTCTTCTGCACTAAAGTTCTCGGTCATGCGGTCGTAGAGGATATCCTTGAATGGCAAATCGTCCGCCTGAGTATATGAAGTCAGTGATTGTCTTTGAGAATTAATATGATTTAATTTCCAACAAAATTTAACTTCCAGGAATATGAACTGAAATGAGACTGATTATGCTCACCTCTGCCTCAGATGGTTCGGCGAATTGTACCAAAATAGCACGACCTCTTTCGATTCTTTGAACTTGGGATTCGAGACCGCATACATGTGCGATATTTGTGGCCTTGGAACTCCATGGTGAAAGATTTCGCGGAGTAACGTCTGAAAAATAAAGGAGTTTAATTAATATTGTCGATATTTAGGAAGGAACGAGTGGCCATGACTGTTGAACAAGGCGCAGATGACGCAAAAAGTCATACTCGAAAAGAAACACTCCTTTCAAACTCTCAACTGAGATTCAACAATCAAATGGTTTCAATTTCTGAGACGAGTTTTGACAATCAAGAGATCTTGAAGGCTCGATTTGTAAAGAATGTTTTGATATGCGATTTTATGACAAAGAAACAACTTACAATATATTTTACTCCTCAACCCAGCCTCCAATACCGTCTCTGAACCTGGAAGAAGTTGTTTAAGTTTGGCTTCAGTTTCGGGATCAGAATGTCGCAGATGAGTGTAATGAATCCAAACACCCTTAAGCTCGACCTTCACAGCATGAAGGTCATTGATTCTAGCAGCAAGCTTCACAGCCTCCGCTGCTGTGAAGCAAGAGTCTCCAGAAGATTTGAGGTATTCCATGTCCAAGGGGTTGGTTGGAGTGAGAAAAAATTGATCCCCGCTGAAGAGATTTCTGGAGACAAGATCTTATCGTTATCGTGGAGGGGTTACCTGGGGTTATATAAAAAATAGGTGCCTTGAATACTAGGCATAATTCTCCCAAGTGCCATGCTGAAACCTTTCCGGAGGCATTTGACATTCTTCTCCCAATCAAGTCTACCCCTCAATCAGAATTAGTCTTCTTTCTGTTAGCTTTACCGGCACTTGATTTCCAACACACGGGCTGGTTTGTACGTCAATAGTGTAATAGTTTTTTTCTCTCCGTATAAAACGCATTGTAGAAAGCCTAGGGGAAAAGGAGTCTTGACTCTTCATATCAAGTGGAATTAGAGACGAAATATCGAATCTCACTATCTTTGAACGATAGTCTGATTATATGTATTAGTAGATCAGAAAGAACTGCCGGTGTCATCTTCAACATTCGTTCCCGGAGATACCGACGAGGCCGTATGCGTAGTATCATTTATCAAAGTTATTTTTATAGAAAAATAAAGTCTCAAGGGACTGACTATATTACTTGTAGCTGCAATTCCTAAAATCTAATATCATGCAGTTTGATTTATAGACTTCCTGTATTATAAATTCATTCCTGCTATCTATCCAACCTAAAAAGGATCAAATATATATCCAGATGTTATTATATCTTCCATTCTATCCTTTAACTCTGTTGTAACCTTATCAGCACGTGAGCCACAAGAAAGTTCACTCGATCCAAAATACAACAATAACTCCACCATACCCACACAATCCTCCACATCAAAACTCCCTTCGTCCTTCGCTAAATAACTTACATCAAAACAAAAAGTGCAAAAAACAAAAATACAAAAAGATATTTCTCTCAGGCGTGAGTCGAACACGCGACATCCAGATTACAATGAACAATTACAGTCTGACGTCATAAACCAACTAGACGACCGAGAGTATGTTCGAGTGAACTCGAACCGGTCAGGTTACCACTGAACCATAAACAGTTTAGCGATTGTTGGGAGATTATGCACTGTATAGGAATATATAACCATTGCATAGCACAAAACCGATTCTCCAACCATATCATATCTTTGAAAATTCATCGCGTTTTGTTCTCTGATATATTTGATTTTTAAAATCAACAATGCTTTTATATTAGTCAAGTGGCATGAAGAAAATATAGTATCTCTGTATTCGGTAGTTTCGATCCATAACTCACTCAGGAAGCCTCACTATGTGTTTAGCAAAAGGTAAATTGTTGTATACTCCATCTTTTTGTCGGAAGTTCTGCTAACAATCCCAAGTTTCTTGTTTCTCATAAATTTAAAAGGCCAGTAATCTGCAAGTGTAGGTAGCTCACAATCACCAGATGAGGGAAATCTAGATAGCATCTCTCCCTCATGCCTCGTATTTTCATCAGTTTCTTAAAAATCCTATTTCTTTTCCAAATTACTGTAAGCGCGAAGTCATGCTGCACACGTTTTAAATCGCTTCTTGAGTTAATTACTATAACACTCACTAGCATTTCTTAGTATTACAACAATACATTTCAAAGAGCTCGTAGAAGCTCAACTTCCAAATTCGTTGCTGCAATCCATCCAAACTCCCCTATGCTAGTTGCTATTACTATTTTACTCAATACGAACTCTGAGAACATAAGACTTTATTTGGACTATGTCTCCCAATCATATTTGTTCAAGGACAAATATAACGACATCCAACCGCCCAATTTCCAAGAAGTAGACACATCAGACAGATCATCCCATCACGATTTACGAGATCCATACATCAAGTATCCTAAAGGTAATAGTCAGGAATATCTAAAGTAGGAAGAACTTAGAATCCAGATCACAAGATCGTGTTCTCCAGAGGGAAGATTTTCTATGAATAGCATTTTGAAGGATCCAAAAATCTTATACATGCCCTCCCATTTCCTCCCACTCCTCCAACTTCTATCCTCTTCAATAATAACATAACTAAATATATCAATTAAAATTCCCAGCCTTATTCTCTAATATATTCAAATTCAAATTCAAATTCAACACAAATAATATATCAATTCCCCCTCCCTCCTTCCACTCCCCCTCCCTCTTCCCTCTCCCTCTCCCTCTCTCTCCCCCACCCCAACCCAACAATAACCCATCAAACAAATCAAAACAATAATTATCCAATCAAATCTAATAATCTAATATCCAATAGCTCACCAACAAAGTATATTGAATACATACAATTATACAATTATCTAGTTAATGAATTATTTATCTTGAAAGATCAAGGATGAAGGATGGAGGATTAAAAATAAAGACGAGTTAATACATATGTATGCTGGGATAGGATATCGATATCAAAGGAGTAAACAGATCGATGTTTAGAAGGGATGAAAACAATAATTATTGTGCTGTATCGTATTATACTGTATTATACTATGCTTGAATAGGTATTGATAGGTTAGATATATTAATTGAGCAGTATAGATAGTAACCGAAATGGGCATGAAATGTCCAGAAATTTATAGTGGCTAGGTTTCATATCTGTTCAATCAATTCAAAGTCCCCACAAGCATACCAAAGAATGAAAAAATCCCTATCATCAAGAATCATATTCATATTGCATATCAACTATTCATAATATCGTCTAGCAAACTAAAATATCTCATCTTATCTCTGCCGGTCTCATCTTAAGACCTCTTCACTTCATCCATTTATTTACCAATCTCACCGAATAATCAGACGCTCTTTTTCGGATATTCGCAGAATACAAACCACACCATATGGATCAAATGACGCAAAGCTCAAAATGTCATATACCGACTGGTAACTTAATACTCAGCTTCACCCTCTTCAGCCTCAAAGCTATCAGCAGCAACCTCTTCATAATCCTTCTCCAATGCTGCCAAATCTTCTCTTGCTTCACTAAACTCTCCTTCTTCCATACCTTCACCGACATACCAATGCACGAAAGCACGCTTGCTGTACATAAGATCGAATTTGTGATCCAATCTTGACCAAGCCTCGGCAATAGCAGTGGTGTTGGACAACATACTGACGGATCTATCGACTGAGGCGAGGGCACCATCATTGGGTGCAGTGGATGGAACAGACATAGGCTTTTGGTAGTTGATTCCGAGCTTGAAACCAGTTGGACACCATTCGACGAGGTTGAATGATGTCTTGGCTTTAAGGGAAGCGACAGCAGCGTTGCAGTCACGGGGAACGACGTCACCACGGTAGAGAAGGGCAACAGCCATGTATTTTCCGTTGCGGGGATCGCAGACAACCATTTGATTGTTTGGTTCAAAGCATCTATATGGAGTCAGTACGAAAGATTGATACTAAAATGGAGAAACATACTGGAGGGTCAATTCTTGAGTCTTGAAGCTCTCGTGAGAACTTCTAGAAGCGGAAATGACTGGCGCGTAACTGATCAATGGGTAATGAATTCTTGGGTAAGGAACCAAGTTAGTTTGGAACTCGTTGAGATCGACGTTCATAGCACCATCGAAACGAAGCGACGAGGTAATGGAGCTGACAACTTGAGCAATCAGTCTGTTGAGATGCTCAAAAGAAGGACGTGGGATGTCCAAGTTGCGGCGGCAGATATCGTACACGGCCTCGTTATCGACCAAGAAGGTACAGTCGGAGTTTTCGATAGTGCTGTGAGTGCTGAGAACAGCGTTGTATGGCTCGACAACAGCGGTGGAAACTCTTGGAGCTGGGTAAACTGCGAATTCGAGTTTGGATTTCTTGCCATAGTCGGTGGAGAGACGCTCAAGCAAGAGAGATCCGAAACCAGAACCGGTTCCACCACCGAAAGAGTGGAAGATCAAGAAACCTTGAAGAGAAGAGCAGTTATCCTTGTTGCAGGTAATTAGTAATGTCCATTATAGACGCATGCAATTTCTCCTCACCAGAACGCGACGGATCTTGTCCAAAGTACCATCCAACATCTCCTTTCCGATTGTATAGTGACCACGAGCGTAGTTGTTGGCAGCATCTTCCTTTCCACTGATCAAAAGCTCTGGGTGGAAGAGTGATCTGTAATCACCAGTTCGGATCTCGTCAATTGGAGATGGGTCGAGATCGACGAAGATGGATCGAGGTACGTATTTACCATTGCCGGTTTCCGTGAAGACTGTATCGAGTTGACCAGATTCGTGGACGGCCTTTGCTTCGGGGTCAGGGCGACCATCTTGTAAGAGACCATGCTCAAGAAGATATCTAACAATCAATCAGTAAATATACAACCGAATATACGAGGCATCAAGTCAACTTACAACTCCCAAGCACTGTTACCAAGCTGCGTACCAGCTTGACCGATATGAAGGTGAAGAATCTATAATGGAAGAATTGTCAATTATTAATCATTGCGACGCGTATATGATGGATTGATGAGTAAATGCATGGAGGAGATATACACTCCTCTCAATGGAGTGTGTGAAGTGATGCGGTGGTGGGTGAAGTGTTGTAAATAATGAGGAATTGTTTTTGTTTATTTACCTCTCCTCGAGTCATCTTGAATTATCCTTTTTTGTTCTCGAAGAAAATGGAATGAATTGGGGGAGAATGAGGGGAAGAATGGAATTGAAGTCGTCAATGAGCTATGGCAAAGAATGTTCCCTTTGCGATCTCAGCAAATGCTGGTGGGTTACTCGAGTAAGTTTATTGTTTATTTGACGAAAGAGTGGATTTGCTGGCAACTGTTCAAATATGAATTTCGCGAAGTTCTCAAGTTCGATGAATGTGGGGCCCTTGAATGGTGTGGCAGATAGCGCGGCGGTGTAGATTTTCAGGGGTTAAGAAACCTTAGGCATTTTGTGTTTGGCAGTAAAAGGTGTGTAACACAGTGTAAGAGATCCTATTTGAGACGCGCTAGACCGAATATGTTTATTTGATATCACGTGTGGTCTACTGTCGAGACAGTCAAATACCTACAACTATTATATATCTAGCCTTCAGCAACCATTAAAGACTCTATGAAACATTAAAAACTCTATCCAAGTACCCAAGTATATATACATAACCATTATAATTGCCTCGACTTACCTAAATACTCTCCGACTTCTTTCCAAAAGTAATGCTCATCCACCAACAGCTTAACAACAACTCTACTACCCTCCCTATTCAACAAAACATCCCAGGGCTAGAACTATCATGCTGTGCCGTAAATCGAATATTCGATCCAATCCTAATCAGCTCATCTAATATTGACGGGTATGCTAACCTCATAAAGCTATGATCGTCCCACTAATCAAGTTCGTTCTCACCATTTGGGTATGTAATCGATATTAGATATTAAATGATCTTCGGTCAAAAGCTCAGGCAGTATGATATATTGATAAGAATCACCTTTGACTTCTCTAATTCAAAATAAAGGATTAGCACGATATGAAAAGACACATTAGATAAAGGTTCACATTGTTGCAATTTTATCTCATTAGTTTTGAAGATACAAGCATACGAAGAGCCCATAACCATGATTTAATGTACATCGCAAAAGGCAACAAGCAAAAACGATGCTCGCTGAGAAATGAAAGCTTTAGAAAGTGTAAAGCGAACATCCCCTGCACAAATTGTGCTTTAACGCCAAGAGAATTTTAAAATCAAACCCAGACTGCTTCTTTCCACTACCCATTTTGCCATTATCTTCATTCAAATTGCCTCGGTCCATTCTTCCACTATAAGCATCAGATGTTAATTGACCCTGAACCACGCTAAATCTTCCGCTTGAACTTAGTAATTGAGTTCGCCGGACCCAGCTCCAGCAACGGCATCAAGATCTTCATATGATTTTAAGCTTCTGCCGGCTGTTGCTTCACGAGGTCCAACAGTTGTACTACCAGGAGCTGCTCCATCACCCCATCGGCTACCACCACTAGCTGGTGTAAAGCGGTGAGGCAATCCACGGCCACCACGTTCTCCACTGGGAGGGCTTAGTCTACCGGCATTTGGATCGCCGCGATTCTGATTGGGTCGGCGATCGTAGGGACCAGTTCGATTATTTGTTTGATATCGACCAGCACCCCTTCTGATCGGGCCCGGACCACGATTATCAGGACCACTAACCCAACCCATAGGTGACTGCACAGCATGACCGGCAAGGAAAGGTGGGAAGCCATTAGATGGTGGAAAGCCCGACATAGCATTGAGCCCATTCATTCCAAAGTTTTGAAGATTGAAACCACGCGGAGTACCGGCTGGCATGTGACCATTAGCTGGAGGGAAGTGACCATTGCTATTGGCATCTGATCTTGATGGAGCAATATGCGCAGGATCGAGAACGTAGGTATTGACAAGATCGAACTGTACGCTATTAGTATGCGTCGTGGGTATGGACCAAAAAACTTACGTCAGTCTTCAAACCTTCCAGCCATTCAGGATGTCTCTTTTCAACATGCTTCTTCCAGAAGTGCTCCTCCTTAAACAATTTGGTACACTCTGGAACTCTGCATCTAAATTTGTGATCATCTTCTTGCTTTACATATTTGACCAACTCATCCTTCAAAGCCTCATCAGTCGGCTTTCCACCCAGTTTCCGCACATCAACGTTATCCGGATCAAGGAGTTGCATAATCTTGTCCTCAAATGTTCTGACCCAATTGAAAGCTCGTTGAAGCTGCTGTTCTGCCTTGGAAACATTGTTACGCGGATTGGTTTTGCGCTCACCATCTGGAGAGGAGGGATCCATATCCGTCTTGTCCTCAGTCTTTACCTTTCCAGGGAACGCTTCACCCAATGCACTGGCGCGAGCAGCCGCTTTGGCCGATGTGGTAAGAGTGTTACGTGGTCTCCTCAGATGTCCTCCAGGGCATTTTCGAGTGAGCTCATGAATCGAGTCACTCTCAAAAACACAGAAGAAGCAGAAGTTGAAGACACGTCTTAGGTACTCAACCATGAGATCAAGCTGCTTCTTCTTGACAAGAAGTTCTTCATCATCGATGTCATCGAAATCAAAAGCACCTTCTTCCTCTTCCTCTCCTTCCTCCATCTCCTCGAACTCTTCACCTTCGTCCATTGCTTCGTCCAGGCCGAGCCCATTCTTAGACTTCTTGCCTTTCTTGGGCGTAGGAGCTGTAACCGGGGGTTGAAGACGACCTTGATTCTTCAAGTCATCGACTTTTTCTTCAATCTTCAGGACAGCATTGAAGTCGGAACCAAAATCTTCTTCAAATTTGCTAACGAGGCGGGTGGCCAAATCGAGATCTTTCTCAATACGCTCAGGCACTGAAAACAAATCCCAAAGTGCCTTCTTACGTGGTAAGTTAGGCGGTACATGAACACCGACATGGCAAGTAAAGTCTCCTCTAACTTCATCCTTGACGGTCTTTCCATTGATAGCCTCAAGCGCCTTCTGAGCAGTAGTGAGTGGAGCTGCTGGTTCGGCAGAGATATCACCCTCTTCTTCGTCCTTAATCTCTGGTCGATCAAGGATGGGAGCTGAATCAGGTCCAGGAAGAAGCATGACCCAACCAATTCTATGGTAGCGTTTGCTTGGATTTGGATCACTCAAACTCAACCACTTGAAACCACCCTCATCCTCACCTAAATGCTCCTCGCAGAAAGACTCGAGATTCGAACGGCTAACATGTGCGCGATTGTCTTGATGAGCAACGTTGGCTGGAAAGCATTCTCATCTCGAATGTCACCACCTCTAGAAGGAACTAGGTCACCAACTCCCAAAACTTCGTTAGCAGCGGTTGTCTCGCCCTCTTCTTTTTCAATAACACCACCAGTGCCATTGCTTTCGCTTTTAGGAATACCTTCCAAAGAGTATTCGTCGAAAGTTCCGGATTCAAGATCTTGCTCCCATTGACTATAATTGCCGCGGCGGAACTCGTTCACTTGTAGACGTAAAGCATCTCGCATCTCGGGTACGTATCTCTCCATAAACCATTGTTCTCCTTTGTGCTCCTGCACAAATGTACGTGCCATCCTAGCTTGAAGTTCTTCTTTATATGCATCATATGCAACTTGTATGCGAGCCTTTTCGGCATCACGGTCTTCTTCACGAGGTCTGAAGATTTCACCACGCTTCCCAGATCTAACACGTTCCTTGTCCTCCTTGATCTTCTCATTTGTGCGCCACCATTCTCCATAGTACGAGAATCCCACCTGAAAAGGCAGGATAACTGGATCCGCAAGTGGATTGACAGTAATTGGAGGGGGCGGACCGGAATCTTGACCAGGGACATATCGATCGATATTGGCTGGTGCAGGAGAAGCAATTCGTCTTCGGTCCTCACGATCCCTCGATGATCTGTAATCATCTCTATCTCTTGTTCTACCATTAGGTTCATAACGGTCTACCGGAGATCTAGAGCGGTCGCGGTCGCGCGGATTTCGTCTTTGCCTATCACCAACTAAAGTAAAAATCACGTAAGCATAAGGGTAATAAAAAACAGATACCAACCCATGGAACTATTATCATGTAGCAAATGCATTGTAATGATTAAGTAGGTAGAAAAAAATCGTTGGAGGGGACATTTCCAAGATCATGACTGCATGCTTCGCGTCCGGTTAAGGGCAGCTGTTCGAAAGTAAAGCAAAAAATGGTGAAATGATTGAGCTCATAAAATGCGACATACCAGGAGATCTACCACGGTAAAATGATTCGCGGTCGCGTTCAGGTTTCACACCTCTAAAACCATCGTCGCGTTCATTTTTAACACTTCTAAAGCTATCGTCACGCCCAGCCCAACTCGTTCTTTCAGTTGGTGATCGCGCGAGCGGAGGCTCTCTGCTGTAATTTCCATAGCCGTCCATGATGTGACTGTAATCGCCCAAATGAATCCACCTTTGCCTCTCTTTCGAAATTCAGGTATTCAGCTGATCTGACGCTCTGGTAAGATAGTTTCGTTATTAAAGATACTTTTGACGAAATCGACGTAGGAACTCGGGTTTCGTCGATTGCGATTGTCAAGTGACACCTATGGATTGTCGGGAGGAGGTGATGACAACGAAGCTACTGCTGTTTGATAACATGATTGCCCGTTAGAGGATTGTTCAAAATTGTAATAGAATGGAGAAGGTTATGTTTGATGAACTGGGGATATAAATGCGATATCAACTGGAGAAAGGATGCAGAAGAGGCAGAAGAGAGAAAAGAAGAGTAAAAAAGTTCAGCGCCTATAGATGGCAGATAAAAAAAACGACGACAACTTGTTGTTGTTGATGGGGTATGCGATCTTGTTATGATATGATTGATGAATGGTGGATGGATTGACTTGATTCCAAGATTGAAGATTCAGAATTAATCGCTGAAGAAGAAGAAAAGCAAATGTTATGGTTGGTTTATCGCAATGATAATGATGGGGCAGAAAAAGGATGATATGTGTGTATGAATTTTGATTTTTGAGGACAAGGTTTGTAAGAAGAATAGAAGGATAGGACTGACGAACAAGATTCAGATATCGGGTAACTGTGGTTTATAAAATGAACCTCCACTACCAAAATGATATTGGATAGATGGATGTTGTTGATTGAAGGCTGAAGTTGGAGAATTGGAGTCGGGGATTGTCAAAGGGAGCTCTTGCTCTTCCTGGCATTGCTTACTAGTGTTGATAGAACTTTACCCATTTGATCCTTAGAGTAGGAAGCACAGTCCAAGTCAATAAGACTAGAGTGTCTGCGGAAAGTGGAGTGACCAAAAGATCAAATGTAGCTTAGCACAATTCGCTTAACAGTAAATGCTGTTGATGATTGGAGTCAATACAAAGAATAAGCGGGTCTGCGGAACCTAAGTCGGATGTAGGTGACAATGTTTGACCAATCACTCGAATGTATCACTCAAAATAGTGAAGTTGACTTGAACCAAAGTGTGGTGTTTAGCCGCGATCCTACGAATAAGGGAGGATATTTAAAGGCATGGAGTAAGGTATATTCAAGAACCAATTAAATGAATCAAATTCCAGAATCAGGGAAACCTCCAAATGCAGTTCTCCATTAGGTAGGTAGTAGGTATTGAAGCTTGTATGGAGTACCAACCGTTGCCATAACTGAATTCATCATAAGTTAAGTAAGGAAACAAAGTCATCCAAAAAAGGTAGGAAGATCATTTATCGGATCATTATTTATATCACTCTTCAATCTGCACCAAAGTCTCTTTACTCTACATAACAGAATACAGAAACACTAAGTACTAGGTAGGTACTTCGTAGCTACTCTCAAATCAATTTCCTTGCCCAATTCCCTCCCCGAAGTAAACCGAGGTGGTCAAGTCCTCACTCCACCTATTACTTTTTGCTTCACAGCAAGAGTACGTCATTGAGGGGAACTGTAATTACACGTATCCACACGTGAAAAGATATAAAGACATCGCCGTTGACTTCTCCTTAACATTTCTTTTCAAAGCAGGAACTGACAGAAGAATTGATTCATCACTTAGAACCTCAATTCATCCAACATGACGACCTTCATTCCCAGCTTAACGCTGCCGGCATCCATATTTGCCAACCCAACTGCTTCAATTCTCCTCCCAGTTACTCTTGGTACCGCTGTTGGTTTCGCAGTTAGCCGTATGTATTTACATTCTACTCCTTGAATCGTCGAGGAGATATATAATGAGGGGCAAATTGCCAATCCCTTAAACAAAATACTAACATCCTTCCAGCAAAAAAGACGCAAAAAACCTACATGGCACTCAAACAACCTCCCTACCGTCCACCTCCATATATCTTCGGTCCCGCCTGGACTCTTCTCTATGGTCTCATGGGATTCTCTGCTTACCGCGCATACTCTACCGGAATGAACCCTCTCGCTTCTACTGAAAAACATCTCCTCACCAAACAAGGCGCTACACTCTACACAATTCAGTAAGTGATACCTCTCTCAGACTCATTAAAGCAACCGCTTAAAACCACGATTTCTCCTTCTTGTAGAACCCAACTAACATCATTATCTCAGACTCGGCCTAAACCTAATCTGGACACCCCTCTTCTTCAAGCTCAAGCGCCCCGTCCTCGCCACCGTTGACATTGTCACTCTCACCGGCGTCGTCTCTTACCTCACCTACACCTGGAGCAAAGTCGACTCAGTTGCCGCATGGGCACTCGCTCCCTACCTCGGCTGGCTCGGATTCGCTACCTATTTATGCGCCGGAGTTGGTTACTTGAACGACTGGGACATCAGCGACAAAGAGGTGAAGAAGAGTCCCGAGGGAAAGGACACAAAATACGTAGATGAGAAGGAGGAATAAATGGTAACATGAAGCGGGTATGGATTTGCGCGGGGGAGGTGTTTCCACCATCCACATGTTTTGCAAACTCCTGGAACCCCTCCAACTACCTAGGCAGATGAACTTTGGCGCGCAAAAATGGGCACAACAGCACGGTTTTGGCATACATTTAATGGGAAGCGAGTACGAAGTTTGTTGACGAATGCGGGTATGCACTAAATTGATTGCTTTCAGATATTATACCACAATTTAATCATGAAATACTCACTTGCAACAGAACCAAATCTATTATGGAATAAAAAAGGTACTCATCTTAGTGACGTAACATCTGCTTGTTTCTGCAATACCATTCAAAGGATTTATGCGAGTAATTAAAGTAGCTTCTTGCGCAAAAATCGCAAAACCTCAACATGTAACTAACAAAACAAATCTACAAGCACATGAATATCATCTGAAATCTTGAAGATAAAATTGCTCGTCAATAGTTCTTCTCGATATGAACTACGAATACCTAGTTCTAACCTCAATAATTCTACCCTGCTCCTTTTCCGTCTATATTAATAAAGATTGCAACGCTAAGCTGACCGACTCGAGATCTCGGGCCCTTCTAACTCAAAAACTACCCTTTCAAATCCTTCATGCCAATCCTACCCCTCGAGGGGACCATCTTTTATCTCACCTCACCCCTCCTTTCCGAGTTAGCCGAGCGCGTCAGCCAATCTAAATATTCCTGAACGCCCTCAACGTCCGCCGTAATGATCTATTTCCTAGCCGAAAGGAAAGACCCGAGTTTGTTTTCTATAGCCAGTCACTCTAAAATGGTATATATGTGATATGCAAAATGGAAAATAGAAACATTCCAATTTTATGTACATGCGTGCCGTGCCGTAAGTGATCAAATGCGAAATGAGAGTTAGGAGAGTTGGAAACGACTCTTTAGTCCGTCGTAAATCATGAATATGAATGCGGAGCTAGGTGCTGATCGCATGACTGTGATACCGCAACCTCGGTACATGCCCTTCAAGCCATGTTGTTTCCAGAGAAGAGCGCCTTCTTGCATGAATGTTGTGCGAGGTGCCGTGGATGAAGTAGAAGCGGTTTGCATGCGAGATTTGATGGTGTCCGCGGGGAAGAAGAGAAAATTATAAGACATGCCTGCTGAGGCGCCAGCGACAGCTTGCTGCCAAAAAGGTAGCGGTGCTAGCTCGGTAGATAGAACTAGAGAAGGGTTTTGAGGTGAACGTTTGTCGTTCAGTTTTCGAAAAAGTGAAGTAACAGTTTCCTTGCTACCAAACCAAGCGGCGCATCCACCCGTTTCACGAATCAAGGTGCCTAGCTGCCCATTCCAAAAACCACGAATGCCCTGATGATGCCATACCTCACGGATAACTGCTGAGACTGTTTTAGCAGCAACGGGAGCCGAACTGTTTGCGGCGGCACTTGGAACTTGTATTTTGCATTTGACCAATTCAATGGGTGTGAGGATTAAGGAAGTGAGGGCACCTGATAGTGCACCAGTCATCCACAACGCCTCAAGAGGAAGTGGTTGATCCCTCTTGTATATTCCGGCCTTGAGTAGCGCTTCTCTGCTTGCTTGTTCCCAAACAAAAAGACTGCTGGTCTCCAGAGCAGCTCCAACTAGTGGAGCACTAATACCCCTATATAATCCTAGAATCCCATCACTGCGAATGGATTGTTTGAAACAATCGAGAGGCCCTGTATACCGCAGGGGAAGATGGTAGGGTTGGGATTGGAGTCGTACTTTGACGGTGTCGAAAGGATATTCGATGTATTTGCCAGCCACTCCAGCAATCTATTCATTTGTTAGCAATCATCATGGCTTTTTTTGCAGGTATCACATACTGAACCGTAGAGACAATCCTCGACAGAATTCATCAAAGCCTCTCTCGCTTTAGACACTACTTCCCGAGGTGCATCTGGAGTGAAATCTGCTGTCATAGCCGCTGCCATTCTAACCAAACTGTAGCTTGCTTTTGCGAAACTACAGAAATGTGTTTCCAGGAACGTTGATAATAGTGCGATATTTGATTATGCCGATGTAATTGATTGCCCGAAGACCTGCACTACTATAAAGAAAATAGTCGAAGAAGGATGGGGATCTTTGCACGGCTCTTTATAAGCTGAGTAGACTCGGGAGGATTTGCGATTCGATGTGCCGCGTGGATAGCAAGGTTGCTGTTCCACGTTGCAATTGAATAACCGTTGTAAGGTTAAAGTAAAAGTAACAGTAACAGTTGAATTGTGTGACTGTGTGAAAGTGTGAATGTTTGCAATATATTTCACCAACAATGGGTTGCACCCAGAACTTTCTTACTCTCTCGTAATTTATTGCAGCAAACTCGTAATATTATGAATCAGAGGGGAGTGCGACCCACAAACGATGAAGGTGAATCGACCCCCAACCAGCCCAAGCATAGTGTTAGAAAGACATGGTAGAGCCTAGAGGGCATGCGCCAAGGCCATTAATGGATCGATGAATCGATGAATGCTGAGAATGCTGGTGGAGTTGGTGGGAGGCTTGAATGTGGTGAGAGGAAAGTGAGGTCCGATTATCGTGAAATCATTTCGGAGGGCTTGCTTTGTCAAAAATGATGTGGGGAGGATGGAGCTATTTTTTCTTATCAGATGGAAAATCTGCGAAAATCTCCACAATCCATTTGAAAAGTTAGGGATTCGCATTCAGTGTATCAGTAGGTATTGGTAGGTATTGGTAGCAGAAATGATATGTCTCTCTCTAGGTAATGATGATTTGTATGACTCGAGTTCAATCACTCTACTATAGTAATTTTGTATTTTTGTATTTTTGTATTATGAATTATGATTATGATTACTATAAAAATGCTAGCTACTTGAAAATAATGATCAACACAATGAAATAAACAAATCGACCTGACTCTGAGATGGGAAAAATAAATGGACCCCACTTGTTTTCAAAGAAATTAGGAAAAGGGAATAGTCCAGATTAGTTTAGCGTCAGAATTAGTGCACACAGATAAGCTAGATTTGCGCTTATCGAAAGCGCAGAAAAAAAAAGTTCCTGCACATGCCTATATCCAAGTAGCTTGTGGATTTGGAAATCGAGACGACAAATCAATTCTGGTGCTGGACAATTGAAACGCCTAAAATAAACTCATCCATCCGTCATAATTACTTATTCGCTCACCAACATCCGAAGAAATACATTGATCAATATCTGTTCCCTATTTCGTTAATCAACAATGTCGACAGAAATCGCCCCTACCACTGTTGCACCTGAGTCGACCTCGGCCGCCACTCCACAGGGCATGCGCAAGAATGGTATGTATGCGCTCGCATGATGTCTTTTAATGCCTTGCCAGACATCAAGTCGCTAATTTTGGTATTCTATAGGTAAACAATGGCATCCTGTGAAGAAAGCTTTTCGACCAAAGGCTGGAAATACTTCCTATCAACAGAGAAAGGCAAATGATCTGGCAGTGGCACTAGTTAAAGCCAAAGAAAAGGAAATGAAGGAGGAGAAGGAGCAAGCAAGACAGGTTAGAGCCTCGTCAACTATATCTTGGACGAAATCTAATCATTTAAATAGGCCCACATAACAAAGATCAGGGAAAAGCGCGCCAACAAGGAGGAGAGAGAACGGTACGAAAAGATGGCCGAAAAGATGCATCAGAAGCGTGTCGACAGATTAAAGAGAAGGGAGAAGAGAAACAAGATGTTGAAGTCATGATGGACAATCTTCTGGGACGGAGCACATGGCGTATGGGATGGATTGAAATATATTAAGTTCGATGGGTTGATATGGTTGATTTGCACAATTCACATATAATAGGCCGACCAATATTCAGCTTGGTGGCATAAAGACACCTATCCAGAGTTGAATATAGCAGCATGGATGAGGATACCCATCCTGTTAGTGAGGATGAAGTCAATTTAGATTCAGTGTAGGTTCTTGAGGAAATTGATGTAATCTTATATATCATTGACGAGATGGGATTTTATATGTTCGATGGTCATTTTACATTGATTGGAGTTAACGGTACAGACCTATTAGCTGTTTCGAATGTATGATAAATACTAAAAAGAGACAACTAAAAGTATTAGATCTTCCCAAGTATATCTCAACTGGTTTTAATAATATCCTCATATGAACGTCCCCTTCATTAACAAATTCATGCTGATGCGGCCGCAGGCTCTGTAATTACATCAATGGTCGCTAAAGCTCACCATCTAAGCTTCACAGCACATGCATCGGAAGCTCGACAGACATAACATGAGACAAGCTGATCACGGACTGAAAAGTTATGTCTTCTAACGGTGATGGATCGAAATATGTTTCTCCAAATAAATCTAGCCACCAGGTCGCACGGTCGGTATCTGAGGCATCTCCCTCTCCCCTGAAATCTCGCAGATCGCAACACCACCACCACCACCATCATCACCACCATCATCCTCATATACATCGTCGAGAAAAGGAAGAAAAATTCTCTCAATCTACTCTGCAGAAGGCCCTTGGTCCTTCTGAAGAGTTGTCGAGAAGTGAGGGGGTTTCTTCAAACGAAAGCCGGAATGGAAGTAGAAGGCACAGCATTTTTAGCTCAACTGTAGACGGCTTCGATTTTTCGAGAACCAGCGAGAGAAGACCATTAAGGGAAGGCGAGCTCGAAGCGGAGAAGGAGAAGAGCGCCATGATGGCCAAGTTTGTCTTTCTTACCACCGGTTGCTCTTCCACACTAATGTACTGGATCAGGGAATTGCGAAATGCCTTAACGGACGTGAATGCTGTGGCAGATCATACAACCAGAAATCTCGATGCAACATACTATTCGGTTCTAGAAAAACTTGGGGATCTGCATAGGACGATTGGCTCTCTCAAAGAGTTGGCGGCTATGACTAGACAATTGAATGAGGATTTTAATACAGAGGGGGAGGAACTCGTAGAAGAAAGTCGAGCGCAACTAGAAGGATTTGAAGAATTTGAAGCACAGGAACAGAAGATCACAGCATTGGAGAAACGTGTTAAAGAAGGACGGAATACAATTGACATATTGAGTGGGCGGGTAGACATTGTTAGGAAGCGAGTTAAAGGCTGGGAAAAGGCTGAGCAGGAATGGCAAGACAAAACCCGAAAGCGACTGAAGATGATGTGGATTCTAATGTCGATATGCGCAACCATTTTGCTATCAATTGTTATTCTGGCTTATATACCAACGGGGGAGCAAGGGCATAGAGCTGCAAGATTCAACAGCTCTAATACGACTGCGCTGGGGGAGTTGGAGAAGGCCAAAAATGAGAGCAAAAACATGCAAAAGCCCCCTTTCGAGATACTGGAGAGCTCAACTGGAAGTGAAGTCAACAAGGAAGCAGGGAAAGCGGCAGAAGACCCAAGGCTTGAGATATTCGACGAGTTATAATTTATTGGTACAAGAATGCACGTACAAGGTTCACATTTTCTTAGGCCAGCTTAATCGTGAATATTACCACTTTTTTCCAAGTATACTACGCCTTATGGGATTAGAAAATCAGTGGGTCTATGGTCTGATGACTGAGGATATTAACATGCCGAGCAGCCGGATCTTGGTATAAATCCCAAGCAACCTGGCAATCCGTATATCTTCTTAGCATTTCTGAATCTTTGTAATCTTACATCAACGGAATTTGTTAGATTGAGAGTGACATTTATATGTTACGTATGGATGATATATGCGATGTAGATAGCACTGAGGACTCGCATCTATCCTAGAATCTTGGCAAGCTAGAAAGCTAAACGTGCAGATGCCGAGAAGGCTATACGGAGGAGTTCGGGTTTCATGTCTAATGATGTCTAATGCTCTACGCCTCGACACTGGATTCGTACTAGTTTCGGGGTGATGCGCGCTCTCCAGGCTTAATCATCTTTTAAACTCTAGAATTGGTGGCACGGTGGTGTGGGAGTCGTCATTTCTTTACTGAGCCAGCCACCAATAATATATCCCTGTATTGTGTATGGTAAATGTCAAGAAATTCAAAATCAATATATAAGCTATGAATATTCTCCATCCTATGAGATTCAAGATGACTCTGTGATTTATTAATCGTCGCGATCAGTTAATTTTAGATTTGTCTATTGTGACTCCTAGTCCTAGATCGAATATTACATAGAGATATTTATTCTTGAGGCAACTGCATCACGTCAACCAGGAGGAAATACCTACCCCGCTGCACAGTAAGCTACTTTAAGCATTGCATAGCCCAAAAAGCATCCAAACTCAAAGTCAAACTCCCAAATAACGTTGGGCATTGCAAATCCTTCAACGAGAAACACGATCGATCACAAGAGCCCAAGAATCGCTCGGCTTCTTCCATACATATCTACAAAGCAACGAAGCAACCAAAATAACGGTTCGATGAACGACGAAAACAGTATTGAAGGGAGAAATCCCGTCATTCCTCCCTCGCCGTCCAAAATGACAGAAAATGGCACCGTACTTTCACCTGCGAGAAGTGTCTTTGGACATGATAAGGGTCAAGCACTTACGGGAAAGCAGGAGCATTGTATGTATTCAAATATATTCTGCCTTTTGGCAAACGCTGTGGCTAATGCACTCCAGATCTCAAGCGCGAGTTGATCTCCCAACAAGTGAAATACGAAATCACCGAGTTGAATTCTCCCACAGCATTACAGAGATTCGGCGCCCCATTCAAATCCGATCGCGGGGAAGTATCTCCTCTAGATTCCGAGCTACCTATTCTCAGATACATATTCGTACATCATGTTCGCGAGTTCCCATTTTTGGATAAGGCAAAGGAGAAGGAGTTTTGGCAGGACAAACTACAGGTGGTGAGTGTGGAAAAGTTCCTATCCTCATGGGATTGACTTATCTAACAAATATACTATGCAAGTTCCTACAATCTTTCGCGGAGAAGCATATTTCGTCATCTGAAGACAGGCTCGAGGAAACAAAGCGCAGAAAGTTATCCATTAAATGTCAGAAGCTAGTAGAGCTGATGATGGTGTCTGGTATACCAACGGCTTCGGGGTATGAGGAGAGGATTAGATTTTCTGAGTTGGAAGTTGTCGATGCTGGCGCTATTGAGCATGGAGTTCTCTCGACCATGCCAGAAGGTCATTATTTGCACGGCTGGGATGTGAACGTTGCAGGAGTTAGAACAACCAAAGTCAAACGAAACATCAGATACCATAAGCATGCGGTGAGTCTATTCACCGGCTATACTTGTGGAAAAACTACTTATGCCCCTTTAGGAATTCATTCTCCGAGTTAAGAAGAAGGGGGAGATGCCATACTTTATTGGACGAAGATATGGTGATTTTAGCAGACTTCACAAGAGGCTAAGAACAGAACTTCCTGGCAAAGTTCTCCCGCCCATGCCAAAAAAAAATAAGGAAAGTTCAACCGCCTCAAATCTGATTAGTGGCATTACGGGTGGCAAGGATTCCGACGCATCTTCCATGTCCTCGGTTTCAACCATGGGAAATCTGGGCGCTACAAGTGGCATGAAAAGTCTGTCTGTCCGTGGTTAGTTCTCGAATCTTCTGTCGTGTTTAGATGTTCAAAGAGCTAATTCTAGTAGATCATCGTCGCTCTGGATCGGCAGCGTCATACGGAAGATCATCTCCTAGAGCATCGACGTCATCCCCACGACCATCTGTAGACGGAAGCCTCAAAAGTCCTTCGACCCCTGTAACAGATTCCGATGTCAGTCTCCTTCATAGACGATTGAGCTACCATGTGCTAATTTCTTTCAGGGCACGACACTATGGCGAGAAAACCAGCGTATATCCTTGAGAGCATTTCTGCGTGGTCTTCTTACCAATCCTCAAATCGCTGGAACTCGAGCAATGCAAGATTTTCTGTCAAGTCAACCTATTAAACTAAGCGATGAAGATGTAGAGGATGTAGAGAGACGAAGGTTAATGGATGAGAAGAGAGTTGTAGAGCAGAAGCAGTTTTATGAAATAGCCAGAAAGCGTGCCGCTGAACTAGACATATACATGGAAGAGTAAGTACTCTGGCTTCAACCTCTTTACTATCCATCGACTTACTATTTTAGATTTCGTCGCGATATTGTGGAAAGCAATGGTCTCACCAAGTTATTCAAGGAAATCAAGGATAAGCCAACCATTCAAGATCTCAGCATCCAGTACCAGAAGTTTGCAGAATGGCTACGAATCGAAGTAGCAGCAACACTTTACCATTTGTTCCTGGCAGAAGATAATTCTCCTGAATTATTCGCGCAAGCGAAAAAGATCCATTCTATGATACCATATACGATTATTAAGAACGCAATCAGGATAGCTAATCCCGCGGCTGTTATGTCCAGCATATTAGACATCTTTTTAGCTCAACCTTTTGGAGCGAGATCGCTCATGCAAAGAATCTTTTCTTTAACATTAAACGATGGCATCAGAAGTTTCCAAAAATCTATCGACAGCCTTGAGGATAAGGTCAACGAGCCCGTGTTCTGCGAGAAACTAAAGAAATTCTCCGACGGTCCTGAGGATCTCAAAAATTCTATCAGAGCTGATGCAGAAGAGGATAACGTAGACTTGATTGTCGCCATCCTGCGATCAGACGCGATCGAACCACAACTAAATGCAACGCAAATTGGAAAAATATTTAACGCTTATGTGGCATGGAACAATGCTGTGGAGAATGTTGATGAGGAGATGAAACAAGGTGCACAATTATTCTCATACTTGAAACAGCTTCTTAAACTGTACACGAGACAACGGGACAAGGCTATGATGCTCAATATGATTGAGGAGCCAGTTACACTACGCCTTCTTCGCGATTTGTTCACCATCTTTTACGAGCCCTTGGTACGGGTGTACAAATCGGCAAACGTGTACAATAGCGTCACTGATTTTGCCGATTTTATTGAGGATACTATAAGCGTAAGTGTGGTTCTGCCTTCATTGATGGAGAAATGGCTAATGATGTTATCAAAAGGTTGTCGACAAATGCCGGGAGCAAGATTTTTCAGCAGACCCTAACCAAACGGTTCAAGCATTTATTGATTTATGCCAACGACACGAACACAATTTTTACAAATTCGTTCACGAAGTCCATACACATGATAATGGACTGTTCACTCAATTGATGGGTTGGATCGAGGGAATTTTGGAATTCCTTCGTCAAGGCCCTAAGGGTGGAAAACTTGACATCAATGCTCTTGTTAGCGGTGCCGTGAGCGTAAATCAACTAAATAAGGAAGTTGCCGTCAATGAGATAAACCAACTAATTACTTGGCAAGAAGCACGTAAGAAGTGGCATTCTGATAAAACAAGACAAAAAATGGCGGCGGAAGGTACAGGTGCTGTAGAGCAAGTACCTGGAGCGCTAGCATTTAAGAGTGCCGATTTTGGACTAGATGAAATGGATCTTGAGGAGATGACCTATGAAGAAGACGATGAGAGTAGTGATGAGGACGAGGAGGACGACGAGTTGGACCCAATTGCGGCAGAAAGAAAGAGAAGAGCAAGGAAACAAGACCATTTGAGGAGAACAGCGGGAGAGCCTGTTAAGCCAGATGTGCAAGAGGTGTATAAATTGAAGGATGGATTCTTGAGTATGCTTAGAGGTGTACTTGCTGAGTAGTGAATGGTTTTGGTTTTGATGGGGGAAAATAGATGTTGTATCGGGATAAGGGTAGTATGATACCTCTGGGGGGAGTTTGGTTTTGGGAATGTTCAGGGAGGGTTGGACGATTTGTGTTGTTTGGTCATTGATATTGAAATCGGGTGACTGTAATAAGTGCAGCCAAAGAAAGATACATTAACAGCGGATACAAATAGCGGACATAAATAGCGGATACCAGGGCAAAATATCATAGACAATCGATGGTTTTCATAATAATCTTGGAAATTTTCTGTCGAATTTGAAATGGACAGAAATATTTAGGGTTGGATCACACTCAGTATGTTTGGCGTTGCTCGATGCCTTAGTCCCTTTATTAGCTTATGCACAAAATGAGAATCCTAGACAATAGATTCTGGAATTTTGGAATAAACCTTGATAGATGAGACTTTGAAAAGAACTCCAGTGAGTTGTAATATGAATAATCTAACACAATCACAGAATGGATAAATATAATATATAATATTGATAATAATTTAGAACCGTTGATCAAAGTTCTATCTGCTAAAACTCCTCGCTTAAAAAGATGGTGCAAAAAATTCAATCACCACTTTTGATCATGATGTGATGCTTTTGAATTGTGATATACTGTTTTAAACGCACCGAGAACAACCCACCCACGATATTTCTCGATAACATATCACCATGCCTCCAGCAAAACCGCTACCTTATCCGGACGATTTTTCCAGCGCGGATCAATACGTCGACTCCTTGTTGCACTTCGCAACCACATCGACTCTTTTCCAAACCCTATGCGGAGGCGTTCATATCCTCGATTTCTTTATCGAGAGCCCTACTCTGTATCATAACATTCTTCCTGAAGAATGGCGTGGCTGGTTGCTAGATTGTCCCGAGATGGATCTTCTTGATTTGCTTCTGCGCGATGATCTCTCTTTACCACGTGATAATCCACCCCCAGAATCATTCATTAAATATATTCGAGAGATTCGGAAACATTCTCTGCTCAGGGGCGTGGAGAGGAAAAATTTTAGTACGAAGAAATTACCAAAGCATGTGGCTGTAGGTATGATTCCGAAAAAGGTGCACGAGGTGACGAATTTTGCGGATTATGTGGTTCGGGTTGCGGATTCGGTCAAGGAGGAGAGTGGGAAGGAAATTACCCATTTTGTTGATTTTGGGAGTGGTCAGAATTATTTGGGGAGGGCTCTTGCCAGTCCGCCGTGGAATCGGTGGATTGTGGCCGTGGAGAGTAAGGGGGGGAATATTGAAGGCGCGAAAAATATGGATATTTTAGCGGGGATGGCGGAGAGGGAAAAGGTTATGAGGAATAAGAAGGTTTTTAGGGAGAAGATTATGGGAGAGGTGGGGAAGACTAAGAGGAATGTGGGAAAGATGGATAGGGATGAAGAGGCGGACTTAAGACCGGCGAGGAATTTGCAGACGATTTATACGCCCAGCGATGGGAAGGGGTATATTCAGTATGTGGAACATCGAGTTGAAGATGGAGATTTATCAGACGTAGTATCTCAAATTGAGAAACTGAAAACTTCTGCCCCAGAAGAAAATCTCAACATCATCTCCGAACCCGGTTCTACGACTTCAACTGCGGAGGAAATCATATCACGCGTTTCAGGAGCGATAACCCCGGAAACAAACCTCATGGCTATATCGATCCATTCCTGCGGTAATCTCTCGCACCATGGCATCCGCTCTCTTCTACTCAATCCTTCTGTACACGCTATTGCTATTGTAGGCTGCTGCTATAATCTTCTATCTGAACGCCTCACTTTACCGTCCTTCAAACATCCTTTACTCCGCCCCAATCTCCGCGCTGTCAATCTTCCCACTCCTTCTCCCTCTTCCTCTCCCGCATCAGCTGATCCCCATGGCTTTCCTATGTCCAATCGCCTGGCTACATACAACGAAACAGGTATTACCCTCAACATCACCTCGCGCATGATGGGCGTCCAAGCACCCGCCAATTGGACAGCTAAAGATAGCGAGTCCTTCTTCACACGGCACTTCTACCGCGCTTTACTACAGAAACTCTTTTTAGACTATGGAGTCGTCCAAGCGATTCCATTGGATACTTCAGACCATCCCAAACAACCTTCTTCATGCACGTCCCCAGAATGCGGCGGATGCGAAAAAGAAGAAAAAAGCATCACCACAACCCCTATAATCATCGGCTCCCTCCGCAAAACATGCTACACATCATTCACCACCTATGTCCGCGGCGCCATTCAAAAACTAACCAACACCCCATCTCCATCCTCATCATCCACCTCACCAGATACATCCACACCTACACCCACACCCACACCCCAAGCACCCCTCACCCCCCGCACCGACATCTCGACGCTAATCCACACCAAACTCGACCGTCTAACCGATCACGACATAGAGACATACGAAGCGCGCTACTCAGCTTGCAGAAAAGAACTTAGTATCATGTGGTCATTAATGGCTTTTAGTGCGGGAGTGGTAGAATCGATGATTGTGACGGATAGGTATTTATTTCTGTGTGAGGCGGTAAAGAGGGGGGAGTGTAGGGATGCGTGGGTGGAGGGAGTGTTTGAGTATAAGGTTAGTCCGAGGAATTTGGTGGTGGTGGGGGTTAAGTAGGATTTGGGGGGGGAAGAAGGGTGGTTGGGGAGGAGGATGGGGAGGGAAGGATGGGAAGGGATGAGAGGTGGTGTGGTATGTATATCTGACGAGGACTGAGAAGAAAGATGAGATGTATGGATTCTAAATGCCCAAATTTCAATCCAAATCTGCTTGGTATAAATATATGTAGTAAACATCAAACATCAAGATATAAAAACCCAGCCCATAAAGCTATACCACCCCTAACTCCTAATATGAGACGAGCAAGGAGATTAAGACGACAATAATATATCTGCTTAAGGACATCGATCGCACATCCCGTTTTAACCCTAAGTAGGCAAGTACGTAGAGGTGAGGTAGGTGTTCGTTTGAATACTCAAACATCAATCAATAATTATACATACATATCATATCACATCATATCACTTCTATTTCACATGCAATTACAAGCAACCTATCCTCACATACCCACATACCCAAATCTTTACACCTACACTTACCTCAAAATTATACAGACATTGTCAAGAAAAATCATGATTCATTAGAGCTGATGCCAAAAGGGGCTAAGCGAAACATAAATATGATATCCGGCTCACCACCATGCATTAATATACATCTCTGATCATAATCATCATATTTTCCTTTCATTTCCCGATGTAGATATACACTTTTTATCTAGATAAAGCGATGTCATCAATACGTAAAATCATTTTCACCGTCTCAGCTGCCAATTCAATAGCGCTCGTGCTGACCAAAAGCGGTTGCAATACATTCTCATCTGCGATATCAACCTTGACACCTCCACTCTTAATGCTGACACCTGCGTTTTTCTCTCCATTGGCATGTTTGTGTCTCAATTCAGTAACGACCTTGATGCTGTTGAGACCAGCGTTTTCGGCGAGTGTGGTGGGGATCACTTCCATGGCGTCGGCGAAGGCTTTCCAGCAGATGGCTTCGGTGCCGGTTAATTCTCGTGCTTGTTGTGCTAACTGCGATGCGATTTCAATCTCAGGGGCTCCTCCACCTGCGATTAATGCCTTCTTTTTTACTAAACATCGGACGACGCAAAGGGCATCATGAAGACTACGCTCGGCTTCATCAAGAATGAGGGAGTTGGCACCTCGGCAGACGATCGAGACGGTCTTGCCGGCACTCTTGGTACCGGTGATTTTGACGAGTCTAGAACCGGAACTTTGGGCTTCTTCAACAAGGTCGGCTGAACCGAGTTTATCTTCGGTAAATGAGTCGATGTCGGCAATGGGCTTGCAGCCGGTGGATTTGCAGATGAATTCTACTTCATCACGTTCGATATCTTTTATGCGGAGAATGTTAAGTTTGGCGAGGAAGTGGAGGGAAAGTTCGTTAACTGCATCACGGAGGATAGACTTTTGGATCTGAGGATCGTTGTTAGTACGGTTATTATGGACCTCAGATAACATCTGACTTACCAATAAAACATTACACTTCGCCTTCTTGATCTTTTTAACTAAATTCAACAGATAGGTTCGCTCTTCTTTCAAAATTTTATCCATCTGTCTGTAGTCGTTGACAACGATCTGATTTTCCATCTGAAATATGTTAGCACTACTCGCAACGATATTCCGCCAACAAAACATACATCAGGCTTTGGAGGGCTGAGTTGGAATTGAATAAGTCCAATCTTTGCCTTTTCCATTCTGATAGGTCCACCTCCATTTTTTAAAACACCTTGAGTCAAAACTACTCCCTCAACCATCTCACTGTCCTCGATGGTACCTCCAGACTTTTTAACTATTCTGATATTCTTCAAGTCTACGTTTTCTGCAGTCTTGATGTCGATTGTCTTTGTAACAGCATTTACAGCCATAGGACCGAGGAGATTTGAGTATTGTGAAACGATTTTGGAAGAAAGAGATGTGTTGGCGGCTTGTAAAAGGGTTGCGGTGTCGCTGAGAGCAACTGGAACCGACATATCGTGGAGAATCTGAACTGCTGCCGCAGCAGCTCTCTGGAATGACTCGGCAATAACTGAAGGGTGTATTCCTTTTCCTAATAATTTATCTGCAGCGCCCAACAGACTTCCACAAATAACCACAACTGAGGTAGTTCCGTCTCCGGCCTCTACATCTTGTGCTGCTGAAAGGTCGACCAACATCTTTGCAGAAGGATGCATAACTGCCATGCTTTTCATCATAGTGCTTCCATCATTTGTAATAAGTGTTCCTCCTTTGCCGTCTTGAATCATCTTATCCATTCCTCTGGGACCAAGGGAAGTTCTGCATGCATCTGCGACAGCTGTATTTTGTCAGCTTCACATCTGCAACCTAGCATTTATTTCCAAACACACCTCTGGCAGCCAAGATGTTGGCATTTCGAACAGCCATAGGCTTCTCCTTGTCCTGTAGACTACATTAGCTAAATTGAACAACCCCTCTCTAGGCTTTAATGTCCCACCTTAAAGGCATTGTTGGTAGAATTTCCTGCTGATTGTGTGAGAGCCATATTGAAGTATCTGATATTGGCTATAGGAAATCTGAGACGTTTAAACTCAAAATACGTTGAGAAGTGACGTCGTCGCGTTTCTACAGCTACTGCGCGTCTTGTCTTGAGATTTCGAATTTTGAAATATCGGCTAACCTTATCTTGGACTAGCTTATCGAGCAACGCCGACGTACCTTTGGATACCTAAGAGCTATGGGAGGATTATCAACACAACAAATCCAAACTTCTCACAATCACATTTTCTCCACCACATTGAAAGGAATTTGAGTTAGGACGTTACTCTGGGGATTTTGATCTCTACGCAAACAACCAATTCTAAGAAATTTCACCCATCACATCTTCAGCCAAAACACTACTTTACAACACAGTACCCTTCATAACTCAGCTCTCATCATGGTCCGTATTGTTACCAGGCATTCATATACTTAACTAACAGGTTTGCAGGTCAGCGCAAAAGGGCAAAACTGGGAGAACTATAAGAAGGTACAAATCATTCCTCAAGTTTGTCGGGACTCTTGCTAATAGATTCTTAGGACTTTGCGGACGACGAGGTTGAAGAGAAGAAGATCACACCTTTATCAGATGAGTAAGGTTATCCAGGCAATCGCATCATCACAGCACCTAACGGTATCATAGAGATATTCAAGTCCTAAAAACCTATGGCGCAGCTCCCTACGGTGCCGCGCTGAAGAAACTCGAACAACAGATCAAGGAGAAGCAAACAAGTGTGAATGAGAAGATTGGCGTAAAGGTAGGGCTTAAGGATATACAGAATACATGGAAATGATCTAAATCTTCATCAGGAATCAGATACTGGTTTGGCGCCACCTCATTTGTGGGATGTAGCTGCAGACAGGCAACGAATGTCAGAAGAGCAACCTTTACAAGTCGCAAGATGTACGAAGATTATTCAAGACGAGAAGGATACGGAAAAGAGCAAATATGTCATCAACGTTAAGCAAATCGCGAAATTCGTTGTAAATCTTGGCGAACGTGTCAGTCCTACGGATATTGAGGAAGGAATGAGAGTTGGGTATGGCGAATGCATTCTCAATTATCTACAAAGCTAATTTATCTCGAATAGTGTCGATCGCAACAAGTACCAAATTTTATTACCATTACCACCGAAGATTGATGCTAGCGTTACGATGATGACAGTTGAGGAGAAGCCGGATGTTACATACGGTGATGTTGGAGGTTGCAAGGAACAGGTGGAAAAGCTACGAGAAGTCGTCGAAATGCCACTGCTATCACCAGAACGATTCGTCAACCTTGGTATCGACCCACCTAAGGGTGCTTTGCTTTATGGTCCTCCAGGAACTGGAAAAACTCTTTGCGCCAGAGCTGTCGCGAACAGAACTGATGCTACATTTATTCGAGTTATTGGTAGTGAATTGGTACAAAAGTATGTTGGAGAGGGTGCTAGAATGGTTCGTGAATTATTCGAAATGGCGAGGACGAAGAAGGCGTGTATCATTTTCTTCGATGAAATTGATGCTGTCGGAGGGGCTCGTTTCGATGATGGTGCTGGAGGAGACAATGAAGTACAACGAACTATGTTAGAGTTGATTACCCAACTCGATGGTTTCGACGCGAGAGGAAACATTAAGGTCATGTTCGCTACCAACAGACCTTCCACTCTAGATCCTGCATTAATGAGACCTGGACGTATCGACAGAAAAATAGAGTTCTCGCTACCAGATCTTGAGGGAAGAGCAAATATTCTCAGAATCCACGCCAAGAGTATGTCTGTCGAGAGAGACATTAGATGGGAATTGATTTCGCGTCTTTGCCCCAACTCTACTGGTGCCGAACTTCGAAGTGTCTGTACAGAAGCAGGAATGTTCGCTATTCGTGCTAGAAGAAAGGTCGCAACAGAAAAGGATTTCTTGAGCGCGGTTGACAAGGTCATCAAGGGCAACTTGAAGTTCAACTCCACTGCCACTTATATGCAATATAACTAGAGGTCTATCAAAGGCTGGAGGGGTGTACATTAGCTGGCGTTGGTGTATAAGATAGCATTAATGCAGAAATTCATGATCACTCCATTATTAGCTGTACCCATTTCTTAAAAGTTGCGCAATACAGCTATAAAATGTTTCCGCAAGTCACTCTGAAAGCGCCTGCAATAATTTGATACCTTGGACATGCTGTTAGTTATGATATCACTGGTTAATTCGGTTTTATATGAAGTTTAAAGACATTGCATTCTGCTTAATTCACGGGAGGAAGTTGAGCTCATCCTTGTCAAGCCTTTAGAACAGTAAAGTCCGTTTATGATGCCATTTCAATTATAAATATGTAGAAATTACTCTACAACAAGCCCAATGATTAGGACACTGTTCAAAATAGCATAACATTTGATTGATCTATCTTAACAAACATCCGTCACACGTGTATATTCTGCATGTATCCCATCCTTGGAGTCAGAAAAGTCGAAATTCATCTACTACGCCGTTCTTCTTTATACGAACATGTGTGAGCTGCTCTGCAATATTCCCAATAATCAGGATACCATCCACAATCAGCCAAGTCAATGATTGCAAGTACACGAGGTGGTTTTGGAGAAATTATATCATTTCCTCGATGTAGATTCGCGTGAGTTAACGTAATCGATCCAGTATCTGGTAAAAACTATCTACATGAATCCTTGAAATTCTTCGGGATGTTGTGACGGGGCCAAGACAGTGAAGAAAAATAGTCATGAAATTCTTCGGTGGTCGCAAAATGGGCCACCTGGAGCCTGGTTCTTAAATATCTAAGTCGTCGATTTATAAATAACGCTTGGTTCAATCCCTTATATACTATGGGTTTACAGTAAATGCTGAGCTGGAGTATGTTGTCTAGTGATAGAAGGGGGTATTCTTTGCCGATAGTATGTAAGATCTTACCTGCCCTGAAGAGCGAAGGGGGCATTAATACGGAGTATAGTCATCAGCTTTTGGCTTTGAATCATGGTAATGTTGAGTAGATAATAAAAAGACTTATATTTAATGCTAGCTCTAGTGGAAGTATCTACTCTTTCTCATGCTTCTGTTATTTCTTCATTGCCGAAGTTCCATCAGTACCATCACACTGCTGCAAGGAATTTTCTCACTCAAACTCATTTCTAAACACAAAATTTACCACTCTCCTTGCTTTTTCGCTTCCATAGCTGAGTTTCTCATGGCTATGACATTTGTACCGGCTCCATCGGCGCGCGCAACTACCATCATGCCATCTTTCACCTAGACGATTCGTGATCTCTTTCTAGTTTCCCAGCGTTTTGCAGTATCATTGATCATGATCACCGGGGCATGATCTCTATCTCTGGAGGAACTAGCCGAGAAATTCGGTCATCCGTATCTATTTATAGCTAGATTACTTCTTTTTACATTACGAATAGCGAATGGAGACAGGTGCTGTTACCATAAGATCTTACTATCATTGCTTATTGTGGCTCTTGCGAGTTTCTCTGCTTCAAACGTCTCAGTAGTTTTAACACTTTGAAGCCATTATGGCTGAATGACGAGAGGGAGAAAAGATCAATATCTAGTGGCAGTCAGCTTGATTTAATTACATAGTAAGAATTTTTTTAAAAAAAAAGACTTGATGTAATAATAATGTCTAAAATTATTTATGAATGATTTGAACGATTTGTATCTTCTTATATCCAGCATTGAGAAATTGTTACTTGTGACTTTCTGTTTGGACGAATTGGAATTCAGAATTCACATTGGCAAATACAAAAAATTTAACCACGGAGTCTCACCAGGCTCAGTTCATATTCACTAGCACCAATATATCTCAAAGTATCTTCTACTATAAAATTCACAGCATTGAAAAACTCTTAATTGCATTGGTAAACCTCCCCATATGTGCAGAGAAATCATCGCCGTATGTACAAATTTGACATTCTAGCCAGCCAGCCAGCCATTTCTTGATTGCTTAGATAACCATATTTCTTCCTTGTCCAGCAAACGCTTAAACGCATTGCGAGTAATAGGCGCTTAAGACTGAGCATGTATATGGCGATGCACACTATTTCAAGTATTAGCGATCTGGATAATAATACCCGCCCGACGACCATATCCAAGGAATATAATAATAGTGTGTGCATAGGAAGAAAAGGCATGTTATAACTCACCACAGTCGAACCTGTCCATCCGGTACCTCCGCATTGTCCGTAATGGGCAACCGGCGACCCGGTTCCTGCACTTGCCGCACTACTGGTAGAACTTGACGTCGTTCCTGAGCCAGCAGTCGTACTTGTACTTTTGCCAGTACTAGCAGCTGCAGAGGTAGAACCACCGGTTGAGCTTGCCCAAGTAGATATTGCACTTGGACCTGTGGGCGACTCATTGATAGAATCATTAGCGCGTACACAACCGCTCTTAGCGGTGAGAGCAGCCGGGCAAGTAATTTGCTGGAAGGAGACGCCCGGGTTGTCAGCATTGAGGAACCAGTCAAAACGCCAGTAACAACCTGCTTGCAGTGCGGCTGGGAAAGAGGCGCACTGGTCACGAGAAGTGATGCCGCCGTATTGGGCACCCCAAGCTGAGCTTGGTGTGGAAGGATATTGGTTTGTACATGCGTTGTATATACCAAAGCCACCGCCAGGGATCTGGTGCAAAGTTTAGTTAGATGCTTAAATTGTGGTGAGGCGAGGACTTGGGATGGACATACAGCGAGATCAAATTGATTACTTCCCAAATCTCCTCCTGTATTTGTAGCTTGGACAATCATCTGTTTACCTGCCACTGGGCCACTGGTAAACGTCAATTGGTAACAAGCGCAACACCAACTCGCCTCTGATCCACCTGCGATATTCGTGGCAGCAAAACCATAACTCAAGGTATCTGAGACTGCCCAAGGAGTTTGTGAGCCGCACATGTAGGCAGTGCCACTGGAAGAAGCACAGTAGGATACAGCATTGTAGTTCGAGAGCGGATTGTTTGAGATGTCGCAGGAGGTGACCGGGTTGGAACCAGATGCTAGAGTAGCTTTTTGGGGCCAGCCGCAGGAGGCTTTGCAGCAATCCCAGTAGCGGGTTGTTGTACCAGTACCTGATGCTTGGGCATGGATACCTGCAGGAAGGAGGAAAGAGAAGGGAAGGGAGAGGAAGACAGCGGATTTCATTGTTGATGATGGCTTGTGTAGACTTTAACGGGATTTCTAAAGGCAATGGAGGGCCTTTGCACTTTTGAAAATCGAATGGCGATTGCCCCGAGTAAATGAAGGACAGGAAGAACAAGAAAAAAGGTAACATATATAGATATATATGCTGGCGATAACATCTATTATATAGACAGGGAATACCAAACATCAAACCACTTCTGCAATGTACCCTGTAGGCTGCCAATGTGCCGAGACATCTCCACAAATTAGTGTCGTCCTACCAAAGTCGTTACATATTTCCCCAGATTATCGCTTAATTATCTTGGTGGCCGTATGTGGGATTTTGATATTAATACTAGGAAATGACGGGCCGTGAAAACGTGGTGTTGATGAACTCGTGATGTTGCATCCCATTTAACCGCCTTCGCTTGAACGGGAGTTTTGGAGAGGCGGGTGGGTCTGATGCAAATGCCACGTATTGACTAATAAATAAATAAATAACACACCTGGAAGTTTATATATTTAATGATTGAAGATAACATGGAGATTGTTGATGTGGTCCTTGAAGATTATCGTCACATGCTCTGCTTCCTGCATATAGTGGTTCGGGGTCAGCGGAGGTGCCGGAATAATTTGTAGAGGTTCCGCTCGCTTCCCAAATCTCCTAGTCGAAAGTGAAGCCGGGCCCAGTCAGCTATCTGTCAATGCATGAGGAAGACATCTGGAGTGGATCAGGGAAGTAGAACATGCCTTTCAATTTCGTCCTCTTAATACCTTCATGCACCGAAACGCTATGATCTCGACTTGTTAAAAGCTGACCACAGTACCAAATTCTCCGGCGTTTCTTTAGAAAACGTCGAGTTCACACGACTACAACCTTGTGCCTTTTAAATCGACGTAAGGTTCTATACATATCCTAGCTTTATTCCCTCGCAGGTGTGGGGAATGCTCCTTATTATCATGCGATCACAGCTCCCAACTCTTGCTTCCATCTCATCCATCTCATCCATCTCATCCTTCACACAGTACAACGCTTGTTAATCGACAACAAAATTATGCAAAACATGTAGAGATGATTTTGCTTATTTGTACTATGCAATATGATGGGCATATTTCCGCCATGCAATACAAAATGTATCAGGTCAGGGCAAGGCAATGCATTCAATTTCAATATTGACACCCTTTGGCAACTCCTTGACGGCGACACAACTTCTTGCCGGCTTATGAGTGATCCACTTTTCATATTCTTCATTCATCTCGGCAAAATCCTTCATGTCCGTTAAGAAAACTTGGACCTTCACAATCTTGTCGAGCGAAGAGTTAGCAGTGATGAGAACCTCTTGAAGGTTTTTGAAAACAGCCTCCGTCTTTTCACGGATTGTGCCCTGAACAAGATTGCCTTCGAAATCTGCTGGTAGTTGGCCGGAAACAAAGACACCGAAAGGAGTTTGCACAGCATGGGACTATTGACTCGAAACATTGATCAATATGGAAGAATATACGGTTCCGTTTGGGATAGTTTTAACTTACATATGGCCCAATTGCTGTGGAAACTTTAGTATGTGGAAACTTTAGTATGTAGTCGCGGGGACTCAGTTCGGGGACTTACGAGCTGGAAGCTTTTCGCTGTTAATTGAGAATCTTAGAGAAGCATTTCTACTGTGACCACATCTACATTCTTCCTTCCTCGCAAAATTGTGACCACCACACTTTTTACACCACCAGTCACCAGGAAGAAAATTATTCACAAATGTCGAGTGAGAAGCCTTCGAAACTGACCGATTTTGCTGGTGTGTTGTGGTCAGTGTTGTGACCAGTGAGGAACGAGAGGAACGATTGATTAGCCTGGTGGCAGAATGTCTGAACATGATTCTTGACAACATTGCTCCTTCCTGACGGCAATATCTTTCCCTCTCGAGCTTGTGATGTGATATACTTAAAAGCTACCATGGAACGATGAGGTATGTTGGCTGCAGGTATCGTAAGAAACGTGGGTTGTGTACTCGACATAAAATTAATCGAATCCTGTGAGTTTTGCTGGAGCTCTTATCTATGTAGCTTATCTTCACGTGACTGGACTAATTTTAGAACCATGAGTTACCTTCCTTCCTGGTCCTCAAGTACATAGGTATGAATAAGGTCGAGATGGGTCTTTCAAGAACTGGATGATAATAAATGTTGAATCTAGTATTGGTCTGCATGTAGTAGGTTTTGGTATTAATATTAATAGGAGGAATATATGAATATATCATATTCCAAAAACAGAGATCTATTCATACCCCTGAGCTGATCAAACAAATGATGATGAAGCTAAAGCTCAGGCGAGATTCTTAACAAAGTGTCCTATTCTTACTCGGCTCAAAACTTTGGTGGTAATCTCGCTCTACTTTTGTCAAGGGGTTTTCAATTTCCTTATAAAATATACCAACACAAGGGACAACAATTCACTTCTGCTGGTCTCCCTTGAGATCAATGCTATCTTCTTACGTTCTCTAAAAAAGTTTGCTGCTGAAGCACTCTTGTAGGTTATTCCCAGCTCTGATACCATTGTATCGGCCCTTTCAAGCTCTCAGAGCCTCCCCACTCGCACTCATATATATATATATATATATATATCTAACCTTTGTTTTGCCCCTTAGAATTTTTTATACCTTTCGCACTTGAAGATGTCGTCTCAAGGTTCAGTTCGAAAACGAAAAGGTGGTTCAGTTCCACCTCAAGGAAAAGACAAAGATGCCTCTGTTGTTGCAGCTCCTCATCCTGAGCTCGATGCTCTGGTGAAAGATATACAGACCAAAACCGGACCAGAATGGGATTACAGGATTGCATTGTTTATCATCACGGTTCTGGCATTTGTCACAAGATTTTGGGGAATCAGCCATCCAAATGAGGTGGTGTTTGACGAAGTCCATTTCGGCAAGGTAACTTCCATCATACTCTTCTTCAAAAGTTATAGCTTTTCTGACACCTTGTTCAACAGTTTGCTTCATATTACCTTGAACGAACCTACTTCTTCGATGTTCATCCTCCTTTCGGAAAGCTTCTTTTCGCCTTGATGGGTTGGTTTGTCGGATATGATGGGCATTTCCATTTCGAAAACATTGGGGACTCGTACATCGATAACAAGGTGCCATATGTGGCTTTCCGCGCTATGCCCGCTCTCCTCGGAGCTTTAACAGTCCCAACTGTCTTCGCTATCATGTGGGAATCTGGTTATACTCTACCTGCCTGCGTCCTCTCCGCTTCATTGGTACTATTCGACAACGCCCACATCGGCCAAACCCGCTTGATCTTATTGGATGCCACTCTTGTTCTTGCAATGGCATGCAGTCTCCTCTGTTATATCAAGTTTTACAAACTCCGACATGTCCCATTTTCGAGAAAGTGGTGGAAGTGGCTCCTTTTGACAGGATTCGCTTTAAGTTGCGACATCTCCACCAAGTACGTTGGCACGTTCGCATTTGTTACAATTGGTTCCGCAGTCGCAATTGATCTCTGGAGTTTGTTGGACATCAATCGTCGCCAGGGTTCTTTGAGCTTACCAGAATTTGGCAAGCATTTCGCAGCTCGTGCTGTTGCCCTCATCATTGTACCGTTCCTCTTCTACTTGTTTTGGTTCCAGGTACATTTCGCAATCTTGACCAAATCTGGTCCTGGTGATGATTTCATGTCCCCTGAATTCCAAGAGACGCTTAGCGACAATGCCATGACCGCAAATGCCGTTAACATTAATTATTTTGACAACATTCAAATCAAGCACAAGGAAACACATGGATACTTACACAGCCATCCCGATACATATCCTCTGAGATATGATGACGGTAGAGTCTCTAGTCAAGGTCAGCAAGTCACTGGCTACCCATATGCCGATGCCAACAACCATTGGCAAATCATCCCTGCAGGCACTTTTGAAGAGGTTGCTGGCCGCCCTGTTAGGAACGGCGAAGTTGTTAGATTAAGACATGTGGTCACAAACACAATGCTCTTGTCACACGATGTTGCTTCTCCATACTACCCAACAAACCAAGAATTTACCACTGTTTCCCTTGAAGAGGCTTTGGGCGATCGCCTGAATGATACTTTATTTGAACTACGAATCGAAAATGGGAAACCACGCCAAGACTTCAAGAGTCTTCAAGGACAATTCAAGCTCATCCATTGGCCAAGTAAGGTCGCTATGTGGACACACACAACACCTCTGCCAGATTGGGGCTACAAACAACAAGAAATTAACGGAAATAAGAATTTGGCTCAAAGTTCGAACATCTGGTATGTGGATGAGATCCCATCCATTCCTAAGGACTCTCCACGTTTGATCAAGGAGGAACGCAAGGTTAAGAGTGTACCATTCTTGAAGAAATGGTTCGAGCTACAACGAGCTATGTTCTATCACAACAATGCTTTGACTAGCAGCCATCCATATGCTAGTGAACCTTTTGTTTGGCCATTTCTTTTGAGAGGTGTTAGTTTCTGGACCCAGAATGACACCAGACAACAAATCTACTTCCTAGGAAACCCACTTGGATGGTGGTTGGCAAGTAGTTTACTTGCAGTTTATGCCGGAATCTGGGCTGCTGATCAATTGTCCTTGCGCCGTGGTGTCGATGCACTGGATAACCGTGAGTCTTATACCTTTTCTGGCCTCGCAAAGACTTCAACTAACAATTGGCCTAGGTACCCGATCCCGCCTATATAATTCCACCGGTTTCTTCTTCCTTGCCTGGGCAACACATTACCTACCATTTTATCTGATGGGTCGTCAATTGTTCTTGCATCATTATTTACCTGCCCACTTGGCATCATGCCTGATCACCGGAGCATTGCTCGAGTTCATTTTCAACGTGGAGCCTGTCTTGGACGATATTCCATCGGGAGCTGCGAAGAAGGCAGGTGCAGTCAAGAAGCACCTCCCAGCTCGCGAAAAGCTCGCCGGACAAAACTTAATGATGTCCTGGGCTGCAGTTGTAGTCATTCTCTCCGTTGTACTTTTCGGGTGGTATTACTTCTTACCATTGACGTATGGCTATCCAGGCCTCAGCGTTCCCGAAGTTAATGCAAGGAAATGGCTAGGATACGATCTTCATTTCGCCAAATAAATTAGCGGCCTTGAAATCGATTTATTTTATAAGTTAGGAGGTGAGCGGAAAATGTAACGATACTAGGGAGGGGTACGTGATGGATGGTTCGACAAAAAGGAGTGGCTTTGGGAATTTGACATTGGCAATGGGGATTTGTAAAACATGGATTTCCTAGATTTATTTAAGTTGAAGATTTTTTGAATGTCGTTTCCATCTGCCTGACTTGTCTCCTTCACTCCCCTACACTTGTGACTGCCATGAAGTGGGTAAGCTGTTTATACATATCCTTGCGCTTCTCTGCAAGTTCAGAAGCCTGAAAGCGAAATGTAATCTTAAATCAAGCCCTGTTGATGTTGATATGTTCATGAGAACGTGTGAACCAAAATCATGACGTAGAGTATTGTAAATAACCTCCAAAGGTCAGTAAGAAACTGTTCCCAACGGCCGATCCATGGAGGGCCGACTATTATCTATGATATTGTGAAGTGCAAAAGGGGTTGCTCACTTGCTAATCTCCGGCGGGATACGGTTAACTCGGATATTGTACTGTTAGTTTCGGGTTACACACAGATGTGGCTTTCAAATCAGTCCGGGCCATGCAGGTACCGTCCGGCACGGCTACGCTCCAACTCAATAGGAAGTATGCGAATTTAGACCCCTCAGGTATGAATATACATTATATTTTTATCATGATGACATATCCGAGAGGATGACGAGGACTTAATTATCACAGCCTTTAGACCTGAAATTGCCACAGTCATCAATAAGTACCTATTATCAGTCATCATGAATCCCATCCCACCCCATCCCTGCTTTCAGCCCTCGGCCCCCAAAATCCTCACACTCGGTGACAACCAAAAAGCCAACACCAACTAACCCATACAAAAGTAGATCAGCTATCTTTTTATATTCATTCGCCGCAATGAATATCATCTCAGTGAATAGGTAGGTATCGTACATGGCAATCCAATCACCCCGCCGCTGATTTGTAAACCGGGAAATTCGTTATATCCGGTCCGGAGACTCGGATCCGAAAGGTTCGAATTTTTGTGACTGTTGTTTTTTTTAATGGAAGGGAGACATACTTATATTTGAACATTTTTCACTTGGAAAATTGCATTCTTGCTCATCTTCAATCAACATTTACTTTATCTTCTTTTGTGTTTAACGTTCTTCTCGACTTCATATCTACTACGAAAGTATCGTACGCATCAAACCACAAACCGAATAGCTTTCGCATATTCAAAAATCAGTCCTAAACCACCAAAATATAAAGTCGCAATCGCAAAAATGCATTTTCTCATCCTAGGTGCATCTGGCAGAACAGGAAGTCTTGTCCTCGCCGAAGCTCTCTCAAAAAGTACGTTTCAACTCCCATAATCCCTCAACATGTCTCCCCTAAGCCCAAGCCCAAACCCCACATACACACATGCACAGCGATCTCCCCACCACAAACCAAAAAGCAACTCGCTAACCCTATCCGCAACCACAGAACACACAGTCACAGCGCTCGCACGCAATCCCTCCTCCATCCCCGCAACCCCCGGCCTCACAATCATAAAAGGCACACCATCATCCTCAGAGGATCTAGCGGCTGCTTTCACCAGCGGTCCCAAAATCGACGCTGTACTCGTCACGCTCTCATCGAGCCGCGCATCAGATAGTCCCTTCGCAGCCTCAACCTCTCCCCCAAATTTCCTCCAAAAAACCATTTCTACCGTCACCGAATCAATGATCGCTCATGGCGTTAAGAGAATCATCTACATGTCTGCATTTGGAGTTGGTTCTTCGAATGGCGCGTTGTGGTTTCCAATGCGCATGTTGATTAATAATTCGACGATGGGGAAGGTGGGGTTTCAGGATCATGCTGCTGCGGAAGAGGTACTCAGGGAGTCGGGGTTGGAGTTTGGTGCTGTGAGGAGTGCGATGTTGAAGGAGGGGGGGAAGAAGAAGATTGTGGAGCATGGGTCTGATGGGAAGGGCATGGGTCATTTGCCTGGTTGTACGAGGGAGAGTGTTGCCGGGTATATGGTTGAGATGGCGGAGAGGAAGAATTGGGAGGATAAGATTGTGGTTATTTGTAATTAGGTTTGGGGATGAGGATGTATGATTGCGGGGTTGAGGGATGGAGAATGTGAATTTGAATGCAGATGAGGTATCAGAAGGCATGGGGAAATTTAGATGGGCTAGACGGTTGTGTTTTTGCTTTATTGCTCAGGGAAAGATATCCATTGTTGTAATAATCTATCGTTGATTACTTATACATTATCCAAAGCACTTTAAGATATTAAATTGTGAACATCCTGTACCAAATGATTGAATGAAAGCTCACAATACCACCCCTATTGTCTCGTTTAGTCATATGCAACAACTTCACATCTGTAAGCTTACTTCCTCCCCAACAACTCAACTCCACAATATCGATACTAAAATCATCGAAGTCAAAGTAATCTTACAAGATGAATATAAATACCCTAAAACAATCCTATAAGACTAGCTAAACCCAAAACCCAATATCTCCATCCCCAGCAAAAAAATACTTCCCCGAGCGCTTTCCTAATACATACCATCAATCCGCTTAAAACTTAAATTATTCCTTCTACCCTCTCAATAACGAGACTAACAATACTAACAATGATTAATACAATGAATTATTATTTTTAGTTAGGTATCTAATTGCTTACGCACGTAATTCGGTATCGAATTTTCAAATTCTAATTCATCCTATAATATATTGTCTACGACCAGATGTTCACAAGCCACGTATCCCTCCTAAAAACCCGAATTGTACCATTGATCCCCAAAGTTCGCTATTAAAAATAGGAAAAGAGAGGATGATCCAAACCCTCCTTTGCAAATGACTCAGCAGTATTAATTGATTGGTGAGGAGCCATAAGTCCAAAAAAATTTGCATTAGTCAGGCGAAGGCGCGATTTTACATATGGTCATGTATAGTTGTGTTGACGAACTTTCCATTCATTTCTGAAAGAGTGATCTGTTGTAAGCGAGTTCTGTATATGAAGACAGAAAAATTATAACAAATCTTGGCTCTAGATCCTGATATAACTGTTCCTTTCAGCATGCACTAAGTTTCGATGGTCATTCCTCTCTAGAACGATATTTTGATATTCCGAATGAAGACTGATAAGGGTACAGCCTATGTTCAGTCTGCGAAGATAGTTCAGAATGCGAGTTTATAAATATTTTACTACAACCTCTGGCAAATGGTTAACCATTTTCTTATACATGCGGAACTAAGTGGAAAAGATCACGTCTCCTGCCGGTCCTCCAGCGGCCGGACGATGTTTAATCACATGATGTTTAGATGGGTCATATGTAGATGCTAGACTACTGGTGATACGATCATAGCGGATAGCGATTTCTTCTCGATTTGGAAGAAAGAGCTGCATCATATTCGGACTTCCTTGATTTTATATCAAGGCTTCTTACTTCGTATGGAGAGAGCGGGAGAAAATGGGGAGAGCAGGTGAAATTACTACCAGAACCCTGAAATTCCAAGTTCAGAGCCTTTCCGGCGCTTCATTGAACAAATATGCTCAAGTAAAGGGATACATAGTGCAAGAACTTTGAGCTACATAACAACTAGGAAGCTCTAGGGACACTGTGATTCTTTGTTTGGTTATCGACAATGCTAATTATGAAGTTAATATAAAACGACAATGAGATAGTTACAGTACGAGTAACATGAGAGATATCGAAACGGATATTGATATCATGATGTAGATGCGAACCAGAAAAAGAAGAGTGGTGAGTTGAAATTGTAATGGATGGGACAAGAAATTCTATATAGGCTAAGAACAACGCTAGAAGTTACAGAGGAAGATACTCTTCCGTTGCTACCCCTTTTGATTTGCGATAGCCTAGAAGAGTACGAATCGTAAAATCCTTGATTGCTCACTAAATAAAACTTTTCTACTCCAACAAATCCAAACATCTTCTATCCCAATTACTCGACCCTCATCGCCCCATCCTCATCATAGAAGATCTCTCTAACCTTAACACATCTCAAATGGTTCTTCCCCCCACTCAAACTACTATCATGATAAAACAACCACCAGCGTCCTTGAAACTCCACAATACTATGATGTGTAGTCCAACCTATCACAGGCTCTAACAATCTCCCTTTATACACAAACGGTCCCTCGGGCTTATCTCCTACCGCATAACACAAGAAATGCGTATCGCCCGTTGAATAGGAAAAGTAGTATTTTCCTCCATACTTATGCATCCAAGGTGCCTCAAAAAATCTCCTATCATGATCCTCCGCCTTCAATTTCTCGCCCGTTTTCTCATCTAAGATAGAAATTTCCTGGACGGAAGACGAGAAAGAATGCATATCCTCGCTCAGTTTTGCAACTCGAGGACCAAGTGCAGAACCAGTGGTAGGTTCCATGGTAGCGTATTTATCCTTCTCGAAAACTTCGTGTTGGGTACCCCAGCATTGGAGTTGGCCTCCCCATATTCCGCCAAAATAAAGGTAGGCTTCTCCGTCGTCGTCGACGAAACTACACGGATCTATGCTATAACTTCCTGGAATAGGCTGTGGGTCGGCAGTGAAAGGTCCTTCGGGCTTATCACTGACTGCGACACCAATACGAAAGACACCTTCCTTGTCTCTAGCAGGAAAGTAGAAGTAGTATTTTCCGTTTTTGCTACAGGCGTCTGGGGCCCAAAGTTGTTTGGAAGCCCAGGGGACGGACGAAGCGGAGAGGACGACGCCATGGTCGGTTACGGGACCCGTGATCGAGGACATGGAGAAGACGTGGTAGTCATTCATTGCATATTGGTCCCCATTGTCGTTGTCTTGGATATCGGTGGGGATATCATGTGAGGGATAGATGTATAGAGTGTTATTGAATACATTGGCCGATGGATCGGCCGTGTAGATGTGAGTGATTAGAGGTTCTTTGTCAGACATTTTTGCCAAAAGTTAATGAGAGTAAGAACTTTGGAATAAAAAAGAATGAGAATCAAAGAAAAGGAGCATAAGGAGATATTATATGCAGCATGGGCGAATCGTGGTAGGCACTGGTTGCATTTACCCATTTATCCATAATGTGGGTTAGCCTGATCACGGTTAAATAGGGGTGAATATCCACCGAGACGACCCTTGTCCGTTCTGATTCGTAGGCTGAATATTCATTTCGGGGCCAGAAATCAAGAGATATTAAAGCCATGTGTGTAAAACAAGATTTTGAGTATGACAGGACGATCTTGGAGAGGGGAGTTTAAATGAGCACATGAAAGCATTACAAAAAAAATGCTTGGAGAACGGATGACTAATCTGTATTATCCAGCTATCCACATAACATAACCGACTAGGCAATTTCATTCTTCGTATGTACGCTGGTGCAACGAGATTGAATGGTTCTGCCTGTTTTCGACAATTAGAGGTCGTGTTGTGTCGAGTCAACAAGTAAAGTATATAAAATCACAATGTTGAAGCAAAGCTCATATCAAGCACTTTGACATTGAAAAATCCACTTGTGCTGAACAAGGAATTACTCCTTTAAAAAAGCCAGATTGACACAATGTATAATGTACCGAGTAAGTCATTATAAACCACATTCCCTCTATCTCTATCCTCAGATTCGTCCCCTCGCTTAAACTTCCTAGTCACGACTTATAGTACATTAAAAGGTCCCTTCATCCTTCTGTAGCCCATGATATCTTAATTCCTAAAGGTCAAACACCTGTTGCTCAAACGCCTGGCTCCAAAACTTCGCTCATTTCACTCCTAACTGCTTGTACCGATCCTTTCCATGTATTTCGTGAAAGTCAAAATTCACATAACAACACAATCTTTCTGTCTTTCATGTTGCTGCGGAGTCGATAATTGATTTGGGTTTTGGATCCTGCGTCCAGGGACCTGATCGATTAGTGTCTGACCACCCCTTCCACGGCCACCATATGTAGAATTGTTACGACGGCCTGTCGCGTTAGCTGGAACACGTTGCTGACTATCTGATGTTGCTGCGTAAGAACTTGTTCGGCTTGGATTTGCGTTTGGATGGGCTGGATGATTAGTTGGAGGTTGGTAGGCCGGTTCGGTAGCAGCTTGCTCGTACGAAGGAGGTGGTGCATCAATTCCTGCTTCTGAATCAACAGGAGCGATGGCAATATTGCTATTGCGAGGTGGAATTGCGGGGCGGCCTTGAGTACTACCACGAGTTGAGCTTCGAACAGGAATATTTACTCCACGACCGCTGGTACTACCCCGTCCGCTACCGCCACGGTGACTAACAGAACCATTATTGTTGTTGCTATTATTTCCCTGCTGCTCGATGTACTGCTGTGATAGCTCCGATTCTCTTTGTCTCCGAGCGGTTTCATTTCGGTGACGTTCGTCCTCTTCTTCCTGCAATTGCAGAGCCAAGGCAAGATCATGATCTTCCTGTTCAGTGTTTATGCCTTGCTCGTGACTATTCGACTCCTGCTGATTCTGTGACGGGGCAGAATGCGAAGCTTCACTTCGATTATTATTTCTACGCCCTGTAACTGTGGTCCAATTACCTTCTTCGTTTCCATGAGGTACTGTGGAAGCTCCACCAACTAAACGGAAGTCACCCGAATAAAACTCGGCCCTCTCTCCATTAACGTCAATAAGACCTTCCCATACGACTTCCTCGTGCCCTGCATAGCCAGAATCTGTGACGAGCTGCAATAGTTGAAGAGTTGTTGGATGCCGGAAAATTGTAGAAAAATGATCATTTCTAAACAAAATCGCTACAGCGCCTGGACTTAGAGATTTAGTTATAAGATCCAAGCCATGAGCTGTAAGTTGAGTCGCCGCGGAAGCGAGGAAAGCTTTAATCGTTGAAATATCCTCTAAAATTCCTTGTTCCTCGAAGCTGAGACCCTCAGAAGCTAACTTTTCTTCTAACACTTCTTCATGAAACATCAAGTTCTGTGCGTCTTCATATGATCGAGCAGATCTCTTGAGTGCTATATAAGCAGGTGATTCTTCCTCAGGGAGCCAGCCATGAATCAGAGGCACTGAGAAAGTACCATATAACTTCATTTCGCGAGTCTCTTCAAATGTACCCGGAGGTGAGGTCCCATGTTTTGCATATGATATTGAGCTCGGAAGCTCATTCGTTGATTGCATAGGCTCGGCCGGAAAAAAAAGAGGATTAACATTCATTCCAGTATGGAGTGTCAGTAGGAAGGAATAGAGATCGCCCACATCTGGAAGCTCTTGTGCAGCATCTCCACGTCGTCCAGACATGAGTTCGTCAAAAACTGCATCAAGCAATAATCCAAGACTAACTCGCTCCCTTGACCGAAGTGTCTCAATCAAAGCAGTCTCCACACCGGCAGGGGTCGATAAAGTCAGAGCATTCACAAGAGCTAATAGCGGACAAGGCCCATTAGCATTTTGCACCAGGATAGGTGAAACTCTAGGGTTGTGTCCGGCATTAACATCATGCCAAGATATTTTCTTGATCTCGTACGTCTCTTTCTTTTGTCTTTCAACGGATGCGATTACATCAGGAGTCATAATCGAGCTTGTGGCTGTGTTTGCCGCATCTACAACAGGTCGCGCAGGTTGAACGGGGGGATGATCTCGAGAGTTTCGCGGTGGAAGCGCCGGAGGAACTTCTTCAGAGGGTAAAGTAGAGATCTGCGTGCCATCTACTCCAATAACACCGCTTTGCTGGGCATTATCCAGTATAACATCATGGTCAATAAGATTCCATCCTTCCGCAGAGGGGCTCGAGTATTGATTGTGCCCAGGGGGCTGAACCGGCACTGCTGTTTGGGTTTGATTTGATCCTTTACCATTAGCAGAATCCCATGCATGCTGGCCTTCTAGTATCTCATGCGTTTCATCCGTAGGCAATATCGGCTTCTTAGAATCAGCCGGAATTTCTTCCTCGTCGTCTCCTTCGTCGTAATCATCCTCATCCCATGCCGGCGATTCAGGTTCATCAATGTCTACTAAGACATGCTGCTGCGACTGTTCGGATGACTCGGGAGTAATGATATTTTGGGGATTCGCGCCTGACCAGGCTTCGTTTCCCGAATCTTCTCGTTGGAGGTTGGACATTTGTATAGGCTGTTTTTCATTCGTAACGGGCTGCCATGGATTGGGATTTTGTCCAGACACTTCCATGTTCGAAAGTTGTTGGGTTACTATTCCACATGTCAATATTGAGCATAGAATACAGGGTCAGTAACAAACCTTCAGACACAGGAGGAGGAGGCGGGGGTGGGTATTCTGGGTGTGTGGGTTTCTCTGTAAGCTCGTTCCAAATATCTGCACTACTTTCGTTTTTGTCAGATACTACATTTTGTGAAGTATGTGATTGTTGCCTCCTCAAAAATGGATTAGTGGTCGAGGTATTAGGCTTCAACACATCGTCAGAAGGCTTAGGAGGGACCCTCGAAGGCCCAACTCTTAAACTATCGGGGATGCTGCTAGGATCAGGATGAGAATGTCCCTCTTCGCTCCAAATGTTGGGCTCGGTGTTAGTTGCGGACGACATCGCATTGGGGTGTTCTTGGGTGCGAAAACTGGTGGGTGGATTCGAAGATACTGGGCTAATGGGGTATGGCAGCGAGGAGGGGTTGTTGGAAGGGTTGGTAGATGAAGGTACGGGCTTTCGAGTCACCATCATGCTTGACTTTATCGAGTGACTAGAACTGTATTGAGGAACGGAGTAAGGATCGTTCTCGTTTGAACCCTCGTTATATTTCGATTGTAAGACCTGGGGTGTTTGGGTAAATTGGAATTGGAATTGGAATTCCTTATACCAGTATATCAATCAGCCGTACTCAAGTACAATGAGGTCATATCCAACACAACTATGCTTTTGAATTTATCCTTATAAAGCTTTTAAATATAAAAAAGACACAATCGATCCCCTTTTGAAGTTTTGATTCTAACAACTCGATCGCAAATATTGCAGTAGAGCTTTCAAAGTTTGATTGATTTTGTCAGAAAGTAAATGGTATGGTATCGATACGATAAGTGAGATTTGTAGGGGTATTCTGCATGTGCTAATGCGAAAATGTATGAGGCTGGGAGATCAATTGTGTCTCTCAAAGCAGACTGCGACAACTTCAATGTTCCGTTGCCTTCTCATAAAAATGAAAGTTAAAGGGGTTGAAGGTTGGAAGGGAAGAATATCTTGGTAAGAGAGAAGAAATTGATTCTATCTACAAAATGTGTCAATAGGTAAGTGCTTGCGCGTCTGTGAGCTTACTGCTATGATTCTTGGAAATGCAAATGGTTTGAGGTTAAAGTTCCAGCCGGAAGCTAAAGTGTGGCTGGAGTGTGGCTTAGATTTGCCATCATTACCGGAGGTACATGCTATTGGCGGAAGGCTGAGCCTTGAATCATTTGCCCAAACAATTCAACCAATGATGCAAGCCACTATGGAGAGAAAAAGCCCACCAAAAACGCAAGGCTACCAAATTCATTTGCATATTTGGAAAAATTATTACCCAGGTAGGTATTGATAGATAACAATAACCATCTCATCTTTAATACTCAATTGTATCTACATATACTTTTGGATATACTTTACCCAACTGAGTGTGTCAAGTTTCGCAATATGCACAACTTGGTTAAAGCAAATGCTTGGGTAGTTCTAAGACTACCTTCCGATAACCTCAAAGTCTTACAAGTTGTTCCAAATACGTGAGTGAGTCTTGATAGATTTGGCGAGGAGCTTTCTTCTGCCTCTATATACCGGTCTTTTAAAGGAAACGTTTGCTGACAACATTACTAGTCCAATATCATTGGGAAAATATGGTACCTTTCCAAGCAACCTCATAATTGATCGCCCGTACAATCTTAAATACGAACTTGTCGATAGACAAAAAGATCAAAAATACTCGGACTTGAGGATCGTACCAGCGTCTGAAATCCATGCCGACACAATAGCAGAGGAAGATGCAGCGGCAAACCCTGTTTCGGATGATAATGTAATAATTGGAGGAGATGGTGTCGAATTCGAACTTGTGGGAGAAAATGGAGAAGTCATTATGCGCTCCAATCGCGAAACTATTGATGACTCTGCTAGGCAGACCTTAACACAAGAGGAGATTGAGACTTTAAAAAGAGATGGTGCCGCTGCAGGAAAAGACCTCATTGCTAAACTAATGCTATCACATACTGCCCTCGACGAAAAGACAGCTTTCTCATTAGCAAAATACAAGCTGTTGAAGACTAGGAAATACTTAAGACAATTTACAATATTACCAATGGATGTGGCAATGATGGATTACTGGATGATGAAAGAGAAAGATGCTAGCAAGATCATGGAATTCAGGGACGAAATGCTCGCGTTGGCTGGAAGTTGGGCGAATGTACATTTCTCCGAGGATCCAGAGAATGAACACACAGACGCCCTCAATACAAGTGGTGGAGGTCGATTGTTGGTAGTAGACGAGACTGGGGGCTTACTAGTTGCAGCTATGGCCGAGAGAATGGGCCTGTTATACCCGGAAGAAGACCAGGATCTACCCACGGAATTCACAGGCGCAGTGGAGGAAGCTCAAGCTGATAAAGAACCAGCTCCACGGCACCAGTCTGATCGTCAATATCGTCCTTATGCCAACACCAATACGTTAACTTTAATACACACCAACTCTCAACCCAATCTTTCACTACTAAAATATTTCAATTTTAATATTGATAGTCCTGCAGCATCGCACCCACTGACTAAACGACTCCTGCCCATATCTTGGTTACAACTTATCTCGCCGGAAAGTGATAGCTTGTACTCTTCCCCACCCCCTTCGGCAACACCAGAGGAATTGTCGAAATGGAGTTCAGGAAAACGAGGAACTCATTTTCGAAAGAAGCGTCGCTGGGAGAGAATTAGACACATTATCTCAACTACCCAACACGGCGATTTCACAGGTTTAGTAGTAGCTTCCAATATGGATCCTATATCCATCATTCGCCGCACCATTCACCTCCTTCGACCCAGCGCTACCATTGCCATCTATTCGCCCACCATTGAGCCCCTAGTCGCTTTAGCAGATCTATATAGCACAAGCAGAAGAACCGCATTCATCCAAGCACCCCCAGAAGAGTTAAAGGGACTATCACAGGCTGAAATAGCAACATGGCAGGGAAACGAAGATTTCCCCCTCAATCCCTCGCTTATCTTGAATGCATCAGTACAAAGCTGCAGAAAACGTGAATGGCAAGTTTTGCCGGGGAGGACACATCCATTGATGACGAGTAGAGGTGGTGCCGAGGGATATTTGTTTACGGGCACAAGAGTCGTACCTGCGGAAGGAAAAGTAGAAGCTAGAGGAAAGTTCGCAAAGAGAACGAAGGTTGTTGATGGGGGAGTGGGAGCAAGTAAGAGGGCGACGGACGATACTCAAGAGATTGCAAATAAGAAAATAAAATTGGAGACAGAAAGTTTAAATGTCCAGACAGATAGAAAGTCGGATATAGATATGGAGATATAGATTTAGACCTCGACGTAAATAATATATCGCATTTGATGCATTATCTACATGTGTCTAGGTGAAGCATAGATATTGTAGCCGGCAAAATGATCTGGAAGATTAATGAGCTTCGTCTGCCTATCCCCCTCTCTTAGGAGCAATGCCTATTTTCTCCTCTACGTCATCTACCTCCATCCAGCTTCGTCTTGTAAGCTCGGCTGTATCTTTATTTCACCCATAATAACACCGCCAACTCCCTTAACAAATGCATACTCCCAGCGTCCAACATCCACCCCTATTTTCAAGCGGCCTCAAATTCATATCTCATCCGTTTCACACATCATGCATCCTAGAAACCCCTCACAAACTCTTGCCCATAAACTTCCTCTTTGTAAAGCTTAACCACCATTTACTTGGCTTCCCATCCTCGGTATCATAAATGCGTGCTAACAATCTACTCGCCAATTCCTGACGGACTTGTCCTAGATATTGTCGAAGGGTTTCAGCTTCTTGTCGATTGGCAGGTGCTTCGAACATCTATTTCGAAGTATTGTTAGCTTTCATTTCTAATAATTCCATTCCCAGCTCCGAATTTCGAATCTCAAATACAGAGGAAGCGAATAAGAAATGAAATAGCAACTTAGTAAAACTCACCTGATTCAAAGGAAATCCCGCATCCCCCGGTATCGCAAAATTGGTATCCAGCGCAATATTTTGGACCTCCTTCTGCGCCTCCCTCACCGACATCGAAGGCTTCACCTTTCCAAGACACTCGCTCACCCACAAAATCCCATAAATTAAGAGACGATCTGGAGGTCCCTGAATCTCAAAATTACGGAAAAATGTATTGGCGCGAAAGAGGGAAAGCACTTCGTCTAAGGCATCGTAGGACTCGGAATCGGGCTCGGGGGAAATATGAGCAGCGAGAGATGGATCGAGAGGGAGTGTGTAGGCCGGTCCGCGCACCTTTGTGCGCAGGGGAAGGAGAGGAAAGTTGCCAATTAGATGGAGGGTGGTGGAGGAGTCTTCGTTGAATATGCTGTTGTAGGCCTGGATTGAGGCAGTTCGTTAGCTATATCCAAGGTAGAATAGGTGAGGTGTTTGGAGGTTACAGTGATTTTGGGACGACCATCTCGAGATTATGTTTTGATAGAAAGGATTGAATGGTAGATTTGGTATTTTGACTTACGGGCATATTGAACAATTTGCGTTTGTAAATATGGGAAAAGGTGTATGAGTTGGAGATGTGAGGGGCTTGAAGCTGCGTCAGTTCAAGGAGAGGTGTGGTTAAGCTGGTTTGGCCTGAGGCTGGCTATAGCCACACCTGCACTTTTGATCCACCTTGTAGACAAGGCCGACAACTTTCCTCGACGACACGCCATGAGTTATGTTGCATTTCATGAATTCTGAAACTATAAAACTTTACAATTGCCTGACTTGAAGAAGTCCTCAGCAGGATTCAAGTGGCATGGCGCCCAAAGTAGAGCGGAAACTTTGTCGACTTGTCCCCTGTCTATTGTTTTGCATGTATTGTGCAAGCTGATAACTGCAACCAGCCCGATGCTGACCTACTTGATCACAACTTTTTTATGTTTAACTCGAGCTTGGCTTTGAGTCTAGTCTACTATACACTGAGAAGCGTTACTGAGCTCTTTATAACCGTCTGAAGTGTCGATATGCGAATGATGTTAAAGCCTTCTCTCAAGAACAAGCTGGAGCGCTTGTGAAGCAAGATTGCAGTTTATCACGAACAAGGCCGAAAGGTTAATGAAGTATAGCTGGGCGGACTTTTATCTGCCCTTCAATTTATGTAGGGCTCTTATTATTCAACGTCCACTGAACAATGAAGGGGATTAGCTTCCTATATTAAGCTACTGGAACCTCCCTCTCAGAGTCGCGGGCGCTCTTGACAAAGCATCAAGGGAACAATGGAAGAGGGGAACGCATTTTCACAAATGAGTGTTTCGACTCCGACCTCTGGGTCATTATGGGGAACTAGTTCACCTCGTTGCACAAATCCAGACAGCGCACGAGACCTGCCTTCTGTACATCCTTCGTCGAGAGTCAAGGCTGGCAGAGCTTTAAATGCGTCCTTTCCGCTTTAATACATTCCATCTGTTTTCCTCGCTACGAACAAGACAGGCCGAAAAGTGCAGAATTTCATGAATTTTACTACGAGCAGTGGAGACTTGTGGAGTGCTTAGGTTGGGTGTTTATTAATTTCGATTACATGGTATTGAGGGTAAATGTCAGGAGTTACGACAATACTCATGAAAATCCAATAGCTCACTGCAGACCTCAATTCCTCACCATTACAAGCTGCAATCTAGGCTATCCAATTCCACGATAAGATAGAGCAGAAGAGTCTAGCTGGAGGGGCCGAAAATCGAAGACAATTTATTCCCTCGCCTTCAGCTCGCGTAATTTAGGAACCGAGGCTATTCTTCCCGTCCCATTTCCTCAATTCTTCAACTAGATCATCCGTCTCAACGAGTCTAGCATAGCCGTCCAAGATCCCCATTGCCACTTTATGTACCTCCTCCGCGTCTACCTTCTCCTTCTTGAAATAATCAATTCCGAACGACGCACATGCGTCTACCACAACTATCATGTTTAACCCTAAATCGCTCCCATCCCTCACGGTGCTGTTGATGCATTTTGCGCCTTCCATGCCAATTACCACCATATCTCTGTCTCTACAATCTAGCTCGTTGGAAGTATCCTTCAGTTTGGTAGATGCAAATGCACTGCCAGTGTTCTTGATGAGAATGGGCTCGTTTGGTAAAGGGGCCGCACAAGCATGCGGTGCGATGAAGCTAGCGTTGGCCTCGATAGGGTACAGTTCATCCTTGGGATCACTTGATTGATGATGGATATGGATTATTGGAAATGAATGTTTACGGAAGGCGCTGAGAAGTGTTGATACATTGGAAGTGAGGTGGGGAGTAGAGCGAGGGCCCCAGGAAGAGGGTGGATCGACCTCGATCTGATGAAGGTCAACGACGAGGAGAATAGGTGGCTTGGTAGGTGTAAAGGTCATTTTTATTCCTGTGAGGGTGTTGTTTGTGAATTGGTGTTTTCGTTCGATTCAAATTACAGCAAGGAAGGAACGGTTTGTGACTCACACATAAGATTCACGAAAACGAGGGTTTGGTCACGTGCCATAAGCAGTAGGTAGCCTGTTTCTAATTATTGATCCGAGAGCGTCGGCTACGGAGAGAAACGACGAGCATGTTAGGTTCATTCATCTCTGGTGGCATGGTGAGAACTTTGCCACTCTTCTCTAATACATACCCACTCGTAGGCCGAACGACACTTCCCTAAGTGATCACATTTCGAAGCGCTTCGAAATGATCTCGGGTGCTTGACTCCCTCATATGCTCGTGATCGACAATATGTCAACTAGATATGATTTGGAATAGTTCTCGTTGTTGGCAGCCTTGGTTATCTTGGTTCGAATCTTGTGAAGCACCTTGGCACAATAACTTCTTCCGACATTCATGTCCTAAGTGGAAAGCCTAACCGGGCTTTGGCTAAGGTCAGTTACCACGCGGAAGACATCACAAATTCCCAGCAGATAACTGACATCCTCGGAGAAACTTTGCTCAAATTCATCATTCATATTGCCGCCGCAAAATATACCGATTCCAAATATACACTTCGGCGAAAGAATATCGAAGGTACCCGTATCCTTCTTGAATTTGCATACCAAAAACTCGGACAGTCGCGCGTTTGTGTATACAAATTTAGATTCAGCAATTAAACAAGCACGCAGAGCAGAGTTCACCGAAGAAACCGCAACACTGCACTCTTAAAATAGACATGAGACGGGTTTATATGGGAGAACTAAAGGTATTGCCGATGCTGCTGTGATTTCTTCCAACGGGACCAAAATTTCACGCTGTCGTTATCTGTATTCCAGATCTCTACCATGGTTTACAGGTAATATAGATGCTCACATTGCAAGCTGGCCCTCCAATGAATAGAAGCGCATGATATAATATTTGTTTCTGCGAGAAATCTCCCTAAAGTCTCGGAATAGTTCCAGATAATCTTAATCTATTGGTTGAGCTATGTCGTCTCATGGACCACGCGTCCTCTGATACCATTAGCAGCACGCGCAACTCCGATTTTGTAAGAGATTTCTCGAGAATCATATACTGAATTGGAAAAACATTAGTGACGTTTCAATTAGAAGAATTTTACGTTGCATTAGTAGCTTTTGAAGGGTTGCAGCGATGGCAAACGTTATTGCAAAACGGAAGTCAAATCACGAAGATGCGATATGTAGAGAAACGTTTTTTCATTTCTTTACTGCAAGTACTTCATTCATAATACACAGCACACTGTATATTACATCTCACCACTATGGGGCCCCACCGCTCCCCTTACAGGTAATTCCAGCAGTCTACGCTCTCAACCTCATCATGAAACGGTGTAAACACCACTTGCGCTAGCGGTTGGTGGGCCAGGTAGCGTTTGAGTCTCTGTGGCTGCGCCACTATAAAGAGGAGGACCAGGAATAGTATAATTCGAAAGAGTTCCATAAATACTGAACAGAATGCCCGGATCGGTGGGAGTATAAAAAGTTGTCGCGGACACACCAGCTGGTTTGGTTGTTCCTGTACCCTTGATCGCAAGACTAACACATTGCGGGTAGTTCTGAGCACCGTTGGCCGAAGCAGCAGAATGGAGAGCGATAATCTCGTGGCGAAGGACATAGTTGCCAGTTGCAATGTTTGAAGGTATTGTAACAGTCCAGCTATTGTTGTTGGCAATCAATACATCGGTACCCCAGAGTCCGCTTGTGTCTGCCGTTGGGCTGATCAATCCGACTTCATCAATCTTGAACCATTTCAATGTTGTTTTATCGACAGTTTCGCATGGACCGTTGCAATTGGCTAGGTAGTCAATCACTGGTCCTTTGTGAGATACGGGCCATGGTGTCCATTGCAGTTCAACCTTTCCTCCTGCGGTAACAGGAGCTTCGATCTGTGCTGGTGTTGCCCCTACGTGACAGATAATGTCGGGGGAAGTGTAGGCAGCGGGAGAGATGAATCCGTTGTCAAGATCTTTAGGGATCGGCCAGCCAACGGTTACTGGGGCAGGGCTGATATATTGATAGCTTGGATTGTATCCGTTGTAACTTCATATTGTCAGCTCAGGTTCCGGGAATGGGTAGGAATTTTCAGGATGGGAACTTTACTAGATTCCGTTGGCGACGATTCCAGAAACCGTGCCGTGAGCTCTCACGGCTGAGATAAGTGTCAAGGCTGTGAGTTGTTTAGAGAACATGATCGCTGTTTTTTTGCTGAAGATGTCTTGATTGTTTGTGTCTGGACTACAAACCGAATCTAGGAAAACAATGCCTACTTTATATCTCTCCTGCGAAGCATTATCGTCTACTCCTTTTTCGGGTCGCCGGAAGCGAACACAGAATATCAATCTTACAAATACATAAAGGAAACTACAAAACTGAAAACAATATAAAAAATTAAGCTTCTGGTTACAAGAACTAATTAAGTCGTCTTATGATCGATGTTGAAGGCCTGCTTATGGAGTAGATCATCTCTATATTAATATATGTGGTATTAGTCTTCACATCGAACTCGCCTATGAGATTCCATATGTTGAGTGCCGTTCCTTCAAGCTGCTACAAAGCGCCTCATATGCGGTGTTCCGTCGGCTGTGATGCCACATACCCCGGATTTTTATTTAACGAGTCCCAATTTCCCGACGAGCCGTCGGGAACTTTCTGGCGCCATTTTATCCGGAATCTGGGGTATGGGGTCGGGGATAAAAGGGATACGGCACATTCGCGAGATCGTGATATCTCATGATCATGATGTGATAATAGAAGGTTCTGGTAGGAAAGTAAAGAGTTGCATTTCTTGAGTGTCTTGGCTACAAATATTGTTTTCATGCTAATACTAGAAAAATCTGCCATTGAAATATGCCGTCTCGACTCTCACCAATGCTTTGCATGGATTTCACCGTACTTTATTTAGCACCAGTGTGTATTTTGGCTTAAAGTTTTGTGATTGATACATCTGACATGCTTGTAAGTTCGGGCGTGTGGAATAATGAAGATTTTATGGTCGCGAGTCATTGAAACACGTTCAAAATTCCATTTAACCATATTAAAGCACCTCCCGAAGCAGAACATCAACCATTAGTAGACGTCGCTTTCCCGGTTAGGCTGCTTAATCCGAGGTATAATTACATCAGATGGAGCTCGTTATCAAAGTGTAGCAATGTCACTCTAGCTCCCCAAGTACGTATGGGACAGATGCCGGTTTTGGAAACCCTCATGGAGAGCACCGGTGATCCGTTTACGAAGCTCTTGAAAAGCCCAGGTGTTTTATATATTGATACTAGTCCCCAAGGTCGAATTATCTATCTCGGAAGAATATTGCAGGGCCAGAAATTTGTCAAATATACCTAGGAAAATAGGACTTTAAATCTGTGCAGAGACGCACGCCTAGGCGATGCCGTTCCACCCTCAATTCCAAAGATCAAGTGATTATTTAATGTGCAGAATTCTGCTAGTTCTATGTGACAACATATCTTACTATTCTGAGCAACGTCAAGCTATTGGTTGGTGCATCTGTGATGAAATACAGAAATTAGTGGGGAGATTAGCATATGCACCTATCAAGTACGGCGCTTGGTATACGAGATAGCGTCTTGAATGGTCATGTCGGTATCCATCACTTCACCGCGTACACATTTTATAAGAGCATGAAAGTCAGCGTGATGGCCTCATGGTGTTTGAGAAGAGCGAACTAGGCAGGAAGGCCTTCTGAAGAGTACCAAATATAGAAGATAGATAACAGACGTGACGTGAAAAACTATCTTTTCGCTTGCACATGTTAAAATATAGTCCGTTGTGAGTAAGAGTCTATTCCATACCTTCGATGCCAATTATTTAGGACTGATTCGTTAATTATGGTGGAAGATCAAGGTCTATGAGTCTTGGCAATAGAGCATCTTTCGTCTGTCTTTTTACCCTTAACCTCTGTTCGCAAGATGTTGCCAGTTTATCTAAAAATAATTTATCTCTCTTTTGGCATGACATACGACTACTAGAATTATGTGACCCCTACGATTCTTGGAATCGTGGCGTAGCTAGATAAGTTATGATGTAGCCATTGTCTACCAATATACAAAAAGATTCTAAAATACATGAGAATTCCACTTTATTGACGCTCGTCTAAAGGTTTTTGCATTGCAGGATATAGTCTTCAAATATTTCGCAGGTAGGATCTCCTGATGCGACACATTTATGACAGAAGAACTATGGAAATAGACCGCCTTAAGGTGCGAACTACTTTTCCTTCTATCAAAATGCAGCTATCTTTTTCTTTTTTTCACCCAAATTTATCATTCAGTTAAGTTTGGCAATTATTTTCTATTTCACGTAGGTTGCACGAGATGGGAGTGGATGGGAGTGGATAATGTTTATATAACAAAGGAAATGTATCTTTTTATTATTTTTTGGTTTTTCAGTCTCTCTCGATAAAAGCAAGAACAAATTCTGGCATGTGTACAAAGGAAAGGTGTGTTTCAATTTCTTTTGACAGAAGCAAAAACGAATTCTAGCATGTCTACAAAGGAAATGTGTTTTTTTTTTTTGTTTTTTTGTTTTTGGTGTTCAGTCTCTCTCGATAAAGCAAGAACGAATTCTCACATGTCTGCAAAGGAAAACGCAAACCTAGCTGCAAGAGTGCCAGCTTCTATTGTACCACCTGTACTTTATGATTTCTTGTAAATCATTTCAACGTCCCACTCCATGCGCGTAATGGGGATATGTGAAATGAGAGCCTCGTGATAATTTTTGAAAGCTTCATACTCCTAAAGTAATTCCAGATGTTCCTTCTTCACAAGCGAAATTTCCTTGCGAATGATGTTCACCACTCGAACGGCCTTGTTATAGGGCGGTTTCAATAGAGCGAAGCGGTCGGCGTCGCATTCACCATCCTTTTTATCTTTGGGGGCAAAGGGACGGAAGCGAATGCGCTCGTACTCTTCCCCTTTCTCTGAGCGGCGGTAAGGAAAATTTAGAAAGCCCGGGAATCTGGTGGACCCGCGCTTCGAATTCGGCGCGTAAGTTTCCGTGTAACTCCTCTAAATTTACGAGTTCGAAGTGCATGGCACCTTGAGACTCTAGGAGCTCGAAGTACTTGATTGCAAAGACATGGAACTGAGACTCGCCGTCAAGTTGATCCGTCTTGATTATCGACAGGTCTTCAATGGGGATGTCGGGCTCTAGACTTCCTGTCTCCCTCAATGACAATGCATATCGGATGGAAGGCGGAAGCTCATCTGGAATATCCTGGGGACGAAAAATTCGATCTTCACTTGGTATATTATTTCTCTTTGCCTGTTCGTAGAGGCTGAGAGTGTACATGTCATCCTCTAATAGTTGCACAAATCTAGTTGCCCCTGGAATTGGCGTATTTCCCTCTTCACCTTGGATGAATTTGGCAATGTACATGTCCTCCTCTGATTCTTGAGAAAGTATATTTGCCTCTGGAGTTGGTGTACTTCTCTCATCACGTTGGACGATGCTAGGGAGCTCATCAACCATTTCCTGCTCATCAGGCCTAACTGGCTGTCTAGATCTCTCTTCGCGTTGGATGACGCTCGGGCGCTCATCCGCAATATCCAACTCATCACTTGCAAGTCTAGTATTCGCCATCTTTGTGGTTACGATGTTCTTCTGGCTAATTTGCTGAATGCTAATTGTAGAGAGTGAACTGAGCTGTAGATACGAGATTGATGTGCTAGTAATTATTGCTTGTGCTTGTGTGGTGTGTGTGTGTATGTGTGTGAGATATGATTGTTGAGGGCGATATTACACGTATTTATAATACAAAAGTAACACTTGTTCAGTATCTGTTGCCGATTTCGTAGCTGTACTCTTAGAGGTAGGATTACGCTGCTAGTTGAATCCATTGTTTAATTTGTTTGACTACCTATTGACGTATACGCGTATGAAGTTATTATGATATTGTTTCCTTCTTATTCATCATATTGGTAAGATGCGAAAGGGGCTCGTTCCATAAGTCTTTGTTTAAATTTGACTCAACCAGCCTAGCCGAGGTCCCACAATCCACCCCTTATAGAATCGGAAAAACAAGTTCTCAAACACCCATCCATCCCCGCCGCCTCAAAATCCGAAAAATATTCCCACTTCCCGCAACTACTCATATGAATTCCACGCCATATCATACCGCAGAATATACAAATGTCAATGTGCTCAAACCTATCATTATCGAGGGTCCGTCTCAAATATCGAGAATCCTATGTAAGACTTACTTCGTATGAAAGCGTAATTTGAAATACCTTGGGGAACAAGAGTGTAATTTAATACTGTGTTGGAGATACCTAGTATAGTCAGTATCAAGCAAAATATGAGAAATGGTGAAGTTTCAGTCCGGTGGCAGCAGGTATGAACATATTGGCTAGTCAGCGAGTATAGTACGACTAAATGACAAGGCAGGAAGAGCTATTTTCACATCATGTATGAGACGAAATGTAAGGGTTTAAAACACATGTATTGCTTAGTCAAAAGAAAGATAAATAAACAACCTCCACCAAATACACCTTCGAACAACCCCCCAATACTGGCTATCCACCACTCAGCAAACGTCCCCCGACCACCATCCACGCACTTAACACAGAAACAGAGCATTTTCTCATCCTCATCATAGCTCCCATCATCGTCATCATCATCACCAGCAACCACCATGACATCCGAAACAAATCAAAATCATATCCAAAGAAACCATTCCGTCCAATCCTCGTCAAAAGACAAATCACTCTAAACTCTTCCCAATGGCTTTCTAGCCCATCCATTCACGGTCCTCCATCCAGCACCACAAGCTCTACCCTCTTCAATAAGATTGTGTACACCCTCCAAAGTTCCCTCATTACCCACTGTCTGAACTCTACATCTCAGCAACCACTTCTCCCATGCCCAGCCACCGACTAACCCAGAAACACAAGCTGCATCTCCTGTAGTCCCACTGATAATTGCTTCCATTTCCAATGGGTCATCCACGCTATTTCTCTCGACGTCAAATTTATGTTCCGGGTCTGCGCCCATTGGCAAAAATACCCATGCGCGTTTGATACCTACAAAACCCGCGCGCTTCAAGCGACCGAGCCAGAGTTTGGTGGGGGCTGGATCGTACCCGAGAGTCTTGAGGTTGAATCCAAATTCGACACTCTTGGCCAAACCCATTGGACCTGCGTTGACAATATCTGAATCCATGATGGAGAAATCAAGATACCCACCTGGCTTAAGAATACGCATGCATTCATTAAGGCAAGCTTCCCATTCATCTTCCCCGTTCTCACCGCGCTCCTTGAGAATGCTGTAGATTTCGCGAGCGGAGATGAGGTCGAATTGATTGTCTTTCCATGGAAGCTTAACGAGACGCTCCACGGCTACTTGGCGAAGATTCTTAGGGCCGCGAATGTTGGAGTTAGAGAGTTGGCGAAGGGATTTGGTAGTCACCGTGTATACTTTACAGTTGGGATATTCGGTAGCACATTGCCATGCCCAATCACAAGTAGCTTGTCCGCCAAGATCAAGAATACGGGCACGGTCTCTAGGGGTGCCGTTAATAGTGGGACCCATGGAGGAGAGTCTTGCAAGACGTTTGGCAACAGGAGCTGCGATTAAGCGACCTCCGTTGAGCAATTTAGTTGCTGCGACATTCCAGGCTGCAGGTGCCATTTGTTCGAGAGCTTCGATCTCTTTGTCGTGCTTTAGCTTGTCTAGATCTTCAAATGGAGTTTCGTCACCACGAGCCACGTTGGAAGACATGCGGCGCTTGGCGGACATTGGAAGAACGCTCAATTGGTATTTACCGAGGAGATGGGCACGATGAGCTGCTGGAAAAGATACTCGTTGAGATTGGATAGCTTCAAATCTGGGCACCCGATGCACGAATACATCACGGCGATGAGTTTTGCGAATCGATCGTTTGAAGGCACGGTGATAGGTCGATTCTTGGGGAAGGGCTTTAGGTAGTGGACAAGACTTTCCAGCAAGCTTAGCAAGCGTAGCAGTAGCAGCTGCTGGAGTAGAGACATCATTGATAGAGTCTGTAGAGAAGTGAACGGTCTTTTTACGCTGCAAAGGGAGTGGCTCTGGCTCAATTGGTGAGATTGCCATTTCTGCTGCTGAGAATCTTACACTGGAAGCTCGCTTCAACAAGGCGACTTCGTCATCACGTGCCTCTGTAGGGTTGATGAGTTCTGAAAGGTAATCATGTTGAGCTGCGAGCCACAGTGCAGTGCGATCAATATTAACAGTCGCAGTATCCTCAAGCTTGTTAATATATCCAGGTGCGTAATCGGTCAAAATTTCATCAGCTACAATGACCTCCTCAAAGCTAGTTTTATTTGGCGGAGGCGATCTGATAGCAACAATAGTTTCGTCAGAATTATCGTGGCGGATCTCTGGTCGGATGAGTTTAGCTGTTGGTGGCCCATCAGTATCAGCAGGCTCTGGAACTTCGATAATACGCTCAACTGGTTGTGGTGCCCATGGGGTGTTGTAAAAGTTTTCCGCGGTGGTTGATGAAGGAGGGAGAGGTTCATCGGGCGTGACAGGTACAAGGTGCCAGGTATGCCTCGCACCATGACCTAAAGATGCGAAGAAGCCACCAGGAGATGGTATTTCTAGGTTTGTTAGACTTTCCATAGCTCTTTGTTGGCTTGGGGTGAGAATCAGTGAATTAGCGCGATGAATATTGGTGTTCAAAGGTGGCAAGCTTTGCTGCATTTCTTGAGTGGGAGCGATTTCTTGTGGTACAGTACTTAGTTCAATGACTTGTTCCAATTGCTGCTCCTCGAGGTAGTCATTAGAAGGACCTGAGATCGCCTCCAAGGTAGCCATAGCAGCAGGTTGCAATTGAATTCTCCAGCTAGCACGAGGACCGTCCTCTTCGCTGTCGTAACCAATATCTGGAGTTGGTGGAGCAGACATTTGAGCCATCTGCTCTGAATCCATGCTTCCATCCAATGACGGCGGAGTCGAAGAGGATGGAACTGATAGATTCTCTTGATTCTTCAAGAACGTAAGGACAGCAGGAGACATGGCTACTCTTGGAGGTGGTGTTGGGGGCACTGGAGATGCCAATTGTCGTTTGAATGCTGTGACTTCAGCCCATGGATCTCCATTTGGGGGGATCACAAGCGAGGGTAATGAGCTTAGGGAATTTCTGCTTCCGATTGAACTTGTGGATGATCTGTTCGATCTTGGAGACTGCCCAATACTGGCCCTTCGTCTCAAAGTGCTGCCCCTTCGATTATCTTCGTCAGATGAAACATCGTAAAGATCATCGAAGTCAGTAGCATCAGTTGTAAAACTTGCTCTTGTCCATGGTGCGGATGAAGGAGCAGAGGTTGAGTCTCTGCTTGAATCCGAGCAAGATGGTGAAGCTGGACGATATGGTTGCATGAATTGATTCGCTCGAGGTGTTGGAAAGTGATCGCTGAGTGGAGAAAGCCAGTCTGCCTTATGGGAGGATCTATCTTGACCTCGCATTTCCATGTGTTTTGAACCACGTATCGATTCTTCTTCATCTTCCATTATTGTATTAAGAAGCCTTCGTCGTCTCTGTGCCTGCACAGGTGAAGTCGGTGGCCGGTATGTTGTGGCAGGTAGATAATCTAGAGTTGCCATTTTGTCGACCCAGAAAACGTGCCTTTTTTGATATACCCTCCTCGTCGGCTAGGTATCGTGTATTAATTTTTAAGACGCTCTACGTCTAGTGAGATAAGGAAAGAAAATTAAAAGACAGTATGCTTCGATCAACGAAGACTTTGCAACACTATGCTAAAAAAAAAAAAAAAAAAAGAGGAATTAACAAGAACGAGAACAATACACCTCCTACACTACGAGAAAGAACGAGACGAGAAGAAATGATGACCTGAGTTTGGTAACTGGGTCACTGAAGGGTTTATACCGACAGTACTTGCCAAAAAACGACAAGGGGTCCAGCAGGTGTGGCTCCAATTGAAGCCAAATTTTCTTGAAGAACCGGCAAAAAGAGGTTTTCCAAGCTTCTCCAAGCGTCAAGGGCATCATGATCTCCACTAGTGAGGAGAGACATCCAAAAAGAGTCTACGGAGTAAAATAGTCAAATTGTTTAAGATGCTACAGCATCGGCTCATAATTCGTACACCCAATAAAAGTTGTGGCTGTCTCACCCCAGTGCATGGCACTGATGAGCTAGCAGCAAATAGTTGGCAACTGACGACTGAAATGGTAAGAGAAAATTGATTTCTCTGGGGAATTGCGCGCGCGACGAGTAAATGAGAATTCAAGAGGGTAGTATTTTGTTAGCGCTTGCATACAACATCTACCAATGAGACTGCTCATCGCCTGCAGGACCCAGCTGGTTCGTGGAACCCACCAAGAGTTGGGCGCGTAAATATAGAAATGATTAAGAGATTGACCTATGAAGACGAATATGAGTACGCCACGAATTAGAATGGGTTTGACTCGATGGTAGATTAATTGTATACGAGTGGACGTGATGTTCCGATTTACAATTGATCCGCATGAATCTACCCATGTAGAAAAGAGCATCGCAGGGAAGTAAAGTGGCAGGTAGGTCGCTATATATACATTCTGCATTCTGTAAGAAGAAGTATTTTCCGAAAATTCGATCAATATTGCGCCCAACCAGTCATTCTAACTTGATCTTGATTGTGTGAACCACGAAGATGTATGATCTTATGAGTAATGCTGGCGGTACCTGCATTTAAATTATCGGCCAAGTAGCATCGGGTGATGAAGATGCTTGGTGCATATATCCCAGCGTCTGGTGTGTGTTATTGCATGATGGCATAGTGAAGAAGTAAAATATGTTTGAGTTGAGTTTGATGAATCATCTGCATGGTTGAAATGAGAACATGGTGAGCGTTTGCACAAACAAATTGCTAAATTTTAGTCACGTGTTGAGGTGTATCTCCATCATACGGAGTAATCCTACGGATCACCGTTCGCGTAGATTTTAATCCCACAACGGCCGTTCCTCCCTTGATCAATCAGCCCTCTTCAATCGTCATTGCACCCACTTATACTCGAGTATAAGCTACTCAGCACTCAGCAAGATATTACACATCTTAACTCACGTTGTACGATCAATAATCCGCTGTTGAATACCATTCAGAAACCTAGCTACTCAGCAGTCAGGCACCATTCAACATATGCATGTCTGGGCAGCCATCTCCGTACTCTTTTCAATGCTGTGAACTCATAAGCCATCCATTCATCAAGTACTCATTGTACCACAAGCCAACAACTACCGAGAACCCCAACCCTTTGTGTGGAGCCCCGCGGCCGTTGAAATGAGGTGAGATGATTCATACTCTAGAATATAATCCCATCCCTGAACGACCATATATATGACCAACACTCGAACGCTCATATCAATATCAGTATCAATATCAATCCCACTACATACACATTTATTCTAACACGAGATTCGCAGTATTCCCAAAAATACCCCTCATCCATAAACCGCTACTAATCCCAACCGTCCCAACAGCTCCGCCTCCTCTCTTTTTGATCAAAAAAGTCCCTAGACAAGCGGCACCACAAACTCAAGAGGTTTCATTTCACAGCCCAACTCCGCCAACCTTACTACCACTCCCAATAAACCAAACCCAGCCTTCCCCCCCCCCCCCAAAAAACCCATCAAACCAAAACCAACAAAAAACCAAAGACAAAATTTCCAAAAGTCTGCAGCACATTTATATTTTCGAAAATATCTACATACTATCAAACACATATCACCCCCTCAAACAGGTCACTAGAAAAGGACCGTCTAGTCTGGCCTGGTCTGATCTGTTCGTATTCGATTCAAGCTGATAAATCTATATATGTATGCATGTATATGGATGTATATATTAACCCAATTGATGACAGGTCAGGTAGGGAAATCAGTATATGACGAATGTGCACTTCATTTATTCCACTATGCGGAAACCGTGATTCTTATTAATATTCTTAAACCAAGTGGTGACTAGGATGATATTCTTACACTATCACAACTGTAGACATCACGTACAAGCGAGCAAGCGCGTTCACGGCTATACCCATACCAAGGTTTATTTTGGGGATTGCCAATGTTGGGATTTCAAGAACATCAAAAGTTAATATTGCTTCACATTTGCATTTCCCCTCCGAGCCTTACGTTTGCGTTGAAGAGTATCTTTCAATGAGCACATCGTGGGAAATGCTATTCATACAAGATACAGAACTTATAAGCCAATTATGAAGAGCCATCACGCACAATGACTCAAGTACGGCCTAATATCAATCGATCTATAGCTATCATCTTCTAACATGACAAATTTATCTCCTCTAATAAACGGAAATTTGATCATCACGCTTCAATTTGTTGTTGAATTCGATGTATCCTCCGAATGACGCGATCCCGTTGCCTCACTTACTGGATACAGAAGAGCACGTATCAGTGACTCAACCTCTTGCCTTCCACTCAATCCAAGCGGTAAATGTGGAGTGGCCGGTTCTACAGCCTTATTCCAGCCTTCCAAAATCTGTTGCCGACTTCTTGGATCAGGGATTGTACTATCAAGGAAGCCACGGATATCCTCGATGACGAATTCCGGAACATACGAATCTGAAGTTGAATCTTCAGTATTCATGGGAGGAGCAGCGGTCACAAAAGCATATCGGACTTTCGTGCGCTTTTTTGCAGGTGGGGGGTCGCAGTATAATTCCCCAATTACCGCTAAAGTCCATTCACCGGGCATAATTTTTGAACAGTTGTCCTTTCTCTTGCGTTAGCAGTGTCTGGGAATGGCACCAACTCGCAATGAATTTTCATTATCTTCGGATAAGGCATGGGGCATTGCTAAGTATTTTGCGACATGCAGTACGTCCGCTATTTCAATACATATAAATGGCTCCGTGGACATGAGATAATAAATGGATTGCGCAATTCCTGCAATGAACGCAGATGGCGGGACATTCGTCTTCCCAAAGGATATGAAGGCGTGATCAGGAGACCTAAAAGAGGAATTAATCACGCCATTGGGGAAGCAAGACTCGATGCAAAGGCCTCCAGCATTGCGGCACTGAACCTCAATTGTATCGGAGCAAGTCAACATAATCAATTGACTCACAACTGGCTTGATATGGCCATGTGCTGGAGCTTCGCTTTGGTTCAATGTATCAACTTTGTGCCTACGAAAATCCACAAGTGGCAGCGCAAGAAGCTCTGTGTCATAAAGCTGAACCGTAGTTCCTCTTAATAATTCGATTTTCCTGCTTAAAGGAATTTGTGGAGTGCTCAGGAGGTAAAGGAATTCGAGTCTAGGGAATTCGACGAGAATTTCCCTCAGAAATTCCTCGGTAATGTTAGGGTTTCCAGAGAAGCTCAAACCAATCACATCCGTTGGGTTGTTTAATCTTTCATTCAATAATTCGAATATTTGTTCGATTGTCAGGTCGAAAGCTCCAAGGTCGATTGTAGATTCGTTCTCAAGTATAGTGCTCAAAAGTCGACGTGCAGAGGCAAAATTCGACACGATGGTAGGATCAACATACAGCTTTGATTTGGCAGCAGGATAGAAATCCGGGAGAAGCGATGCGGTTTCGATGATTTGAGGGAGCTCGGAGGGTGTGCCTTCAATTATCACGTTCAAAACCTTGGCAATAGAGGATGCCTGGAGGCTGGGAAAATCAGCCGTTTCAACGTTCGATTCTCTTTTTATCCAATGCTCCTCTTCTGTGGTGTAGAAATTAGTCCAAGGTTCCGATTGTTGTCGTCAACAATAAAATGTCACAGAGATCAAACGAGTTATATTTACCCTTAAGGGTCTCCCTAATAAGGAGCTGTTCAGTCTGGTTATGACGCCAACGCGGGGTCACCCATTCAGGGTGAGGCCATTGACTATAAAAAGATCGGCAGTGCACCAATGGCGCCGTTCCAAAGATTTCCATCAAGTCTTTAAACTTCTCCTGCTCATCTGAGTCAAGAATGTTGTGGTATTTCCAAAGGTATTTAGGCCCAGTAAGTGGAGTCATGGGGGGGAGGTGGTATGATGGCTTCCTCTATGTCCAAACCGTCGTTGAAGGAGTACTCTGAAAATCTGACAAAGCAATAGCGCACTTTTTCCAACTCTGTAATATCGAATATGGTAATTACATCACTGCTGTAGCCTCCATCAAACGGGCAATTCCAAAGAGATCACTGAAAGCGGGAAAATAATTATCCTTTACTTCTAGAGCAGATCCGATAATCAGACATGTAAGAATAAACGGGAATGGAAATTCCCTGGAAATTTTGTTATAATCAACATACTGCCTCCAGTCTTCTTTAGTGAGATGAGTTGCATGGCGAAGTTCGTGCGAGAGTGCGATTCTGTTGGCAGGTGATTGCAAGATTTGGCGGATATTGGAAGAGATTTTGAGAGCAATATTACCATAGTGGCATCCTAGGGGATAGTTAGTATGATAATAGCTAAGTTTTATTGTGGAAAAGTAGACGAGAGAGAATGTACTTTGTTTTAGCCCTGCTAATGCACGATACCGACCATTTATTTTGGCGATGATGAAGAATTGTTGTTCCAGTAGCATCTTGAATGACTTCTCTCTGTGTTGTCAGATCACTTTCATTGAATCTAATTTCGCGTGTGAGTGTACTTGAGTATTTACTTTCTTTATGTGGTAAACGCGACGACCTCGCGTTAATGCGTGACTCAGCGGGTAGGGGTCAATGTTAGAGTAAAGCGATTTCAAATTTCTTGTTGGGTTGGCCAATGAGGCTGAGGTGCATATGCAAAGTGCCTGCAAAACAGGTGGATAACTAAAGCCACAGCCGAAAAAGGAAAGAACGGTTGCTTTTTGCTGCGGAGTATACTTCTGACGTGAGTATGGAAATCACCGTCCCGAAGACCACGTGGTTCGGAATTGCGCGCGGGTATCCGAGAAATCCTTAATATAGTTCTACATAGCCGATATCTGATGTATACACCGAAGGTTTTCTTTATCATACAAAGGCTTCTCTTTATTTCTCTATTCTAAAAAACCTTAGATTACAAAGGAAGATAAATAGAAATCTATACTATATAGACCAATTATATGGTGGTCATGTAATTCATGTACTATGCAAGCATTTCTATGCTGTATATACCTAGTAGATTTTACAGTGGTTGAGGGATGGACATGCCAACATGCACTAGTAGAGTAAGACAAAGAACTGTAAGTTCGAGAGACAACGGCATTGTTATGAGAACAACAATATGATTATCTATACATACATCCATATTGGAACAATGCACAATCTGGGACTCACCTACCAATTCTGTACAATGACAGAACATTCAAGCAACATTGCTCTGGACAACTATTAATATACTAAACACAGGCAATGTCTCTCACACAATCATCTCTTCACCCAATCGTCTCTTCGTCCACTCGTCTCTTCAATCTACTCGTCTCTAAACAACCAACACCCACACAAACACAAGTAATTCAATCGTCTCAAGAAGATTTTCACTAGTTAACAAGATCAAGATGAGTTCATCAAATCGGAATGGCAGCCCCCCATGCAATCATTACCAGGAAACTTCAGAACCAACAACCCGATCAACATTTTTTGGACCATGCCCTTGGACATCTGCACCAACAGACCGTGTGGAAATGTACGGCTCCCTCATCGAATACACATTGAAGTATTACTACCAGCCGCGCCCCCTTCCGAGTGATATTATCTATGATCTAGATTGTCCCAAAACTGGTATCACCTAGAACGTTACGACATAGTAAAATACAACCTCCTGCATCTCTGTTGGGAGGTGAGGGATAAAATAAAGGAAGAAATCGACGACTTGAAGAAAAAGCACGATGATCTGAATCGGCACTACGCAGCTTTACTCAGCCAATTCTTCGAGTCTTCCGCCGTCAAGGTCTCTTCAAAACCCTGGAAATTGCTAAAATGCGAGGCAGGTCGTGCCTTTGATCCTTGGTACAAATGTGTGTGCTGTAACTGTTTCCGCTTGCTTGAACATTCCTTCCAGGAAATGCTATGGGAAACGCGCAGCTTGGAAACTGATCTTGATTTCTTGCGCATCGAACATCAGGAATTGATTGAGAAGTATGTCTCGCTCCCGTGCAAAATCATTCGTAGAGATTATGCAAGAATCTGAAGGCTGGCTCTCACACGATCATCTAGAGTGTTTCCTTTGTCGATGTTTACAAGTTTAGGGAATAAGTATCCAGGTAGAATGGTTCTTTCTAAAAAAAAAACAATCATCTAGAGTGTTTCATTTGTCGATCTTTACAAGTTTAGGGAATGAGTAATTAGGTAGAATGGTTCTTTCTTAATAACAACCGTACCCGGATGGGATGATTCTTTCTTAATAACAATATATTTGTTTCCCAACAAAAAGAACAAAACACAACAAAAAAATGCAATATTTCTCTTCTTAAAAAAAAAAGGCCCAAACAATGCACCCTGTGAAATAGAAACAGTGATGAAAGGAATGTAAACAATAACTAACATAATTATCGGGAGATTAGAAGAAGCTTGTACCACAAAACTAGTAGTGTAGTTCAAACTCGATGCTTGGGCTTCACACAAATAGGAGCGAAATTTCACCACTACCTACTATTAGTGAAACTGCTTCACCACTGCATTCTTTCCTGTGTTTCTGCACCTAGGTATTCATATACCCAGACCCTCTCCACTAAAGTGTTGCAAAATCTCCAACTTTGACTCAAAGGGAAATGATAAAAATTTATCTTGCACAATTGTTGGCTTTTTCTCTCCCTATGTGTATAAAAGATTACCATTCTTGCATCTAATTGTTACGTAGTAACAGTCAACCTGTCCATATGAGCTTAGACCCCGTGGAAAAGCAAACCGATTCGCATACAATTTTGTATGGTAATCGGTTCGTAGAGTCTCCCCACCTTCAGCAAGCACAGACATATAGTCTGATCCAAGTCACGTGATGGACCCTGCATATTCAGGGATACGAATCGTAGGTCCATACGAATCGTAGGTCCATACGAATCGAAGGTCCACAAACTCTCAGGACCCAAGAGATCCAATGGAGGACGAAGGTCTATATAATCAGGATGGTTTCCTTTGTGTAGAGCTTCGTGCTCAAGATCAATCATTTAGTATACTCTACTATTAGTTACGAATTGCATATCATTATTGTCATTACTTAAGTCCCTGCTTGACGCCTAGTTATAAACCACCTCGAGAGCCTGGAGCACTTCCACGTGATCTAGACGGCAAACCTCGTAACACTAATTTATGCATCTCCTAACCCTTATTATTTCTTTTCGCAAAAGTAATCTTACATATAATCACACCACTAGCTATGAAAAAAATACCCACCCTGCATTATTTAGAAAACAAATAATTTAAAAAATATTCAGAGCCAAGTACAAAAAACGACAATAAACTTTGACAGATTATTTGCTGAGCAACTTTACTATGTATGCACTTTACCTTGGACTATTTAGCACTTTTTTTCTAGTGTGATGAGGATATTGATCGACTAGACACACAATTGTAATCTTATGTGGTTCAGTTACCGCTTAAAAAAACACCTGCAGCATTGCAACAAAAACCTCAATAAAGTGGAATAAATATACAAAAAATAATCTTACAACCAAAGACCTGCAATCCAATCCAATCCATGTACTGTTACGAGGTTTGCCGTCTAGATCACGTGGAAGTGCTCTAGGCTCTCGAGATGGTTTATAACTAGGCGTCAAGCAGGGACTTAAGTAATGACAATAATGATATGCAATTCGTAACTAATAGTAGGATATACTAAATGATTGATCTTGAGCACGAAGCTCTATACAAAGGAAATCCATCTTGGTTATATAGACCTTCATACTAATCGTCCCCTTGGTCCCCTCGGTCCCTTCGATCAAGAGACCGAGGGGATCGAAGGGACCATGTGATTACATAATTGGTCACATGATACGAGATCCGAAGCCGTCGTAACATGTACCAACCACAAGCTAAACATACAAAAACATATAAGATGTTAAAAGGAATGACCTTACACAGGGAATAGTGGGAAACTGATAGGGCAGAACTGAGGCTATATTGGTCTTGTATATAAATCACTCATTATCTAAGTTCTACGGAAGTGCGAAGCTCTCCTACAGAGAGCTTCTCAATCTAGTCCTAATAGGACTAGTGCCCTGTGCACGTGCTACGCAGGAACCATTCACTTTAACATAAGATTCAATTTCTTAAATATTGTTCCTCTTCTTAATCCCCACCATACACTCCAAAGGCTTTCTCAAAAATCCCTCTCTCGTCTCCAAAACATCCTGATATAGATCAAATTCATATCTCCTAAATGTTGTTGCCACAATAAGTGCCAATTCCATCTCTGCTACATTTCTTCCTACACAACTTCTTGGTCCATAACTGAAGGGGATGAAAGCGTTCTTTTGCCTTTCGGTTAAATGGTCCCATCGATCTGGTACGAAATCATCTGCGTTACTACCCCAGATTTCTTTCGAGCGGTGAATTGTGTAGGCTGGGACGGAAAGGACCGTGTAACCTGGGAAGAAACGTCCACAGACTTCTGCTCCTCCAGGAGGAACGATACGAGGGAGTCCAAGGGAAGAGGTAGAGTGAATGCGAAGGGTTTCTTGAATAACGTTATTCATGTACTTCAAATCCTTGACCATGTCGAAAGTGGGAACATCGACTCCTGCAGGAATTGCATCATCTAATTCCTTTTGAAGCTTTTGGAGAACCCCTGGAGTCTTACAAATCCAGAAGAGAATTGCACAGGAAGTATTGGATGTAGTGTCCGAACCAGCGATAAGTTGGGTAAGAGCTTCTGCAGTTAATTCTTGGCGACTGAGTTTAGCACCCGTCTCATCCTTTCCTTCCATAAGTCTGGCCAAAAGATCAACGCGACCATCTTCTTTTTCACGATCGAGACGTTCGCTCACTCGGGCAACAGCAATACCAGCTAAGTTTTCTACCGCAGCGAGACCTTGACTAAAGAAAGGATCTGGGAAGTGTTTGGCGTATGGCTTGAGTTGTGGTAAGCAACCAAGTGTTCCAGAAACTTCACCACGGCGATTGAGAACTTCAACAGCTGGTGCATAAGTGATCGGTGCATCGGGTGTCTTTCGAATTTCCGTGATATCCTTTCCCTTTTCGAGCATGCCAAATGGAGCTCCAAATGCAAGGTCACCAATGATGTCAAAAGCGAGATAATTGAACCACTGCAAATTTGAAACATTAATACTGATGACAAAGCTCATTCTGAGTAATTAAACTTACGTGAAGGCAATCAATTTTGGCAAATTGTCCATGAGCATTGTCAGACATTGCATCCCAACGATTCACAAACAGATCCAAATTTCCATGCATGTATTGTTCGAATTGGCCAATACTTTTGGTAGAGAAGGTATGCGAAATAGTTTTGCGCTTTCTTGTGTGTTCGATACGATCACGAGTGTTAAACAGACCTCTCTGAATCGAGACGAAAGCATCGTAGTAATCTCTGCGAAGAAGCAAATTAGCCATTGAAACCCCTTCGAACCAAATGAAGACCAACGATTTCAAAAATCCATTGCCATGACCATAAACGCCCTGTATGGCAGCATCATCTGCGATACTGACATGATCTGGTTGGATCCTAACCATTTTTCCATATTTGGCATGAGCATCATGAACACTCAGATATCGATATCCAAATCGAGCTTGCAACAGCAGCCATAACCTTGTGAATTTCGCGGGGAAAGGTCCTGGAATGTCCCTAATAGCTGTGTTGGACGTGAAATATGGCACGACAAAATAGAGCACCAATGCGATTGGAATCGCATAAGGCGAAAGAAGGAAATCCACCACGGCCATTGTGTGTTGGAGCTGGGGCTAAAGCACCAGGTTTTCTGCCGGACGTGCTGCGGGGGTCCAATGCAATATGGCGAACACAAGCGAATGGTAAAATAATAGTTTCAAGGGTATCGCAGCACCCAAAATATCTTTATTTCACACGTCAAATGAAGTAAAAAGATAAGTTCAACTCAAAACATACAGCGACATTGAGCTCAATTATAGATAGTAGCTGAAGTCTTCAAAAGTGCCGACCATTAAAACCGTTCACCCCGCAATTTCCATTAACCTTAATGGCGCATCCCGCAATCCATGTGCTCGGGTCCAGACGCTAAACAAGACAGCTCGATTCATCTAACCAATGGTAGTGAGCGTCAGAGTAATCCCCGGTGAACTCTCGGAATCTCTGTGCTTATCCTTCAAGCTGATGTTTCAAAGCTGGTAATTGACGGTGAGGTTATACTCTCCAACTCCCTTTCTTCGAAGCCGAAGTGATTGGCATTGCATGGCATGCTCCTCATGTGGAACTCCTCTTGCTGAATTGAATTTTTCGAAGTAGGACGTTACATTGGGCGGATACATGTCGGAAATCTATCTGAATTTTTCTATGTGCATATCCGCTTACTTTAAAGTTCCTGGCTGAATTTCTACCGTAGACATCCGCCCGCAGCCCGTTATTTCCGCCGTATACGAACTTGTATGTCACCATGCATTGTCATCTACAACTTTCCTCTTCTACCATCAACAGCCTCTCGAAGCTTGGCAATAACTTCAGATGGGTCTTTGGCTCCAAAAACAGCACTACCTGCAACAATTACGTTTGCTCCAGCATCTGCGGCTTGATCAATTGTTCCAGGACCCAATCCACCATCAACTTCAATATTGAGGTCCGGGTAACGTTTTCTAAGTTCAGCGACCTTTGGCAATTCTGATGCCATAAACTTTTGTCCTCCAAATCCAGGGTGAACCGTCATTACCAAAACCATCTATAATTTATCAGCCTCTCATTCTATTATCTTCGTGCCATGAACGCGCTCACATCTGGTCTTTCTTTTTCCTCAGTGTTCTCGAGGATATCCCACAGCACATCAACTTTCGTATCTGGTTTAATTGCTATTCCTGCCAACATTCCATTGTCATGAATATATCTTATTAATTCCTTTGGATTTGTTTTCGAATCGCTCGTGGTTTCCGGACTTTCCGCCGTGGTGCTTGAGATTGCAGCTTCGTAGTGAAAGCAATAGAGATCACATCCGGCCTTTTGAAATTCTTTTACCCATTTCTTTGGCTCAGCAATCATCATATGGCAATCGAATGTTCCCTTTCCATGTTTAGCAGTTGGTCGATCGACATGGCTTCTAATTTTCGTAACGACAGGAGCTCCAAAAGTAATGTTTGGCACAAAGTGACCATCCATAATATCAACCTACAGGTCAATAACCATTGGTTAGCATAACTTCGTCGTTACGGGTTGGAAATGAAGTACATGGAGCCAATCTGCTCCTTGGCCGATTGTATCAGAGCATTCTTTCCCTAACTTTGCAAAATCTGCAGATAAAATGGATGGAGCAATAATAGCTGGAGGTGACATTTTGGTAAGAAGTCCTTGGTAGGTGTGCTGACAATCGTGAAGTGAATACTAGGTATTTAAAAAGGACTCTTGCAGAAGGGAATTTTAAAGTAGGTACATCAGACAAGTTCTTTGGTGGGGTGTTTCGACTTTCGTTGTAAGATCTCAACTCGTCTCCCCTCACCGAGAGCTTCACTCAATCAAATCTTAAATCCTCAGGCATCAAGGTTATTGATCAATATTCCCTTGTTTTCATGCCATCATCATTCATTGATCGATAAGCCAAAAATCTGCGCTAAGATAAAAAATGCGGGGGAGTCCAATCAAGCAAATTTGTCTCACCAATTAGCTTTCGGAATTCCGATTGCCGGTCAAGAACCGGATAGGATACACCAACATAACTCAAATCTTGATTCAACAAATTCAATAACGTCTAGATCCCTCACCAAAAAATTCATGTGCCTCATATTTCTCACATTTCGGGGAATACAAATTATCAATATAACCTCACGTTTGTGTTGAGAACCGTGTGATTGATCACATATAACCGTATTGATCCATCAAACGAAGCAAATTTGCCTCGAGGCTGTGGATAAATCGTGGATACTCAGATATCCAGTCATACGATGTGATCTCGGATGAGGACATAAATTGCTCAATTTCCTCTTCACCCAGGTCATTTTTGAAAGCCTTGAAGCATACGGAATCCGTTGTCGGCTTCTCTATATTAGGAAGTCCTACTTGCAAAACTCTTCCATCAACTTATTTAAAGTCCTTCGCCAGTCTTTGACATCTGTTCCATACATTCACCATGATGAGTGTCGCTCCAATGCTCCTATACTATCGATGCCCTGCCGATTTGGCTGTTCCTTATCAACGTTACAGTTCCGCTGCATATCCTTCCGTCAGTCTCTATGAGTAAGCGCTCACTCCAGTTCTCGTTCATTCTTTGTTCCCCCGAAAGTACGATTTCTGCTGTTCAAGCATGATATCTTCATGAATTTGAACCTTTCCAAGTGATAGAATGAACCACAAGGTCTTCTCCCCGATGCGAATACTGAAACCACTCCTTTGTTTTCTGTTCCATATCTCCAGAAACTAACACATTCCCCATCACCAGCTCCGATAACGAGCCTCTTTTACCCCGTCCCAATCGTCTTTCCGCCCTTTCAACTGCTCCCTATCCTTCACACACCTATTCCCAACATATGTATGCCGCTCCATCCTTTCACAACGCCCCTGTAAGCGAAGATTCCATCATTCCCGCAATCGTCATCGATGTAATTCCAGCCGAACGGCGTTACTCGTCTGGCTCAGATGGTAGCCCAAATGATACCATCCGACCAAGAAGTAAAACGGGACTAGTTTCCAGACTTGTGAAAAAGAAGAAAGACAAGGCAAAAAATGCTGGGAATGAAAAGGAAAAAAGGTTAACGAAGGTGATCTATATGCCCAGGAGGGAGTATGTATTTCATAATTTTACCTTCGCCGCAGCTACTACCCTTGAGTGTTCTGTTCCGCTGTCACACGTGGCTCGCCTCTTATGAAATGCAGAACATACTAATAAACACCCCCATAGATATCTCAAACATTTTGCCCGAGGTCAGAGTGGTGAATACATAGGCACCGAACCTCATCGTCGCTGGACAGAAGAAGAACTAGAACAAACATTCGGAAGATTCAGACCACCTGCTAGGAGAAATAGTGGAATGTTCTGGGCACGGGGTTAGGGTTTCTCGTCATAGTTTCTATTTGGGTTCTCTTTTTGTGGTTAGGGATAGTATTGGTATTGGTATTGCTAATGAAAGGAGAATAAGGAAATGAATGGAATTGGGCATGACACGGTTGAAATGACATGATGAATGGATATGGATATTATACCCTGGATTTGGGTTTGGGATTTGAAAATGGATATTTTGCCTTAGTCAGGTCAGGGATGCGGAGATTGGTAATAGGAAAATTAGGGGTGAGATTTAATTTGTGGGATGTTGGATTTTTTATGGTTATTGAGTTTTTTGAGTTTGTTATTTAGCAAGCAAGATTGTTAATTGATTCTTTTCTATAAGTGTATACGTATGTGCATCTATCTATGCTTTCCCAAGAATCTCGTCAAAAATCTCAATCAAGCGGTTTACTTCCTCCACTATATCCACATACATTAGCATTCATCATCCTTCCTTATACCAGAAATCCAAAGAGCACAACAAAAGAAAAGACAAAACTCACAACTATTATAATGCACCAAACTAACCCTCACCACACCCTCCGCCCCCAACCCTAGCACCTCCCCACACAAGCGATTACTATAAAACATACCCCAACGAATACCCACCTCCCCACTACTCATCTCATCGACCAATTCCACAAACTCCCTACTCCCTTTCCCTCGCACGGTAAAACTAATCGTACAAACCCGCTTGTTCGTATCCCCGGATGGTTCGCCGAGGATTTGGATATCCGGGCGGGAGAGAAGATATTGTAGGAGGGATTTTTGGAGCGTTTCTTCGTGGAGACGGATGGAGTGCCAGGATTGCGTGGCGAGGTATTCGGTGACTTGTGGAATTGAACTGGTTAGTTCGTAGTTTGAGCCGGCGAGGGCGAGTTTGTCGGCGAGGGTTGTGGACTAGGGTGGAGGGGGAGTGGTTAGTTGGGGTTTGTAGAGAAGGGTTCTAAGGCGGGGGAGATTGAAGAGGGATTGTTTTTGGGAGTGGAGGTTTAGGAGATTTAGGGGACGAGATAGAGATTGGAGGTGTGGGAAATCAGAAAAGCTATGCTCACGGGATTGAAAAAATGACCGAGGGTTTTAAGGGTTTTAAGGGCCGAAGGGGAGGAATATAGGAGGGAAATATGCGGGCCGTAGACTTTGTACCAGCTGAAAGCGTAGAAATCGACGCCTAGGTCTTGGACGTCGACGGGACGATGAGGCGCATAGGCTACTCCGTCGACGCAGACAAGTGCACCGGGAATAGTGTGGACGAGATCGGATACTAAGAGTGAGGTGAGTAGGTGGGACTTGAGATTCGAGGTGGGTTTAGAGAGGAAGTTAGATGGGAAGTGGGGAGCAGGGGAGGTCGATGGCTAAAATTAATTCATGGTGGGTTGCCTTGCAAAGGACCAATTTTTGCTTACTGGTGCGAATATCGTGGATGGTACCAAGGATATTAGAGGCATGTGTGAGAGTTACAAGTGCTGTTTTGGAGGAGAGTAAGGGACGACTAGAACACAAATGAATTAATTATCTGCCGCAAAATTCTCTGGGGAAAATGCATGTGCCTGACTTGTATTGGGCAGGGAAAAGAGTAGACAAAATGGAAGGAAACGTGCAACCGGAGTTAAAATATGGAAAATGAGCAATTGAATGGACGGGTAAACACACAGTGACTCAGAAGTGAGAATGGGGTTGTTGGACGAAGGCGGTGTCCACCATTGGATAGTTAACTTTTGAGATGCAGCGAGGGCAACCCAGGAGGCAATGTTGGATTCGTGATCAATTGATGATACGATCAACTCAGAGTCTGGTGGAAAATTGAGAGCCTGAGAAAGGTTTCGAAAATTCTGGGTTGTGCTTGAACCGAGGACTAAGGGATAATGTCAGTGCATGCGTTACTCGATGAAGAGAAGGGAATAAGATTTACCAATATTGGATGGGGATGTATTGAGGTATTTTGCGGCTGCTTCATATCCTGTAGCGTAACTTGTGTTTGCTTGCTTGCCCACGTTGTATGATCCGCCGAGCTGAACATTGGAGTTGATCAGGTAATCATGGATCCTTTATATGTGTGAGATTATCAGTATGTATATCCCATAGAATGAGATATGTGGCAACGAAATATCAATATACCTGTCTATAACAGTCCCTAGTGTTTGACTACCGCCTGCATTATCAAGATACACTTGTTTCTTGTCCAATGCGGGGAAGCATTTTCTTGTAGCTGTGATATCGAGGGAACTCATTGTCGTACTGTGCTTGGATGTATGACTTTGTAGAAGCAAAGGATTGCAGGATTGAGTAGGAATGGCAAGAAGACTTGTTTACTTATTCTTACTACTTCACGATAGTATGGCATCATGCTGATCATGGTTATCATCGGCATGGATAACAACGTGGGGTTGATTGAGGGGTCCAAATCTAGCTTGCCCAATAGAGCTTCATGTTCAAAAATGACGGATAAATATCAATCCTTCAAATTTGGCTGAATTCCGCAGCCAATTGACTTAAGATATCTTCCCTTTGCTTTTTGACACAATGCAGGAGCATTGAAAGCTGGGTGGCATTGATGTCCAAATCTCAAACTTGAGACTATTCATATAAAAAAAGGTCTCTCTGCAGTGCGTCTATTCGTTGCAGCGCGTAGATGCATGTCTTTATATAGTATCCAATATGATGATAGTCCAAATTTATCATTGAAGTTGTGCAAGTGTCAAGTCCGGATCCCTTTTTTAAACCCAACTTCAGCGCTTCCAACAAAAAATAAACTACACCGCCCTGGCAAAATCGTCATAAGAGGAGCTTCAAATTTATTATGACCTGATAATCCTGAAAATATTTTATTTCTACAAACCCAAATTGATTCTCTGTCTTCTGTCATCTACACATCATCATATTATTAAAAATGAAACGCAAGGCAGATACTCTATCCAATGGCAAAAATGGCAAAAGTATCCTAAAGAAACGTGCAAAGAAGTGTATGCTTTCCATCGACTTTTCCCTCTCTGCTCCATGAACTGACTGAATCTCGTGTGACAGCATTATCGGATGAAGATGCAAAGAAAGCTTTCAGAAAGGGCTTATTCGATAAAGAGGTTCTCAAGAAATATACTAAGGAATATGCCAACTCGGAACCATACAAACACCAAGTTATCAGCCCATTGATCGACGATGCTCTTCTTCGCAGCGTCCGCAACGAAATTCGAGAAAATGTCCACTTTACACCTAAAGAGACGGATATTTATAAAATACATCAATCGGGAGACTTGGCAAATTTGGATGGTTTGGATGATGGTGCACTGGAAAAATTACCCTCTTTACTCAGACTGCGAGATGCATTGTACTCATCTTCGTTTCGAAAATATGTTGCAGAGATTACGGGTTCAGGAGAATTGAGCGGGAGGAAAACGGATATGGCTATTAATGTTTATACGCCAGGTTGTCATCTGTTGTGTCATGATGATGTGATTGGAAGTCGGAAAGTCAGTTACATTTTGTATTTGACTGATCCAGACGTGGCTTGGAAAGAGGAATGGGGTGGGTCTTTGAGGTTGTTTCCTACCAAAGAGTTTGAGGATGATGGTGTGAAGACCATTACTCCTAGTCCTGATACTTCGAAGATTATTCCGCCGGCATGGAATCAATTGAGTTTCTTTGCTGTTCAACCGGGTCAAAGTTTCCACGATGTCGAAGAGGTATATCATGCCGCGAGCAAAGAACAACTGGAGAAGGATAGTGGTCGGGTTAGAATGGCTGTTAGTGGATGGTTTCATATTCCTCAAATTGGAGAGGAAGGATATGTGAAGGGAGCTGAAGAGAAGTGGGGGAAGAATAGCAGTTTGATGCAATTGCAGGGCAATCCAGATAAATACGACTTTCCGAAAGAAGAACCAGTTACAGGGGTGGAATATACTGCTGAAAATTCCGAGGAAAATGGCCTTGAAGAGGCCGATTTGGATTTTTTGCTAAAATATATGGCACCCACTTACCTCACACCGGACACCTTGGACCAAGTTGCCGAACGTTTTCAAGAAGAGTCAAATGTTACCCTTGATGGTCTTCTGTCGGTCAAGTTCGCGGCTAAAGTTCGAGAATATGTTGAAGCACAAGAGGCTGCAGCTCTACCAGAAAGTACCGAGGAAATCGAGAAAGGCTCCTGGAAAGTTGCTAAGCCACCTCACAAACATCGCTTCCTTTATCAACAACCATCTGATTCTCAAGGCTCCGATAACAAAAAAGAGATGAATCCAATTGAAGAGATTCTTAATGTTTTCCTTCCAAGTACTCAATTTCGAAAATGGCTTGAGATTGCTACTTCATGTCAAATTGAGAATTACAATCTCTTGGCACGTAGATTTCGCAAGGGTTCAGATTATGCTCTTGCCAAAAATTACGAGGGTAACCCTAGACTAGAGGTTGATTTAGGATTGACGCCTACAACTGGATGGGGGGATGATGGTAATGATGATGAAGAAAATGAAGATAATGAGAGTGACCATGATGAAGAAGAGGAGGAGGAGGAAGCCAAACAAAAATCCAAGTCCAAGGAGAAAGAAAAGTCAAAAGGAGAGAAAAAGGCATCTGAGCCTGAACAAGAGGAAGAAGATGATGTTGGAGGTCATTTAGTATTCATGGCAGGTGATGATGAAAATGACGAAGATGCAGCAATTTACAAAGCTGCTGGGGAGGAAGAAGACGACGGAGTTCTTTTTACCATGCCAGCTTCATGGAATAAAATGAGCATTGTCTTGAGAGATAGTGGTGTGTTGAAGTTTGTCAAGTACGTTAGCAAAAATGCGAAAGGGGATCGATGGGATATCAGCGGTGCTTTTGGGGTTCAAGAAGAGGAAGATAGTGAAGATGAGGAAGAAGAGGATGGTGAGGATGAAGAAGATGAAGGTAAATCTTCACAGGGGACACAAATCTTACTAGAAGATTCCGATGAAGAGGGAACCTTTAATGGTTTCCCTGACTCGGAACCTGGCAGTGATTCGGATTAATGTAATGAGGAGTCTACGCCTGGTCAATATTGTTTCAATGATAGGATACCCATCTTGGTTCGGCCTGACAACCTGTCATATTCTTGACACATGTGGAGACATTTATGGATAATATTGTGCTCTATTGCGGATACAAAATTCGTGTCAAGTTAGCATTGACTTATTCCAACGTATCATATGAAAGAAAACGGTCTATCAAGTTTTTTGTTGCACATCGAAGTGCATTTCGCATTCGTCTATTAGAGCAACGTGGAGTCTCATAACACTAGTTTGTGATTGACTAAGCCTCTATATCCTAGGCTGAAGTAATCGCCGAAGTAGATATTGTTTAGCCTAGAGTAAAGGGGCATCTTTCAGCAGGGGGAATCTGCAAACTATGCGATTCTGTCTGTAGTTCATGCATGTTGACACATATCACATATTGATGTTTGGTCACAACATCAACGAGTATTACGGTCGAACTCAGCAGTTTTGTCGGTAGGTAGGTACGCAGTAGGTACTACCGAGGGATGCTTCCGATTTCAGCGAAACCAAACAAAAACAATATTTGTTTTTACTCGCTCATCTTTATTTCTAGCTATCTGTCTATCTACTGCAAGTTTATCATACTTTTGAATTCGAACTCGATCCAATGTCAAGTCAAGCATTTTTAAGAACATCTTCAGCCCAGCATTCACCAATTCATTGATTCATCCGCACTAATCAACCAATCAACCAATCAATCATAAACTCAAATGCATTCATTACCTTATTTACCTAGCCAACTAACTAACTGAATAGATAGCTAGGTAAGTAGCTACTAGGAGGTATAGTACGTACATAAGAACTAGATCCAAAATTTAGCGAATGCGAAAGATGTTTCGGTGTATATACGGTTCGGAGTATGTATTCCGAAATGGCAGGGCAGGGTGGTTCGAGCTCGGGCTTTTTGATTATATCATGTGATTTATTGCGAGGTGCGTGGTTTTGTTGCTTGTCTTGAATATGTTGTTCGTTTGGAGAGGAAAGGTTTCACCGCTTTTCTTTTTTTCTGGGGGCAGAATTTGTGGGATATGTTGTGGTTTTTGAGGTTTTGGAAATTAGATAACTGGGTAATTGGATAATTGGGTGATGGGTTACTGATTGGTGTATGGTAAAGGAGAGGTATATAAATACTTTACTACCTAGAAGTTTTATATAGGGATGGATTGTAACGTTAACATCTCCTCCGATATTCGTTCCTTCTCGCCGGTGGGGAACATGCTACGTAAGATTACGATCTCACTCTTCTTCTCATACAATTGGATTCTCATGGTAAGACTTACTTTTGAGTCTGCCGACGGGGTGAGTTTTGTATAGTTCTGGAATTTACAAGGGATGAAACTCTACCTGGCGAGAGTTGGAAGTAATCATCTTCTTATTCAAAAGTAGAAGGATTCATGAGTAGATGGCATTCTTCGGACGTCATACTTGTCGCCGATTACTAGGTATCCGAATATGCGGTGAATTATGGCTTGCAATTGAGGTTGTCATGTAAATGTCAAAGGTCTATGAGAGACTCTTTTCTTTACTCTGTTGTTTTTTAGATCTTCTGGCTCCTGGGTATTCTTTATGCCATATATTTCTTAGTTGATTGTCATTTGTTTACATGTTCAAGAACTCTAAAGTATCGCATCTAGTAGTCAAGAAACATGATGATACCACTTCCGTGGAATATAAAATCTTCCTAATAGCGTGAATGGTACACTAGGTATACGTTGGTTAAGAGGAGCCAAACTTGTTGAAAAAGGGTTTTCCTGCTTGAGTAGAGAGGTATGCGGGATGTTGATGTTGACAAGGGTATCTATGGACTTTCCTGTGGTTGTCAGCATTTAAGAAGCGATGATTGGGATAGAAAGTCTAGTTTACTTTCAAATCTAAGTTTAGTTTTAGATAATTGTTTATAAATGTTGACTTTCGCGGAGAAATTGCAAGTGTAAATGATCCTATCCTTATACATACATCTTCTTCCATGAGCTTCCAGTATATATCTTTGCCAGTTTATAAATTATCATCATAACACGCAAAATCAACCATCCATACCTAGTAGATAAAAATATCCTCAAAGGTCACTTACGAGCACTCTATCTAGAAATGGGTGTTAGGACTCACAAACTCATCAACTCTTCCCATTCTACCACTCTATAGCCTCACTATGTACCTCCAACCCAGAAAACAAACAAGCCATTCTCTCCACAAAATTCCAAGACCTCAAATCAGGTCCCGGCAGAAACCAAACTATTTTCGAATAATAAGAATATGGAATCTTCACCGCGGATGCTGATGCTGATGCTGATGTATGGGCTCACTCACTACAGATCAGATCTCCAACCCTCCATGATCAAGTCATCACCTACAAATTCTCTACCGAGCAGCTTTCTCCCACAATTAATCCCCGAATCAGTGGATCTGCGCTCTTCTTCTCCATTTCACAACAGATATATATATATATATATATGCGCATATCAGGACCGAGTATCCCCTCAAAAATCAATCAACATGTAAGTGATGTAGCCAAGCTACCTCCGTTACCTTCGTTGCCTTACCACACTCCAACCAACCAATCCATCCATCTATCAATTCAAGAAGTGATAAGAACACCAAAGACAGCTAACAGCAAAGTTGAAGAGAAATCTATCCGGGTGGGGTCCTATTCCCAAGAGTATACTATTTTCTGAACGTGATTCTTTAATATCGGTTAAACATAATATGTAATAAAGATTATTTTATCGATTTTATCAAATTTCTCTTGTCTGATAGCTCTAATTTCTATTTCTTCTTCCATTTCCACTTCCATTTCCGCATCTATCCTTTCAGTAAACCATATACCCATCCCCCTCTCTTACACCCAGAATCTCCACCTCCATAAGAAGGAAGATACATCCCCTCAACGCCCTCCCCCAACCAAACGCACATCGCATAATACCCCACCGTAAAAAGTCATAATCAAACACTCCATCTTCACTACCACTTCCTCCTCTTCCTTGAAAATGTAATATCACAGCCGTCTTCGTCTTCGTCTTCTTAGCCCAGACACTCTCCCTCTTCCTACTCCCCCTACTCCTCCCACAAAGCAACAATAACTTCGAATTTCGAATTTCGAATTTCGAATTTCCAAATCCCAAATTCCAAATACTAATTAAATGAAATATTACAAAAAGTATATACGTACTTTCCTGATAAATTTAACCAACAACAATAATATCCGTTTCTAATAAAACGAACGGGGATTTTATTATCTTGTATTAATGTAAAGAATTACACACCGTATAATACCTAGCTAATTATATGAAGCTAGCCTATAATCCAAACCCAAGTCATATACAGAGAAGGATACCTAAAGTTGCAATGTTTGCAATTGCATCCTAAACTGCCTTCCAAAACGCCATGCCATACCACCTCCCATCCAGAATTCATTCGTAACCTCGTATTCATGCTTTCGTTCATAAACTCTAAACCCCGCCTTATCCTATGCATGCCGAAAAGTATAAAGTGCAAAAACTCCTTCCCAAATATGTGTCTTCTTTGCCACTCACGTCCTAGGTCCTTTCCTATTTACTCGAAGGTGATCTCTTTTTCTTTGGTTTCGAAACCATCTCGCCTAATCCTAGAGGCTTCTGCATAACATATTCCTTCTTCGGCCCATCTCCATATTTATGTGTCGTACTTCCATCCGCATTGATAGTAGCGGGTATTCCTTGACTCGGTCTCCTAATTTGATCTTCATGCAATCGATCTAAGCTCTCCCCCATAACTCCATATTTCGCCCAGTTAACCGGTGGACACCGCACAATATTCTGCGGCATTGGCAGTTTCTCCCATTCTGCATCTTTAGCTGAAACTCCATTAATTTGTTGACCATCCATCCTAGACTCCTCATCTTTGTCATCATCTTCATCACTGCTACTCTCTCCATCCGCAGCCACTGCTCCAGTCCTCCTAGCATTCTCCTCCCTCTCCTTCTTCTCCCCCTCCCTTAAACTCCCCACAAATCCCTCTGGATCTTCCATCGCCCGCTCCTTAATCCTTTGCAGCGTGATCATATCCCTTTGCGCATTCCTCGCCTGCAACTGTAATATTGAAATCGTACTTCTCATCGCCAAGACATCCGGGTTCTGATCCAGGTCAATCGTTTGTGGTTTTGGTTGCGGCATTGACACTTGGGGCGCTTGTTGTGTATGCGTATATTTTTCTCTGGATGAATGAGCTTGTGCTTGCGCGGCTGGATGGCTTTGAATTGGTTGAGGGGTATTTTCGGCTGTGCGACTATTATTCAACATTGCGATATTCTTTCCCCCTGTATGATTTCGTTGTGGCTGTCCTGATAATTGCGATTCCGGCCGTATCGCTCCATTTTGTGCGCCAGGTCCCAAATTCACGTTCGCATTCGCATTTGAATTCGAGGCCAACCTCGCGGCCGATAATGTAGGAGTGATAGGCGAAACAGGCGGCGGAACCGGACTTGCGGATCTAGAAATTGGAGACCTAGATGTATGAGAAGGAGGTGAAGATCTCTGAGTCGAAGTAGAGTTATTATTTGCAGGACTGGGCGCTGCAGTGGAAGAGGAATTTGAACTTGACACCATGTGGTGAGGCATTTTGAATTTGATGGTGGGCATTTGCGAAAGCTTGCGCGCGCCTTTGTAAATAGTACAGAGTAAATAGTATGAACTGCGGAGTCGGATTAGTTTTATCCGTGATTTTCCAAATGCCGGTGGCTGATGATGGAATTGGAAAGGCTGTGTGCGGGGAGAGGAGAGGCGATAATTGGTGGGGGTTCTTGAAATTTGATTGGTTATCGTAATTCTCTTGGCCGAGTGGTTTTTTGTTGGGGAATGCTTATTTATGATTATCACTTAGGTAATCCAGTCAGTTTCTTGATTGCCGAGTCATTTAGTTGAAAGAAAGCGAGTTGTCGATGCGATGCTTAGATGTGTGTTGAACAAAGGGTAAAAAAGATAAAAAAAGATGTAAAGAATTGTAAGCTTTGTGATTGTTTAGATTTCCTTGATTTAACAGATTGTTGGATCATTTTATGAGTCAGGGGAAATGGAGAAATTAATTACATAAAAGGAAAGCTTGTTCTTTTATTAGTGTCTGGAGTTTTCCTCGCTTACAAAGTGGTTCGGTGGAGAATTCGATCATGTTCATGTCACTCGGTGGCTCTTGCTTAAGCTCATGCTCAAGCTGTCTTTGAAAGTGGCCCAAGCTACCTACCTACAGCTACTACGGCTCTAGAAGCTCCTAGATTGTGCCTCACCTAGGTATAAACAATAAATGCCTAATAGATATTTACTTCCTCTTCTGTTCCCGAATCATCAAACTAAGTTTATATCAACATCTACAGATAATTAGTAATCCTAAGCAAAACGAGCAAGTGCAAGTACTCAAAGTACTTGTTGTTGCTTTGAGCTTCATTCTAAAACCAATAATGTTCCAAAAAGTCATGTCGTCATAGCGGAGAATAGTTAAAAGATGTGATTCCAAAATTTCGGTTTTCCCTTTCTCTTCCTTCACTTCCTAATCTTGTTATCGTTATACAATGGACATTAGCCCCCTTGGCATTGCCAAAGTCACTATTCCCAATTTACCTTTGATTATCAAAACTACTATTTTAGCATTGTTTTCCCGTTCCCCAAATGCCTCAGTCCAGGATGTTATTACCGAACTTATAGTTACCGCTGCACGACCTATGCTTAGCACTCCTGCAGCCATTTTAAAATCTCAAATACAATCTCAAATAGACTGGGGAATATGGGGACAAATGTGGATTGCCAAGTATACAATCCCAAGACCTCAAGATGATTGTAGTGCCGATACAGGTGTCTATAGTGCTAGGGATGCTTTGGTGAAAGCAATAGAAGAACTTGGGGGTGAACAGAATGCCTTTGATCTACCAGAAACAGTAGATGTGGAAGCCGAGTGGACAGGATATCGTCATGGAGTCTCGATTTTTGCTCGTCGACCAAACATACCCGAGCATGAGCAATACAGGACGATGATGAGAGAAGTGGCTACGAATGGTCCCACGATTCTTTACTTCCACGGCGGAGCTTTCTGGTAAGGAAATCATAATGTCCGACGTCTTTTTCTAAACTCAACATGTAGCCTAATGGATCCCGTTACGCATCGACCGACAACGTCTGCATTGGCTCAACAAACTTATGGCAGGTGCTTTTCAGTTCGCTATCGATTGGCACCACAAGATCCATTTCCATCTGCACTTTTAGATGCGCTGATTGCTTACCTTTCATTGATCTCTCCTCCCCACGATTCTTTCCATGAACCTGTTCCACCTGGGAAGATCATCCTCTCAGGAGACTCGTCGGGGGCGGGATTGGCAACATCGCTTTTGCTACTATTGAAAACTTTGAATCGGATGGGCATCAATTCCATCCGTTTCCACGGCATCGATGTACCAATTAATGCGAACGAAATTGCTGGTCTTGCCATTACCTCGCCTTGGCTGGATATTTCCCGGTCTCTGCCTTCTGTAACGAGAAACGCCCAATACGATATGATAGCGCCACCTTCGTCAGATTATACAGCACCTCACCCCAATTTTCCTCACGATTCAGTCTGGCCAGCCAGGGCACCTCGTGTCGAAACTTACTGCGAGGCATTGATGGTAACCCATCCCCTCGTTAGTCCACTTGCAGCCAACAAAGAGCATTGGCGCGGTGTAGCACCAGTCTACATAAGCGTAGGCTGGGAAAGTATGCAAGATGAAGCAGAGATACTCGCGCGTAGAATTCATGAAGCTGGAGGAACAATTATATTCGATGGCTATGTTGGGATGCCACATTGCTTTGCGATGATGCCTTGGAATGAGGCTGGAAGAACTGCCTTTAATAATTGTGCAAGGTTCTGCGTGGAAGCGGTCCACGGCAGAGTAGCGAAAAGGAGTTTTGGATTGTGGACGAATAAGCATGGAAAGTCCGAGTCAATTCAGCTAGAGAACTTGGGAATGTGTAATAATGAAAGAAAAGTAGATCTTGACGACTTTCTCGTAAACGAACTGCTAGAAAAGCAAAAAAGATGGAGGATCGATTTGGAAAGGAGCTTGAGAGGTTGTGAAAAGACGAGGCAGCGATAAGAAACTCGATAGAATTAGCAAAGTTACAGCTAGAGAATATTAATAGATTTTGGTAGTAGACAGCTTTTCCCTGTGCTTTTATTGTCTGGGAAAAGCTTGGGTCTTCAAACTGCTGCTCCAATAGGCGATATTCTGTCCTTTTGATTCGGTGTAGAAAGATGGACCCAAATTCAATAGATTTTGTCTGCGCCGTACGAACCACGAGCCCTATTAATAAAGTGGGAGTCGTGGAACATCAGTTATGCACGGATCTTGTGAGCTGTGAGTAATATCCGAGTCAAAAGGCTCAAATGTTGAGTCGCTACACATGATAGTTCTAAGTTGAGTAGCTTCAATAATAGAAAGGAAGGACAATGGTTTTGTGCCTCTCAAGGCACATCAGTTGATACTTATCATCTCATAATTCAAGCTCGCAGCTGACTGCCTGATCGCATTATACCTCGTGATTGGATGTATAGTATTATGTCTCAAGTAACAAATAAGATTCTGACATCCACAATTCCCTACTTAATTTCTAGAAGACACCTTGAAGATATATAATCAAAGCTAAAGAAAGAGGATCGAATTATTGAAGAGAAACTGGAAAATGCTAGAAATGCACGGTTAAATAATGTCGTTTGTGTGGAACTGATGCACTGCATCAAACTAGAAGATGGGACGAGCGGGACCTGAAAAAAAAAGGAGACACGGACTACAAAACCCCACTAGCCCTAAATCACTTTGGGAATAGTGTCTTAGGATAGAAGTTAATCCGGCTCCGAAAGTTCGAGGCATGTAACGACTGAAGTAAAATATTTCGAACTTTTCTTACAATGACCTTGTGAACATATGAGTAAATGAAGACATTTTGATCTTTCCAATTGATCTTTGACTTCTTGGTGGGCCCTTGTAGGGCAGGTGAGGCTTAAATACAGCTATGTAAAGCTCCTGATTTGTTCATGTGTTTGTTATGAGAGTTGTTTGTTTACTGATGTTCAAGTACTTCCAGACTACCTACCGACCATTTACTATCACCATATTCAAGCTTCACTATCTGCCAATACCTAGTATGGGGCTATGCGTATAATCAAAAAATCTATGTTACTTGTCATTCATTAAATTTCTTTCAGCTGATCTCTATCATTCATTTCATCTCTAGGCTTTGGAGAGAATCGGAGCCTGGTTACTGCCTCATTCTTATCATCCAGGCGCGCCGTATTACAAAGGGACCGATCTTAATTATATGGCACAGAAATATATTCAATTTCCAAGATTCGAGAGAAATAATTGGTCTGGTTGTCCCAAGTTCACATCAGGTGAAGTAGCCCCCTCGACTAATCAGTATCACTGCCTTGCAAACACACTGGACTACCTTCACCCACACTATCAATATTGAACAATTGATTTTTCTTTCCAAAGTCTGTCAAAAACGACTTTGCTGCTGAATCAACAATTTTCTCCACACTCTTTTCAAAATGGAGGAAAGGTTAACCCAGCCATGTAAAGACTCCTCCTTAATTCCCTCCACATATCCTCCTCCTCCTTTTTGTACTCCATCATTTGTTTTTGGCTCAATCACTAATGATCCTGATTACGAAGCTACTCAGCCTACCGATGAAGCAACTCGGCTTGGTAATGGTAATTCCGGTTTGACCGATGAAGATGCTGCAGACATCGTTTGCATTCTCCATCCTGATTCCGAACCTGCTCGCCGGGTTTGTTCCGAAAACTACAAATGGAACCCGAATAATACAATCAGCCTTGAAGGTGATATATCTGACTCAGAACCCCAAAGTCTGATTCCCTGCGACCTGGCACTCCGACTGTCGGCGGATTTAAAAGATCCTAATCTGGGCTGGATTTTTGGTCGAAGCCACGAACGATGCGACGTCGTGATAAGAGCAGGCTCGCCCCATCAGGTCAGCAATCAACACTTCCGCATTTACCTCAATGAGCACTGTATTCTCATGATAGAGGATATGTCCACTAATGGTATCGCGGTTGATGGTACTCTGCTCCAATATAAGTACAGGAAAGAAGGTAAACCCCATCGGCAAATTCTTGAAAACGGGAGCATTCTCTCCATACCTTTATTCAAAACCAGGGCCCTCAATTTCAATTTTATCATTCGGGTACCGCAGCGTAGTTATAAAGCCCAAGAGGCTTATGAAAACAACTTCGATGATTATATGCGTCGAGCTCAAGAAACTCAAGTCCGACACGTCGTTGAGGGTGGCGCAAATAGGCAACCAGTAAGTGATTGCTATGTCATTAAAAAAAATGGCACGGTTGCTGATAGATACATAGCTTGACCTCTTCCCGAACGCTGCTAATCGAGGTGCAAGCTCTTCCTTGATGCTCAGAAAGCGACGGGAATGGAAAGGTGGTGAAAAATACCACAAGATCGACATGGTCGGCAAAGGTGCTTTCGCCGTCGTTTATAGAGTGACTGACAGAAGAACCGGAATTCCCTTCGCTGCCAAGGAGCTTGAGAAGAAAAAGTTCCTGAAGAATGGAATCCAAAAAATCGATTCCGAGATTAAGATTATGAGCAAGATTCAACACGTAAGTTTTCTCTCGTCTCCGTGGTATTCTAACTAGCAAATGCTCATAAGTCCCAGGAAAATGTAGTTTCGTTCGTCGAATGTATTGACTGGGATGATTATCTATACATTGTCATGGAGTATGTGCCTGAAGGAGATCTTACAGGCCTCATTGCAACATGTCATCACCTGCCTGAACATGTAGTCAAGGACATAGCCGTCCAGCTATTGAGCGCATTGAAGTATCTTCATTCGCTAAATGTCACTCATCGTGATATCAAACCTGACAACATTCTATGCCAGAGTCGCAATCCTATTCACGTCAAACTGACCGACTTTGGCCTGTCAAAGATGATTGATACAGAAGACACATTTCTACACACTTTTTGTGGCACATTGCTATACTGTGCACCAGAAGTTTACAATGAATATCCGCAATACAACCTCGCAGGTCAAAGAACCAATCGTCGTGACAATACCGCAACGCAGCAGAGATATGACCACGCTGTTGACATTTGGTCCCTCGCCTGCGTACTGTTTTATGCGTTCTGCGGATCTCCGCCATTTCCTGTAGGAGGTAACTCACATCATACGCAACTACTCCGAAAAATCATGGGAGACGCTCTAGATGTCAGGCCTTTACAACATGTCAAAGTATCAGATAATGGAAGAAGTTTCGTTGTAAAAATGCTTCACATAAATCCAGAACATCGTGCTACTATCGAGGAATTAGAACAAAGTCCTTGGTTGACGGGAGACGTAGATGAAACAGATGATGAAGATATTGAAGAGCTTGCGCTGCCCGCTTCTCAGTTAAATTTGTTGGACAATCCCGAGAGTGGAGATGAAAATAATGACTTTGGTGCTGACATGATCAATTTTCAACCTCGCAAGAATCCGAGCAGCTTTAACACTGATGACTCGGACGATGAGGGGCCTGCAGAAGTGGAAAGCTCAATGCCGAGTAATTTCGGTGAAAATACCCCTGGTGCCGAAAGTCTTGTAGGACAAGAAGGTTATGAGTTCATCCGAAATCCTGCAAATAATGGTCGCCTATTTGGAGAAGTTGATGTGGATTCCTCCGCTTTAGGAAGCTCCGGAGCCGTACCGTTAGGTCAATTGGACCTTCCCACTCCAATCCAGCACATTCGAAATAAGCATCCTCGCCAGTTTTCAGAGCAAGACAAGACAAAACCTTTTGCAAAATTCAAGACTCACCTTGAAGCCGCCAGCGCCATGCCAAAAACACCACCTCCACCACCACCTTCAACTCGCCGTCGTGTTGTAACTCCAGCTGCGAAATACTTCGAAAATGGAGTTACGCAAAATTTCTCGAGCCTTATGGGTGCTGTATCTCAACTGGGTCATTTGCAGATGAATTCTCCTTCCATTTCACCAAGCGAAATCTCAGCAGACCAATTACTAAATCTGTCTCATGCCCAGACGGACAATACGAGTCTCCGAAGACCTAGAGACAACAGTAATGTTTGGCACCCTGAAGATCTTCCGCCGCAGAAACGCCAAAAATCCACGCGGACAATTGACTTCTTGTTACCCCCGCAAACATTTTGGAATCCTAGAGATAAGTCGACTCACCATGAGGATTATCCACCCATGTTAGCGACCGAGTGGAATCGATATGTTGAACTTGCCGAGTCAAAAGGAGAAAAGTTTCAGCATGGTTGCACAACATTTGAGAACGTGATGGTTAGCTTTAGAAGCAATAGCAAGACTCCTTCAATAGGATCAAGTGTGTCGTTTCGAGCTCAATCTGAACCTTTGGTTGAAGGGGCACAAACTTTTCCACGATTGGCGCGCGACGTACGAAGACTCAGCGATGACGCTTCTGCACAGCAGAGCATAGCCTCTAGGGATAATTTGTCTATCCATAGCAACGTATCTCCGCCTCAAGTAGCGCAAACCTCGGGACCTAATTCAATGGTGAACGCCGGTACGAAAGAAGATAACACATTGCTTCCTACGATTGAAGCTAGGGCAGAAGGCACATTAACTACCGACCTAAAAGACAACATTGCTGCTAGAAACGATTTCCAGGTTCCTAAGCGGGTGCTTGCAAAGTTTTCTGCAACTCCAGACTCTTATATACCAACCATCTCTTTCAACGTTACGGAGCCCTTTACATCTTGGGGTCGCGGCTGCTTCAATACCATCCCATACACAACCCGCGATAATGTTCGAGTTGCAGTTCCAAGATACGCCTTTAAGCTTTTACTATTCAAAAATGGTTTCTATCCCTCAGATGGAAATTATATCGAAGAATGGAACAAGAGCCGTGGTGATGAAGAAGGCTTCAGATTCTTGATCTCTACCAAGTCCTCCGCAGGTCTAACAATCAATGGTACCAAGCTTCCAAGCCATAATTTTGAGGATCCATTGTTAGAATCGAAGTATTGGGGAGAGATTCGTAATGGCGACATTATCACCATTAGTAATTCGAAGAACACATTGTTGAAACTCAAGTTTGAATGCTTCTGGGGTATGGGTAAATTTAAGCGGAAGGACTCCAAGTTCTTTCTCTACAAGGAAACAGATCATATTGCCACAATTGATCGGGCTTGTTTGAAACTTCAAAATGCTGTTCTCGAAGAACGCTCGAAACGAATGGTAGAGGGAAAAAAATTGGCTAAAGAGATCAATCATCAACGAAAAGAATCTGTGGGCCTTTAATCTTAATCCGGGTCTTTCGTATTTTGGCCTCACGCCCATATCTCGTCAATGGTTCCTCGACGAGCACCTTTTGACGCAAAAATTTTGTACTTTTATGAACATTACTTTTTTCCTTCGTTGTACCATCATCTGTTATACACATACCACAGGGGAGTTTTTTGGCTGCTTGACTTAGCTTATTTTTTGCTATTGCTTAGCTTGATGGTTTTGTTCCTTTCCTTATTTGATTTGAGCTAATTTTTCTTTGATATGAAATGATGCGAGTTTTTGGTGATTTTATTTCAAGAGGGGTGGATACTTTTCTATTTGAAATGGAAGGATGGACGGGAAGTATGAATGAATGATATTGGTGGTATGGATAGGTCGCAGAGAGTTCAGATTGGGCTGAATTTGCAAGGTGCTAATATGGATGAAAATAAATGTACCATCTATAATGAAGGAAGAATAGTTTGAATATCAGTTAATAACAAAAAAGAGTTAAACAAGATTTATTTAGATTTCTTATGACTTTGGTGATGTATACTGGTGATAATGACGAGGTAGCTAACGTAGAAGTATTTAGTACCTCTGTAGCTTTAGTAGGCAGTTCCTTTGCTAAATTATATTTATTTACAATTAATCATACACATGTAACATCATCAAATTTTTATTTTTTTAAAGAATTCAAGCATTCTCCGCATTCACAACCTTCTATTTTTTGTTCATCGTTTCCCTTCTAATTAGGTAAGTATTTCTCATTTCCCCATCTCCCCATATCCTTCCTTTGCATTCCAGAAACATGACACGATTGAGGATTGTTTGTTGTTAATAATAGTTGTCAATAGCGATTATCGATTATCTATATTTATTATCTATCTTATCTTATTTTATTCATATCTAGCTAGTATTGATACCTAATCATAAGATCACTGTTGTCAGCTTAGTTCAATTCAGTTCCATTCGCTCTTAAGTTCTTGAGTTCTTGAGACTTTATAATGATGATGATATACAAGATACTAGGTTCCTTATAGGTATAATTATTCGAGTAGATAGGTATCTTTAAGTTTTTTTGAGTATCTAACGATTAGTATCTAGGTAATCTTATATTACTCGAGTATGCCTAATAAATAATTTAATAGGTATATAGAAAAGAAATCTTAAGTCTTAAATCCTAGATCTTAGAATTGAATGTTTATTTATTCATTTATCTATTTATTTAATATCTACCTATCTATCTATCTCTCATCCATCCATCCATCTACCCATCCATCAACCTAGCAACCATATACTTATCTAGTACGCAATACTCACTTATAAGAATTTAACAACCAAATTCCCCATCTTCATCTTCATCTTCATCTTCATTTTAAATTAATTAATACAATAATAAATGAATATGTTGTATTTTATTCTATTCTATTAATATTCTACATTCTATTCTATTCTACACCACATCCTTCACACACCACACCTCACAACCCCTCAACTCCAACTCAAACTCAAACTCAAACTCAAATACCACAACTCCCATCTAACTCCCTCTAGTTCCTTCCCAAACCATACAAACCCCCCAAAACCCATAACCCCAAATAATCCCAATCCCAACCCCAACCCCGTTAGATCCAACGTACATACATACATCATACATACATACATACATAATGCATAATGCATAATGCATAACCTTAATTAATGCATAATGCACATATATCATATATGCACTAATTACTATATACCAAGTCCGTATGTACTCGGCGATCCCCAAAACCCTGTGCTGTGCAATGCGATGCGATGCATGCTTCTGCAGATAGACAGATATGAATTACCTTCCTTATCCATGAAATATTCGCATCGCATGAGCATGAGCATGAGCACAAGCACGAGGGAATTACAGATCTTGGAGATACTAGGTAAGCCTGTTGTGAAACTATTTGTGTAAATTTTTAATGTTTCAAGAGGCTCAAATACCTAGTTAAATCGCACAGAAATTATCCATCACCAAATAAATCATCAAAGTTTTGTTTATATGATATCAATTCCATTAGTCTATCATTCAACATACTCTTCTAAACCGTAGTCTCGAATCTGACTTGCTTTAACCTCTTTATCAATTCAACTCAACTCCACTCCTCTACTTGAAACTTATCGAACAACAATTGTAGAAGGAAGAAGAAAACGCCTCTAGAACTTGTTGCCTTTTTGAGCCAATGTCATACATGATATGTTCTCGATATAGTATAGAATCAAGAATATTCATGATTGCAATACCTTTCATTTCATGCCTCCTTTCCATCACCATTCATCACCAAAAAAATTAATCCTCCAGACCATCATCGTCATGCGTAAAATACATTATAGGAAGTACAAAAAAACCCTTCAACAATTGAATCAAAGTTGTCGGGTATGAAGCGAAAGACGTTCATCCAGAACTAAGGGTTCTTAGTTGAGGGTGACGATGGCAGCAAATGCAAGGAACACAAATGCTAGTGGGGAAGAGAACTCAGCAGCTGCTGAAGTTGGCGCTGAGGTTGCACTAGAGGTGCTACCAGCGGTGGTGGAGGTAGAAGTTCTAGATGCGGTGGTGGTTATAGATCCTATTTGCTTGTTAGTTGTGATTTTATAGTAATTTTGTGGAATACATACTAGTTGTCGAAGTAGAGCTAGAGCTAGAGCTGGAGCTGGAGCTGGAGCTGGATCTAGTAGCAGTGGAGGTGCTGTTGCTGCTTGTGATAATAGAAGAAGAGGAAGATGAAGAAGCAGCGGAGGATGAGGTAGAAGATGAGGATGATTCAGAAGTAGAAGAAGCGGTTGATGAAGATCCAGAAGTGGAGGATGCAGTTTCGGAAGAGGAAACACTTGTGGAAGAAGCGGTGACAGTTGAAGCAACAGCAGTAGCGCCGGAGACTTGGAATTGTTCACTGTAATTTGGTGTGGAGGTAGAATCTTCAATTCTGATAGCGTAGAGACTGGAATCGAGTGTAGCAGGCGGTGTCCAAGTGTAAGATGTTCCACTTAATCCACTTCCGATGGTGGAGACGGTGCTGAGAGAGGTGGATGGGCCATTCATCAAAACGAGAGTGACAGGTCCTTGGGCATCTGACCAGGTAATGTTGAAGGGGGATCCAGCGGTGACTTCGAAAGATGGGTTGGTCAATTGAACGGCACTTGCGAGAGTGGCTGCTGCGGCAGCGAGGAAGAGATTGCTGAATTGCATTTTGATTACTGGAATGTTTGAGAAATTGGGATTGCTGAAGACGATTGTATATAAAAACTATATAAGAAAACCTGTCAGATTGTTGATTCTAAGAGCTCTTGACGCATAGCAACATTAAGATGCAAAGCGCATTCAGAGATGAAAGATTGAGGTGAGGTATTTATTTATTTATTTACTTACTTTGAGAGTGAATGAACTTACGGATTTCCGAAGAATAAGATTATAATGTAATTCGATGAAGTTTGTGAATGAATGACGGTTATTATCCAAGCAGGAATAAAATATAATTGAAAGGAGAACGATGTTGAGAATTTCGAGGAAGGAATGAATTGGTTGGAAGATGGGCCCCTTCTTATTAGGAATAATTTTGAGGGAGATGGAGAGATGGGGAGATGGGGGAGAGATACCCTTGGCATGGATAAAAGGCGGACAGGGCTTATCAATTGTTTATTTTGTGATCAAACAGGGGAGTAAACAGGGGGAGTAAACAAGGGTAACGACGCTAAATTTCATTTTATTTTACGTATTTTTCATATACTAAACTTTTATCCAGCATATTTTCATACTCTCTCTGATTGGAATTGACTTTTATTTTACATGGTTGTGAGATCTTATAGATAGGTACCTACATAAACATTATATGATTTGGTATACATATAATTGCCTAGTATGCATAGACTGAAAAGGCGAACGATCGTGGAAATTGAAAACAGACTACTGGAAAGTACTAGTTTCAGGGGTTTATGTTCGATCGAACCAATCATCAATTGGTCTTTTTTCCTTCCTACACTTCACCTCACTTCACACTTCGCTCTTCTTCACTCTTCACTTGACTTTCAATTTCTCCATTCAATCTGCCTCTCCGTCTCTCCACACAACACCATCTAACTTCACCAGCAAGAACTCCTACTAAACCCCATTCAAGAAGAGAAGCGATAATTGGTTAGTTAGACACTCGGAGTCTTCAAATCCCCGATGTTTTTCTCAATCTTATATTGAAATATCGATATCAATTGACCTATGAAATCCCTGAAATCTCAAACTATTCATAAATTTTAGCGGGAGTTAGAAGATTCCGAACCTTTGATTCATTCATCAATTCTCTTTTCCAATGGATTTTAGTATGAATTTCTATTAGTGAATCTAGATGGCAGTCAATTAATTTCCCAGTTGCTAGGCAAGAGTTGCTAGACAAGAGTTGCTAGACAAGATGTTCTGGGAAAGCTATTGAAGACTTGTTGATACTTGATAGACAGAAAAACACCAATTGACGACAAACCGCATTCTCCACATTCCCAGGGAAAATAGCTAAGCTTATAGAATACGAAATGTAAGCTCGTGGCGTTTTCCCATCCTTTTCAATGGCACAGCACAGCATTTAAATATGTAGCCTTCGTCCTTGATGACTTTAGAGTTACTGTATATCCAAAAATAAATAAACTTATTAATGGTTGGCTATCAACAAATAATTCACAAAGTCTCCATCTAGACAGACTCTAGAACCGCCTCAATAATCAATAAGTGAGTGGCCTAGCCCCAAAAAAGAACCCCTATTTGACACAAGGTTTGAGCGTTTCGTGGTGCGCTAATACAATACTTAATATTACCTCCCTCCTACTCCGTAGATTCCGATAGCTGGACTCAGAAGTCATAGCGGTAGCGGTCAGAATGGCGTGTCTTGAAAGGTTAGTCGGATAAGATTATGCTTCCTTTAAATTTCATCGAAAGAACATACCTACCTACGTATTTATATATATATATACATATATACATATTAAACGCAACAAATTCCCAACCCACCAAACAATCTATAAACCCCTCCGCCAAGCCCTTCCTCTCCCTACCAGAGCCTAGAGTACCTACCTACATACCCAAACAAGGCCCATCAAACTCCGCAACCATGGCATCATCAAGATTCAACACAGATCTTTAGAGGGGTCCTCCACGGTCTTCATACCCACTCCTGTAACATCCTCCGCACTGTGTCTTGCATACAGAGATCTACTCGTACTTTTTGCTCGTGTCTTAGTTTGCATAAGTGTTTCGGGATAACATAAGGTTAACTAACTAGTTTTGCATCGGTGGCAAATACGGGCTTTTTTTCGCGAAGACTTAATCTATCGATTAGGGTTGTGTTGTTCACGTGATTGGGTTGGGATGGGGAAGATTATTATCTTCTCTTCGTGTTGATGTCCTGTCGTCGAAAAGATATGCATATGGTTCGTTGTCGAATTTCCCCTTCTAAGCTGTGTGGAGGAAAAAGAAAATTTTGAATAGAAGCCTAGCTCAAGGTGTAGTTCAAGGTATCGGATAGGACCTTCAGTGTTGTGTTTTTGGTTGCTGCTAGACTAACCTATACGTCCATCCTCATCAACATACCATGAGTTCACATCGAGGGATCACAAACAACAAAACGTGGTATATGTTAGACATTAGAGAGTCTTTTCGTGTTATTCATTAGTATTGGTATCGGTAGTTCCAGAAAATATGAGTCCACCTCTACACGCGACGAACAAAATAAAGCAGACACCCAAATCACTCGGAAATATACCTCTCTACCAAATCTCAACACTTTTCCATATCCAGATTCGAATTTGACATTCATATAATCTCTCAGGCTTGTATCTAATCCCTGGTATTCGGTTTACTTGATCCATTGCGTGCATCAGTAGCAAAACAGATTCTCAATCCAACGCACTTTATATTTGAGATTTAGGACTCTTTAAAGCTGATATGGTGATAATATGGAGTATAAATAGGGCACAACTTTGGGTTGGAATGATTCGATATCAAATACTTCCGGGATTTCTAGGGATGAGTGGGAGTATTTGATGAATACCTAGTACTCAATTCTGTTTGAATATCCGATTTCACCCCTTTGCATCGCCAAACTCGGCGCATAAAGTAATAGAGAATAACATCAAGTGATTGATCAAGTATAGAAGCAGATTTAGTCCCTCTAGTTAAATAAATAGAGGACTCATGGAGAGGTATAGCTATTCTCCCGCTGTACATTTGAAAATATAGCCAAGTTGGTATATTTCCTATGAAAAGCGCTCATGCGCAGCTTGCATTACCAAGCTCATCGTGTTAACGATGAGAGACTCGATATATGGATATATTGTATATGATATATCAGTCGGTACTATAATATGTGACTTGCATACTCAATTTTAACCAAGAACAGTAAAAATTCTGGTATGGAACACTAATATAAATTTTTCTTAAACTACTACCAGGCGCCAAACAAAGTCTATAGTAGAGGGGAAAATCTCCAGCAAAAACTGCTGGCCATTCTTATGTGGAAGCAAGTACTTACAACCTCTCCGTTACATACATAACAACTTCTTTTCCCCTTCACCTTCCCCTTCACCTTCCCCTTCATCTTAATCTATTTCTTATTTCATTGTATCTACATCCGTCAACCAAAATAAATCAAAAATGCCGTCTACATTTTCTATATTTTACAATCAAAATTCTCAATATAAGATTACAAAATGTCAATCTCGATGTCTTTCAGATGGACGAAGATAAGGAGAATGTTACTAATGCTACGGTAAATGTAAATTAGTTTTCGTGTCAATTTATGATGCATATGTACTTTTTGTTACTCGGTGGATTATGCTCTAGGATTTAGATATCCCTAGGGGGCTTGTGTCTCGTGCGATGGAGGAATTCGAAGGGGAATAGACAGAAGGGTCATAGCAAAGCAAAAGAACTTCAAGCTTCATTACAAAGCCATGAATTAATTCCTGTGTCTCCTTCACAGGAGAATTCTACTCAAACTATTTCGGATATTGATGCCACAGCTTTCAATCTCAGCGCCAGCTCCAGTGATAAGTAGCAAAATGTAACAGAGGATGAAGTAAAAAAAAAAAAAAAGATTAGGAAATCCTCCAGTTCCGGAATTCAACGACGAAAGAAGCGTCAAGAACAGACCGATACTTCATGTCGGGAATAAATGGCTCTTCAAGCTTCGTTGCATGTAAAGGGACTACTTCCCGTTTCTGCTTCTTGGGTATTTATACAGAAGAATCTCGGTCGACCTTTTCCAGATCCTCCTCCTGCCGCTCTCAATCCAAATTCAAACAACACGCAGCAAGCAAGAGGAGACAGAGGACACAGGGTAAAATGAACGAAGGTAAGTCTGGTCATGAAACTGGTTCATAGAAGAGGCTTCGAGACCAAAACACTGCTTCATAGGATGTGATAATAACAGCACAGCAGGCTAGTTTACAAGAGCAGGAAATAAACCCAAACGCAGATCCCTCTACTCGGCAGAAATCACAGAATGCTTTTGTGCAAAATGTGCTGAAATCTGGTGCACGTGTTACCACTCCTGATACTCATATTCGACGGGAAACAAAGAGGAATAGAGAAGGAAGTAGATGTGGAAACAAATGGAGAAACTGATGTAGAGATATTTTGTTCTAGAGATAACCTACAGAAAATAAACAGATAGATGGATAGATAGATAGATACTAGAGATTTTTCAACAGAAGACAATGGTGTTATTTTTCTCATAAATTGGAGAATTTGGAGAATCTGGCTAGAGGGAGGTTTTACTAAGGTAGTGAGGTAGTGAGGTTTTGATGATCATGAGGGAATTTTTGTAGTGAGTGCTAGATGGGGTTTAGAAGGCGGAAAAATGGTGGAGAGAGGATGTGTGGTTTAGTTTCTTTGGTTCTATTCTATGGGATGCCAGATACTCTATTCAGAATGTAAGTTGCTAGAGTTAGGTATATTGTATTGTAGATATGTATGAGTATGACTATGAGTACGAGGCGTTTTGTTTTGTTTTGATGTTGGAGAGTGTGAGGAGGGCTGGAAGTTCTATGAATGCATAGAATCAAATTAGATCAGATGCATATCATGGAAGTTGTTAAAAGGTATATAGATGATTATGGCTATATTGGTATATCCATCAATAGGTATCTAGTATTGCTCAAGTTCCTTCACATCAATCATATCACACCACATCTCAGGTCTTTAAACATAGCACTTAACCCAATTCAAATGACTTCTTCATACAATCCAATACACACAACATCATTTAATCTTTTTTTTAATTTTATTTTATATATCTTTTTTTATAGTTTTAGACTATAATGAATCAGACCAGTTATTGCAGTAATAATCTAATTCATGACAGTCATCCGCCGGCAGTACTGTGCATACGTAAATCCCAATCCCAATGTGGATATCCGTATCCCTATCTCTTGATATTATCCCATAGTGTATTTTATCCCCTAATGCAATCGCCCTAATGTATTCCACATATCATATCCCGGATGAAATCTCTCCTGGGATAGGAAAAGGAGCTTGTATTGTATTCTCAAATCTTATATCTCTCTACCAATCAACTCATCAATTCATCTTGCCGCCGACTCAATAAAAAAACAAAAACAAAAATTGATTGCATTATTTAATCTTTATGCAGGAAGGAAAGGAACCCATGAAAGCAGATCAAACAATGCATCTCATCAACTACTCCCGCAAATTAGAACCTGAGCCGAAGAAAACTAAACCAAGGAAAAAGAGAACAAAACAGAAAAGAGGAAAAAGAAACAATGAAGAAAAAAAAAGTAGGAAAATGGTTGATTTATTGATAGTAAACAGTTACACATCCAAAAATCCTTCGTTGGTATATCTCCTGCAAACATGTGTATGTTTAGTACGTTGTAGTAGTAATAATTGCCGTGCGCCATTGGCCGAGGACCTGATTCGCCGTTTTCCGTGTGCATGTGCTGTGGTGTACTGAAATGAGTAACTGTTTCTGTTTCCGGAAGTGATATGGAGGTGAAGAAGTGCTGAGAAGAACTCAGGAGTCAGATATTGAGAGAAGAAAAAGTAGGCATGGGACCCCAGTCATCATCCTGCTCAACCTTTTTTGAATTATAATCATCACCACCTATACCAGAAGCATTCTTAGGCTTGGTATTTCGTGTAGGTGGACATACAGAGCCATTTTCGCTGAAATCAGAATTACTGGCATTGCCCCTGTGGAGACCACTATAGCCACCAATTTCTGGGAGTACACTTTCGGTTGCGGTGTTGCTTGACCAGAAGTCATTGCCAGTGGTATTGGTATTGTCTCCCCATGAATTGTCTCCCGTAGTGTTGGCTCCCCATGAGTCATCTGCATAGGTATTGGCACTAGCACCCCATGATTCCTCTCCGTTGCTATTGGGATTAGCAGCCCAAGAATTTTCTCTAGATGGCTCAGGAGTAGCTACAAACTGAGGGATATTTGCAAAAGACACTCGGCGTCGAGCTGCTATACAATCAAGCATAGCAGCCTTAGAGCGAGCGGTTCGGAGAGTAAGGTCAGTAGCATCGTCGAGAATAGTGGTGTTGTCATCATCGTCCGCGATGACTTGGGTACGTTTATTGGCGTTAGATCGATTCGTTCCGCTGGGAACGATTGCTGCCACTCCGTATTGAACGTATGAACTATGACTTCCTAGTTGATCACTGTACTTCTGGAAGCTTGAACCGATGGCATGACTGTTTTCCTTGGCCTGAGAGTTTGTAATCTCAGCACGTCCGTTACGCCGACGACTTGATGTCTCAACCGACTTTTCGGTAATGGTTGCCTTTGGACTTGGTTTGGCAATGGTAGATTCAACTTCGTTACCACTTTCTGTGGTTTCGTGAATTGATACTGGAAGAGGGGCCACAGATAGTGGTATAGAATCCGAAGAATCTAGCTCACATGGTGAATCCGATGGTGACGGTGTGATAAAAGAATCCGATTGAGTGACCATCGAGCCGGAGGATCGAGAATCAGAGGACCGAGAACGAACCCGCGAAGGACGATTCTGTTCTAGACGTTGTCCAAGTTGATCAATTATCGATGCGTTCATCCATGCTTGATTATTCCGAGGAGTGCTCTGGTGCTGGGGAAATTGAGAAACGTTGCTCTGAGAGCTTGAACGGCCTCTTCTTCTCGCTGATCTCGTATTTCTAGGCTCCCAAACACCACCCGAAGTTGGCGGGTCTGGTACTCGAGGAGGTGTGCTGGTACCATCCATGAAGCCTTCAGACCGTCTGAATGAGCTGCGTTGACGTCGGCGTGGTCCTGGATTTGGCAGATTCTGATGAGCCATTTCATCTAGCAACAAGTCAGTCACTTCAAACAACAATGATATGGAAGATCTGATGGAATACTTACAAGCTCTGTTATACTCTTCGCTAGAATCTGAGGAATGACGTACAGTTGAACGGCGATGAACATTTGTTGGAGTACGGCGAATACTTGGGATGAAACCAATGGCAGAGCTTGAGCTTGAGCTTGAGCTTGAGCTGGCCCTGTTTGTAGTCCACTTATATTGCGTTTCGTTACCATATTGATCTACTTCGGAAGTGATATAGGTTTCTCGGGTTCTAACTGGCGATCGTGCGGGGCTGCGACGTCTCTCTTGTGGTCTTCTAGGTTCATGTCTAGGCCGCTCCGTTTGGAATCTGGGATATTCGTGCTCGGCCGCAACGTCAATAAAGTCGTCAGAAGAGGAGCGAGGTCGAGGTCGAGGTTGATGTTGAGGCTGGTACCTTGATCCAGTTCGTAACCTGGGTTGCTCATGCTCGGTCTCAACCGCGATAACACTTTCATCAGAACGACTATAAGGATCATGTTCGTATTCTTGCTCATGAGCATCATGGTCATAAGTACGCTCAGCATAGGCACGCTCAAAGCGTCTGCGCTGAGCATGGTCTCTCGTATGCAAGCTTGGAAGAAATTCTCTTGAAAAGCGAGCGGATCTTGGCATAAATGCGTAACTAGTAGCTGAGCGGAGTGGCTCGACATATCTGTATGATTACGGAAATTTTGCTGAGAAGTGGCTTGCGGAGCAGCATTTGAACCCCCTGCTGGCTGATCAAAGTGAACTGATTTTTCTCTGGTTTCGTAGACGGATGATGGTGGACTGGCCGATGATGATCGACTTGTGATACTGACTTTCACTTTTGGTTCTCCTCTAGGAGTAAGATCTTCGGCATCAAGATTCCTTTCATGGGTACGAGTGTAGCTTCGGGACAATGATACCCTCGAGCTGTTATCAGTTCGTCGTGCTTGGGATTTTGGTACTGTTTCGTGTTTATGCACAGCCTCCTCCTCAACAAGAATTTTGTTCCAATAGTCGTTAGAACGACCATTGTCTCTTTTATCATATTGACTCAGAGGTTCAACTGAGTTAGGTCGAGATGTGGCCTTGCGTCTATACTTCTTCTGGAAGGTGTTAGTAAGTGGATGTTCAAGCTCTTTGAGGGACACAATTCACCTTTGAAGCCTTTTTTCTTTCACTTCCTTTCCCTCCATGGTCATGTCTCCTTGAATCACCATCATCACTATCATCGCTACTTGAGCCACTAGTTGAGGTAGCATTTCTTCGACACTTGCGACAAAATCCAGGAGTAGGTGTTTCGCCAGATTTTATTGGATTTTCTACATGATATTTAGCAGAACGATCTCTTAGACATCTGACGCAAATGTGCTTGGTGATTGTAGTAGTAGTGGTTGTTGTCTTGGTCTCTGTATGATCATCATGATCTCCTTCTCTTGCTCTTGACTTTGACTTCTCTCTCCTAAGGAAGTCCGCCTCAACTTTTTGAAGTTCTTCGAAGTTTGGTGGTTTTGATGATTTGGGCTGAACGGCCCATCGCACGGGTTGCTGCGCCGGAGTCGATGCTGGTGCAGGTGCAGGCGCAGGCACAGCAGTAAATCCAGGAAAAGGATAAAAAGAAGGAAATCCAGAATTTGTCGGAGCAAAGAAATTAGGGCTAGGAAATGGTTGTTGAGGAATGACAGGTGGAAAAGACATAGGTGGTGGTGGAAAGTTGGGGAACGGCTGCTGTGGAAGAGGTGCTGAAAAAGGAGATTTTGGTTGAGGATATTGCAATTGCGCTGGCCTCTTCTTCTTCTTCCCCCTCTTCAAGGCATTGACGTCAGATATCCTCTTGGGCTCATCAATTCCAAAAGCTTGACCTAGCAAACTAAAGTTCTTGTTTCCACGACTTCCAGAAATATTACGCGCCATGACCATACGGCCATTGCTTTTCTTGAAGTAGTAAGGGTACCCATCTCTTACGATTTCCTCAGTACAGTCAGAACCCGCATAACTCCGGGACCCAGCTCGAAACCTAAAATAACTGATTAGAACTGGAGATCACAAGAACAAACCTCGATTGAGATATACTATCCGAATGAAGGAGAGAAGACTTACATTGTGAGCATTGTGGCGATGAAATCAGACGTTCGCTATTCTTCACAGGTGAAGGTGGTATAGAGTTTATTATCCTGTTCCTGCATTGACACAATAGAAAGCTTCAGATAAAGAATTAAAAAAAAGTGAAAATATCCAAAAGAAAAGGGAAGGAGTGAAGTAAAATGGCAGCAGAAATATCTTGAATTTCTTGACCACCATAAGCAATTAATATAAAATTCTGGTACAAAGCCAAGACCATGAAAGAAGTGAAAGGGAATCGGAAATATGATTGTGTGTTGAAAGATTAGTTGTAGAAGGGCGTAGAAAACAGTTGAAGAAGGGAAAAATTGAAAATATGTTATGGCTGGTTCTTAATTTTGAATCCAATTTTCCCAGATTCGGTTATTATTAGTAGTGACCAACCACAGGATTTCTCAGATGTAAACACATTAGCAGAGATCACTAGAAAAGGTTGGATTCACTTTTATCGATCCAGAATAGAAAATATATGAGTATGTTCGTCCGGGTTTTCATCGGTTATCTTTGGCTTTCATCTTCACTATTGGATTTAAGATGGAGGAGCTCTCCTGTCCAAAGGTTGAATAACGTGGGGAATGACAAAGTGAATGACACAGCCTCAAAGCTGTATTGGAAGGAGTAATTGTGAGGAACAGCACTATATGCCTGCCTCTGATGCTGGATAGTTTATTCCGGTTAAAATATTAAAATAAAAAATGGAAGTATATTTTAACGGAGCGAATGTTTACTTTTTCTTTAGAAAATTTCCCTATTTTATGGGGAGGAACTCTCAGATGTATAGGGAAGTTGGTTGAAGGTTGGAGGCTGTGGTAATATATAAAACCCATACTTAACAGATCAATGTCTGGTGGTCAACTAAGCCTAGCACATGACCATATTTATGAGTATATTTCTTCTCTATACATAACAATGGACTCGCTCTATTTTGCAAAGCTCCCAGCCCAAGATAAAGAAATATGATACAAAGTAAACTTCATCCTTTTATTCAACCCTCAAAACTTTTGGTCCTCTCTTCTTTGTTGTCTTCTTTTTCTTGTTCCCTCTCTCAAATGATGCGGCTGATGCATGATCCCGGCCAACATTGTCAAGGTCTTTCACCTTGTAGATTCGGATGATCCAATTCTCACTAGTGAATGCTTCTTCAACAGTGTTCAGAACTGGTCCAACTTCTGGCATCTTTACGCCACGAACTCTATCTTGGGCTTGTCCAGGTGGGAAAAGGGAGTTGTAGTTGTAGTATGACATTTTGTACCTATTAAATGATTAGCAAAATTCAAGTTTATCATGCCTGGAATTGCTCACATCAAGCTGTCCTTCATGGTTTGAGTAGCACCATCGTCAACTCTGTACTCTCCACGTTCAGTGAAGAAATCCCGTTCCTTAACCTCATCTGGCCAAATCCCCTCGGCAATTCTGACCATCCACAAGAATTTGTTGATATCATCTCCAGAGTATCCGAGAAGACCACCAAAGACGACAAGAACGTAGTCAACTTCGTGCTGGCGCATGATGGGGTAGCTGACCTCTTCACGAGAGCTCATTGCCTTTCCAACGGTGGCGATGTGAGTGTTGTTCCAAGTATTGTTATCGACGAGTGTAGGCCTGTCAGCCATACCACCAATCTGGTAACCGTAATCCCACCATGACATGATCTTTGCATCTTCCTTGGTGTTCTGTCGCAACCATTGATAAGCCTCTCTGTAATCATCAATAATATGCTGACTGCCATCGGGCATTCTACTAGCGAGCACGACAGATGGAGATGAGTAAGCGTTGGAGGTAACCCAGGTACAATGGAGAACGAAGATCAGAAGGTATGTTGTCATGGCGGTCACAACGGAAATTTTAGAGAAGGCAGCATAGATGCCGA